CTTTCTCCTTGTCACAATGTCTTTTTGTTAAGCCTGTAGATGACATCATTCTTCTTTGACCTTGAAAAGTATTATGTGAGTTGTATATAACTGTTTTATTCCAAATAATGTGCTCATTGAATGGGTGATAATAACAAACTTGCTTTTATGGATAAAACTACCTTTTTTCATTGCCTGTCGATTGCCGTAAGTGCAAACATTTTTGTGATCATGTTTTTTAATTTATTATTTTTGTAAGCAAATTATCGTTTCGTATCTCATTAGGTTAGTTGGTGTCACTTAAAATAATACTAATTACGGGTTAAATACGTTTTAATGATAATTCGATAACAGCGATTATCGTTTAGTCCATATTTCACTGGTAACTCTAATAATGAGAAAAATAAGTTCAAAAGTATGTTTTTAGCAATAAATTAGTGTAATTAAAATAAAAATGGAAAAAAAAACTTTTGGAAAATTTTTTATTACTTTTTATGCATGGTGATTTTTTGTTGGTGTTTATTCACCATATTTTTACAAAAATATGTGCATTAAAATGCGCAAGTTTGTCCTTGCATTTTATTTGCCCTTTAGTCATCAGCATCCTTTGTTGTAAAATTGACCATTAAATCAATTACTTCATTATCAAAAAATAAAATGAATAGTGTCAATGGTGTTTCTTTCCGCAAGATCATGTAATCTTCTGTTATTTTCGGCATCATTCCAAATTGATACATCGTCTCAGACATCGCGAGTAGTTTTTCTTCTTCTTCATGTGCCTTGTCCGTTCCGAACGTTGGCAATCAACATGGCTATTCTGACTTTGTTTACGGCAGATCTGAATAGTTCAGCAGATGACAATCCGAACCATTGTCGCAAGTTTTGGAGCCACGAGTGCCTTCTCCTCCCTGGACTTCTTCTGCTGCCTATTTTCCCTTGAACGATCAGCTGTACTACTCTATATTTATTATGTCTCATAACGTGACCCAAGTATTCCAACTTTCTTTTCTTTATACTTATTCCTACCTCTCTCTCTTTACCTATCCGGCGTAGTACCTCTTCGTTGGTCACGTGCTCAATCCAGGATATACGTAATATACGTCGGTAAGCCCACATTTCGAAGGTCTTTACTTTTTTCATCAATGTTGCGGTCATTGTCCACGCCTCCATTCCATATAACAAAACCGGGAATACATAACATTTCAGAAGTCGAATTTTGAGAGGTAGTGTGAGGCTTTTAGAGGTGAAAATTTGCTTCATGCTAGTGAACGATCCTCTTGCCTTTTCTACTCTTATACGTATTTCCTTCGCTTGATCCCAATTTGAGTTAACTGTTGTTCCCAAGTAGATGTGCGAATCCACGTGTTCAATTCTTTCATTGTCTAATATCAGTTGCTGTGGTGGTTGTTGGGTTTTGCTTACTAACATCCATTTGATTTTTGTGATAAGCGAGTAGGTTTTAGATATAGATAATAGACCCTGTCTTTTTCAGAGTTATAATCAGTTGAAAGGCTCTTGTACACCTCAATTTTTTTTGCAATTTTCTGACAGACCTATCTGGAACAAGTGTGAACAACGATTCACGATTACCTAGGTCATTTAAAAACCTAAACTGAGTATCACTAATATCTTTTTCTAGCTTGCTTTTTGTATATTATACCATGTATCACTTTTAGAAATGTTTCCATGTACTCCATCAGGCGTATAGTGTAGTAAACTTGACAGTATTTAGTTTTTATTTTTGCCGGTATCGCTACAAAGATTAATATCAGCATTTCCTGTGGTAAAACTACTGATTTATAGATGCAAAGAATTCCTGCGCTCGTGCAGATGATGTGGCTTCAGGTTTCCTAAGGCTTATATCTTAGTGTCTTTTTAAAAAGTCTTGTAGCCAATCACGACTAGTCATGCCATTAAATTTGTATGCAATACGATTTTTTTGCTAAGTGAATAGCTAGCGTTCTCAGCTTACAAGAGTTTAGTCCATAAAATATCTTCTCCATAAATTTAATCATCATCATCATCACCCAGCCCTTTTGTCCACTGCTAGATATAGGCCTCCCTCTGTCAATGTCAAAGTTTCGGTACCATAGGTCATCACAGACAACACACATTGGTCAAATGTTTTAAGTTTTAAAGAAATAGGTATATCGCTTTTAAACATGTCTGTGAGTTTTTCATAGGCTGCCTATGCTAGGTTCATTTTTCTTCGTAGTTCGCAGGTTTGGTTGTCTCTTGTGATCTTTATTTCTTGTCCAATATATGTGTATTTTTCCACCAGCTCTACTTCTTTGTCTCCAATATTGATAGTTCCGCTAGGTACTAGGTTTGTCATGAATTTTGTTTTGGAGATGTTTATTTCAAGATTCACACTGGTACACACTAACTGAAGTTCATGAAGCAATGTACATATCTCCTTAAGGTTGTTCAAGAACAAAACTATGTCGTCTGCGAATTTCAAATTTGTTAATCTTCTAATGTCAATGTTCAGGTCTTTCTATTTCCAGTTTAGTTTTTTACAAGCATATCCTAGTACTGCGGTAAACAGTTTAGGCGATAAGGTATCACTTTGTCGGATTCCTCTGCCGATTGGGATGTGATCCGTGTTTTCATGTAGTTTTACCGACATAGTTGCGTTCTTGTATTTATTGTAAAGTTACCTTATATATCGGTATTCAGTGCGGCATGCTTGTAGTACTTCCAGAATTTTGTCAAATTCTACCGTGTCAATGGCTTTATGGAAATCTACAAAAGCCAGAACGAGTGGTCGATTGTATTCGATAGTCTTTTTTATTACCGCTTAAATGCTCTGTAGGTGATCATTTGTTCCAAATCCGGTATGAAATCTTGCTTGCTCTGTTGGCTGGTAGAAATCAAGTTTTTTCTTAAGACAATTCATTACTATTCTTGTAAAGAGTTTCTATAGGTGACTAAGAAGACTTATAGGTCTGTAGTTTTCTAATTCATGGTGATCTTCCTTTTTGTACAATAGAATTACCTCAGCATTGTGCCATTTGTTGGGTATATTACTGTACAAAAGGCATATGTTAAAAAGGATTTTTATTTTCTTAAGTAGGCAAGTGCCTCCGATGATTTTGATTGCATCAGTAACTACACAATCTTCGTCTGGAGATTTGTTATTCTTAGCTTTTCTTAGGGCTAGTTTTATTTCGTCTACTGTGATTTTCGGTAGTAGTTCTGATCCTTGGTTGACAATGCTCTTTTTCTTTATTAATATTTCTGGTACTTGATCTTCTCTGCTATTTGCTTTGTGTTGACTTGTGTACAGCAATTTGTAGAAGTTTTCAACTATTTTAAAGGTTTCCTCTCTGTTAGTTGTAAGATGACCATTTCCATCTTTAACCTTTATTATCCGCCTTATCCCCGTTCTTAGTCTTTTTCTTAACACTTTCATACTTCTATTGTTCTCAATGATATGTTCCATTTGTTCTTGGTTGTATTTTCGAGTGTCTTGTCTAACAGCTTTAGATATTTCTCTATTTAATTTTTGTAGTTCGTCGGCTTTAGTTTCCGTCTCGCTTGTTACTTCTCTTACTTTTGAGTTCTAGGACAGAATTTGTTTTGATTTTCCAGTAAAGCATTTGTTAATTTATTATTTCTTCTTCTTCTTCTTTTGGCATCATAACCCTGGATGGGTCTTTGCCTGTCTGGCTATGTCCTTCCATTCAGATCTCTCTTGTGCCCTTCTCCTCCATTGTCTTATGATCATTGTTTTCAGGTCGTCTTCCACGTCATCCAACCATCTCGTTCTGGGTCTTCCTTTTTTTCGCCTTCCTATGGGCTTCCATTGTAACATTTTCTTTGTTGTTTTTGCATCGGTTTGTTTCTGCACATGTCCCAGCCAGGACAGTCTTTGACTTTTCACCAATCTTACAATGTCATAACCTTCATTTAACTCATTAACCTCGTCGTTTCTCCTGATTCTCCATGTGCCATCTTCCTCTTGTACCGGGCCATATACTTTCCTCAGTATTTTTCTCTCGAATGTCCTTCATCTTTTTTCGTCATTACCCAAGTTTCACATCCATAGGTTACTACGGGTCTAATCAGTGTTCTGTAGCTAGTCATTTTGGTTCTTTTAATTTATTATTTAAGTCATTTAAAAGGCTTGCACACCTCAAAATTTTTTGCAATTTCCTGACAGACATATCTGGAACAAGTGCGAACAACGATTCACGAATACCTAGGTTCACCAGTATATGCTCCATCAGGCTTATAGTGTGGTAATCTTGACAGCATTTAGCCTTTATTTTTGCCAAATGTATTATATCGTTACAAAGGTTGATATTAGATTTTCCTGTGGTATTATTACTGATTTATAGATGCTATTAATTCTTCTGGGCCTGGTGTTGTTTGTTTTTTATGAAACTTATAGCATTTGAATTTATTTCTTTCTTGTGTTGGGACTTTTATCTCCGTACGTGCGTTCAAGGTAGTTCCTTTATCCATAGTCGTCAGAAAACTCCTGAATAGTATGTTTTCCATATTTCTAGTTGTTCTTTTATGTCTGAGTATTTTGTCGTCTGTGTCATGTAGTATATTGGGTTGATACCAGGTAGTAATGAAATGAAAACTTAATAATATTAAAAGAACTTAATGCTCTAAAGAAATTTAATCAAATATAAAAGAGATAACGGTTTTTATATTTGTTAAATCAAGAAAAGTATTAAAAAAAATGTAGATAATAAAAACCTTTGACAATGCTCCTAAACTCTTATGTAAACTAAAAAATATTACAAATAGGACGTAATATTTATCTTTATTAACTTTAATAATATAAGGTTACTGATATGTAGATATTTAATGATTTGGCTAAAATTGTATTCTTGTAGAAAAACATTTATACGAGACACAACATTTATTCTCCGATAATTATTGGATATTTTTAAATCATTTGTTATTTTATTGCAGTCATGTCAAATTAAAGACAAACAAAATTGCCCTGCGAATATTTACAACTACGTAGAAATTAAGAATAGTTAAAATACCTGATTGCAAAGATGGAAATGACCAAAGAGAAATATAATCCCAATCCACGGGAGACAGCGAATTTTTTATCGGCTATATTTTTTGGGTAAGTAGTATTTTTTTGTTTTTTCAGTAATCTTCATTAACTAGATTTTCTAAACTATAATAGGTTTGTAGAAATAATTGTGAAATGAACTTTAATTATGAGTTGTTTATAAGGTATATCGGAATAGTTCAACATAAGTTCAACGTAAGTATTTAATATACCTAATTATTAAAACTATTCATTTTTTAACTTTCCATTTATGTATGATCTTAAATATAAATAACAATACGTAAATCTTAATCTTCTTCTTTTTCTTTTTATATAGACATTCAGCTTCTATGATAATTTCCTTCTATTTCTCTTCATTTTCTTACCCAGTTCTTGATGTTCTCTACCTTGCATATACGTTGTATATATGTACGTCTAGCTCTGTCCCATAGTGTCTTACCATGAATTTTTCTAAGTGTTTTCATCTCTGATGTTTCTAACATCCCTTTTTCTCTTTGTGTCAGGTCTTGTTTCTGTCGCGTATGTCATTATTGGTCTGATGACTGTTTTGTAGATTCTGCCATTCATTTCTTTCCCTATATTTTTATTTCTCCATATTCAGGCTGCCTGTGGCTCTGTTTGCTCTATTCACTTGATCTTTTTTATTATTTCATCCATAATGAGGTTAAACAATAGACCTATAGACCTAATAGACCAATAGGTAATATACCATTGTCAGCGTCAATAGGGTCGGGTACGTGTTTTTTGTAATCTTCCAGTCTTATGTTCCACAAACATTCATGTTTTTGATTCAATAAAATTCAACATCGTTTCGTTATTATACACGACTTTATGCGAAGTACGCGTCTCCACATTTTCATTTGCAGCCATTTTATTTAACAATTGACGTCATTTACTGTTACGCGCCCAAGTGAAAAGTATAGCGATTCCTACTCATACGACCGCATATGAGTTCCTGTTATACCAGTTCAACTGTTACGAAGTTTCACAGTCAGACGTAATAGTACATGTGAGGCGCTGTTATAATAGTTTCTTTTATGAAAGACTATGTCATCTGATGCCGCCTTTAAAGTCAATATAAAACATAAAAATCTAACTATAAATGTATTTATTAATCTGTGTTTCCTTCAGCAGCATTCATTACAGCTTGACACCTCCTTGGCATGCTTGAAACTAAATTATCAATTATGTTTTGAGGCAGTAGGATCCATTTGTGTTTAAGATCTTGAAGACCTTGCCTAGTATAAACATTATGCAGATGAGAAGCTATTCTATACATGCTGGATGGGATTAAGATGTGGTGATTGTGCTGGCTACGGTAAAAGTGTAATACCCTCATTATAAAACCAATCTTTTACTATTTCTGCATGCTCCACTAATAACCCTGAGTGATTGATGCAATTAATAAAAATAATAAAATAATCTTAAATTGTTTGTTTTTTTTTAGATATACATATGATGTATTTAAAAAGGGCTTATCGAAGACACTGGAAGTTGACGATTTATATAATCCGTTAAAGATTGACAGGAGCAAAGTCTTAGGAGATCATTTACAAAGGTTGGTATCTAAGTTTTATAACTTGGGTTATTTCGAAAAGTTCTCTCACACTGGACATGTAATCTCTAATATTGGATACTTTATTTTATACATTGTCAAAGCTTTATGGCATGGTTATAAAAGTTATTTTTAAAGTCTTAACATATCACCAATAAAGCCTCATTATTTTGTTACAATTACAAATAAAAGACGAAAATATATTCTACTTATTTTCGATATATTTCCGCTCAAATAAAACGAGTTTTTTGTCTTGAGACTCCCGCTAAAACAGGTTGCTTCTTTTGGTATCACAAGCATACTTCTATATTATTTTACCGCCAATTTTCCTCTTCTCAATATAAAAAATTATAATTTTTCCTAAAACTAGATCCAGACATAGAAATAAAACGTAGAATAGCAATGACTAAAACTACTTTTATGAAAATGAAGTCATTTCTTTGCAACAACCATCTCAGTTTAAAACTAAGGCAAATAATGGTTAAGTGCTATGTTTGGTCCGTACTTTTGTATAGTGCAGAAGTGTGGACGCTAAAAGTATCGATCATGGACAAAATTGAAGCATTGGAAATGAGGGTTCATAGACGAATGCTGAAGATACCTTGGACAGCAAGAAAAACTAATGAAGAAGTACTACGGAGCGTCAACAAAGATAGAGAACTGCTAAAGACTGTTAAACATCGAAAAATGTCTTGTCTGGGTCATATAGTAAGGGGAAGTCGATATAAAATTTTACAACTGATCCTTAAGCCGTAGAGGTGTAGGAAGAAAACAAGTTTCTTGGTTAAAAAACATTCGTGAATGGACTCGGATACCAAATGTCAGGACAACTATTCCATATTGCAAAAGATCAAGCAACCTTCGCAATGGTGATCGCCAACGTCGGATAATTCTAATATGGCACGCGAAGAGAAGAGTACAAATACCAAAATAAAATAAAACGAAAGATTAATGTCTAATTCACAGACATCCATTCAATTGCTTCTGGGGAACAATCGTGATTTGGGCAATCTGAAACACAGTGATTTATGGTCTGCCTAGGAGATCCGCAATTGCACCGTGGATCTTCTTTATAGCCCCATTTAAAGAGGGAGTGATCACATTTGCCATGTCCCGTATGAATGCAAATGAGCCTCGCTCAGATGGGCCGGGGCATATTTGATCCCATGAAGCCTTGAGCTGGGGTAGATATCTGAATATAGTCTGATTCCATTGTTGACATCCATCTTGTTGACCATTGTCAATGCTACTTGGCCACAAGAATCACCAATTTTTTGGGCATTTTTGATTGGAAGATTTCTAGATCTCAGTCGCTGGTTCTCTTTTGTATTGTATATCTTGATGAATTATTAGTTGTATGTTGGCTACAATTTTCTGATAATCTCTTGCTAATGCTGCTTTACAACGTATTGCTGGTGAAGCCATATTACTCATAATAGGGAGCCATGTCACTGAAGTTGATTTTATTGTTCCAGTGATTATTCTCATGGTTTGATTAGGTTGGACATCGATTTTGTTGCTATGTGCACTATTTAGCCATACTGGTGCACAATATACTGCCACTGAAGAAACCAAAGCTATCACAGAGGTTGGAAGTGTAATCGCTAAAGCACCACAAATTGTTCCAGCAAATTTTGTTATTACATTGTTTCTTATACGATGATTTTTAAATGTTCTATTAAGTGTGACACCTATAAATTTGGGGTTGTTATGTTTATATTAGGAGTTAATTATGTTATATGCTCTATCTAAGAGTCTCTTCCGCAAGTCGACTTGATAGGCGAAAGAGACAGGTTTTGGTTGTGTTATGACGTAATCTCCAGCTCTGAAAGTAGGTACTTAGTGTAGTTACATCTCACTATAAATTTTGTTTTCCTGCTTGTGTACTTTTACCTTGGAAGCCAATGGCGAGGTCGTCAGCCTAAAATGCACTTCAAGAAACGAATAAAGATTCCACTTTTATCTGCCTTCCTAACGCAATAAACTTAATTAAACATTCCAGTCGTGAGTCGATAGCGAGAAGTTTATCAAATCTATAAGAACCGTTATTTAGTTTTAGACGAGTTAAAACAGGTAGGCGCCTTATATACTGTATAAATATTTTCAATCCGAGTTACCTCGGTTACGCGAAAATAGAAACTAAGTTTAAGCCGAGTTAACTCGGATAAATACGTTAAGTAGTTAAAAAGGTGCATTGGCTTTTGGTAGTTTTTTTTTATTTTACTGTTGCTTAGAACTTTTCATTTTCTGTAGCGAAATATTGACTAATTTATTTTTTTAGAAATTGGGACAAGCAACTAGAAAAAGCAAAGAAAACAGATTCAAAACCAAGTTTATTCAAAGCCATTGTTATGACATTTTGGTTCGAGTACGTAAAGCTAGGAATATATGATATCTCGACAGATTTAGTGCTAAGACTCATTCAACCTCTAGTACTTGGAAACCTATTGGATTATTTTAAACCAGAATCACAAGTTTCAAAGAATGAGGCCCTTATGTATGCAGGTATCATAGTAGCTATAAATATCTTATACTTTTTGATCGGAAATCAATATATGCTAGAGGTTTTTCACAGTGGCATGAGGATAAGAGCAGCTTGTTGTGCTGTTATATACAGAAAGGTAATTTTAAGAAAATCGTTTCGAAATAATTTCTTTGTAAGTTTGTATAGTGTCGCCTTTTGTTCCTAAGGTTCAATTTTTATATTATATCAAATGTTAGATGCCTGCCCTTTTTCCTTCAATTGTACCTTGCAAAATGCATTGGAGTAGCTCGTATTTGCCTTAATTTCTCATTGAATGCCGTAAGTACTGCAACTTATGGCCCTTTACGATGTTGACCAAATCCACGGTTGTGTTCATCCTTCACAGTACTTCTTTATTGGTGACTTTGTCTGACCATGGTATCTTCAGGATCCTTTTGTATAATCCTAGTTTAAAAGCCTGAAGTTTTGATAGAGTTTCCGCCTTCAATGTCCACGTTTCTACTCTATACAGAAGCATTAAGTACACGTAACATTTAAAGAGCCCCATTCTTGTTTCTAGATTGTTTACCCTAATAGAAGATAGTTGTATTAGTGAATGTTAATAAACTGTAGCGCGGTTTTTTACATCTAATAGATTCGAGTTAATTGCTAGCACTATATTTGTGAATATCAAACTTGACTCCAATCTAAGAGCTGAGATCTTGTTGTTGTTGTGGAGAAAGCTCATTCTCGATGTGGTGGTTAATTACTTGAGATGAGCATAATCAAGTGGAAGATAAACATGGCTTAACTGCAGGCAACCTAAACTTCTTCTTCCTATTTATAAGCAATTCTGCTTATTCATTGGATTAATACCTCTTACTATTTTGACGACACGGGTCTCCTTCATTCAGCATACGCGGTTATTCCATTCTTTTTTTCTTTTTTGTTTCCATTCATTTATACACTGTACGTTACATTTTTTTCTAATGTTATCACTTCTCTTTCGATCTCCCAGCGTATTTCCTATAATTCTTCTCAGTACTCTCATCTCTGCCGTTTCCAGTAGACCCTGCGTTGTGGCTGTGTCGTCTTGTTTTTGAGGGATATGTCATTATTGGTCTTACACTGGCTTTAAAAATTCTTGACTTTATCTCAGTGTCAATGTGTCTGATTCGCCATATAGTGTTATTAAGGCATCCTGCCAGTCTATTTGCTGTTTGTACTTGATCTAACCAGGTTATATCTACCTTATCTACAGCCAGGTTAGCACCCTACTGATAAACTTTAAAGCCATACAGCTCATAGAAACAGGATTACGCTTTGGAACAGGAATGAAAAAAACCCAAACTTAATTAGGCTTTTATCAGCATGCGGAGCTATGGTATAAGTGACCCTCCTTTGAATTATAGCTTTTGTGGAACAAAACATGATTAGGAACAAATGAAACTCCAATGAAACTCAGCCAGGTTTTAAAAATTCCAGCGAGCGAGCATGCGTGGCATAGATCTGTTGAAATGAGGCATAGATTTAACAGAGTCTTGGCAGCCAGCGATAAAGCCTTTCCGAATTCGACCTAAATAATTATAGAAAAGTAGGAACTAATTACACAACCTAATTATAGGAGAATATAAAATGAAGCTGAAATAATCTTCTTCTTCTTCCAATGGCGCTACAGCCCAAATTGAGCCTTGGCCTCCTGTAACTTCTGCCTCCAACAAAGGCGGTCCCGCGCCACTCGTCTCCAAGCCCTGACGTTCAATAAGTTGTGCGCATCTGCTGTGACTTCGTTCTCCCATCTATTACGTGGTCTTCCCTTTGGTCTTCTGCCCTGCAATTTACCATCCAAGGCCTTTCTCGGCAATCTGTCGGCATCCATCCGTACCACATGACCAGCCCATCGAAGCCTTTGTACTCTAGCGAACTCTGCAATAGGTGCTTCTTTGAACAGTTGGTAGAGTTCATGGTTATATCTAGATCTCCACATCCCATTTTGAGTGATAGGTCCAAAGATCTTCCTTAGGATTTTTCTCTCGAAAACCTCTAATCTTCGTTTAGTGCTTTCTGTCAAAACCCATGTCTCGCATCCATAGCATACTATCGGTCTGATGATAGTTTTATAGACCTTAATTTTCGATTTTCGATGTACCGTCTTGGAGCGGAATATGTTAATCAGGGAAAAATAGGCTTTATTTCCCTTCATTATTCTCTTCTGAATTTCGGCCTCTTCTGTTCCCTCCGTATTCATTTCGACTCCCAGATAAGTAAAACTCTTCACTGTTTCAATGTCATCCTCTACTTTGATTTGATTTCTTGTTCGCTTTGTCCGCGTCTGTGTTAGTATTTTTGTCTTCTGTGTATTTATTTCAAGTCCAATCTCCTTGGCCGTTTTTTTCAGCTGCGAATATGTTTCTGCTGCATCATCCACTCTGCGGGACATGAGGTTAATGTCATCCGCATAGATTGGCTCTTCCGACATTCAAGCTGAAATAATATTGACTATCAAAACAAGAAAACTTGAGTACTTAGGCCATGTGATGAGAGACCAAAGATATTCATTATTGCAACTTATTATGCAAGGCAAAATTCGAGGGAAAGCAAATTGTGGGAAGACGAAGAATAGCGTGGCTTGAGAATATAAGGGAATGGTTTGAATACAGTAGTGCAGAACTATTAGAGGAGCAGTCAACAAGCAGTCAACAGGATCCGCATAGCCATGATGGTTTCTATCCTTCGATAGAAGACTTAAAGGAGAAGAAAAATTAATTGAATTAATTGCATGTAATAAGGGTCACATAGGTCAGGTGATAAAGTGTCTGACTTCCACGCAGAAGGTCAAGGATCGAGAACATTTAGATAGTGTTAAATATCTTCTTCTTCTTCAAGTGCCATCTCCACGACGGAGGTCGGCAATCATCATAGCTATTCGTACTGTTGAGACGGCTGCTCTGAAAAGTTCATTTGATGTACATCCGTACCATTCTAGCAGGTTGCGCAGACACGACATTCTACCCCTCCCTATTCTTATTTTTCCTTGGATCTTTTCCTGCATAATCAGTTGGAGCAAGGTGTATTTCTCTATACGTGTAATATTTCCGAGATATTCCAATATTCATGTTTTAATTATATTTAAAATTTCTATTTTTTTATTCATCCTTCTCAGAACCTCTTTGTTTGTGACGTGTTCTATCCACGATATTTTTAGAATTATCCTATACACTCACAGCTCGAATGATTTCAATTTTTTCATTGATGTCGCGTTTAAGGTCCAAGATTCATTTCCATAAAACAAAGTCGAGAAAACATATCATCTCGCCAACCTAACTCTTACTTCCATTTTAAATCCCCTTTACATAGCACTTTTCTCATTTTATTGAAATTTGCTCTAGCAAATTTCAACTTTTCTATTCTGATTTTGATCTCATGAATGATATCATTTGTGGAGTTAATAATTGTTCCCAGATAAGCATATTTGTCCACTTGTTCGACGTTTGCTCTGTTTATTAGAAGATTCTTGTTATTTCTTTGAGTTTTCTTACTCTTTTCGTACTCTTTTCCATACTCCGCTATTAATTCTGGTCACCAGTCTCTGAAGATCTTCATTATTTTCGGCTAAGATCATATCTAATGTTTAAATATCTATGGGCCCCAAAATAAAAAAGAACTATTATTAGTTGCATCTATACTTAATTTATCGATTAAATTAACAAAAAATTAATTTTGTTTTAGTCATTAAAATTGAGCAAAACTGCCTTGGGAGAAACAGCTTCTGGAAAACTGGTCAACCTTTTATCCAACGATGTCAGTAGATTCGATATAGTTAGTTTATTCATTCACCAATTATGGATGGCACCGCTATTGTCATTTATTATAATGGGTATACTGTACCAGAAAACCGGATATGCAGGAGTAGTGGGAGTTTTGGCAGTATTTGTGATAGTTCCTATTCAAAGTAGGTTTGATTCAAAATTACTTATAGTTAGAAGTTATTAAAAATGGGTAAAAACCCTTTAAAACTTGTTATATTAATTTTTTTTTTTTTTTTTTATTTATTTAATGTCGTTCGAACCACTGAGGTTATAGACGACAACAATGGAAAATACATATTAGAACAAAGAAAGGTTAATTAATTACATAATAACATGAAAGAAGATTGATAAGTGTAATTTGTGATACAAACTAGATTTTAATTTAAATATCTTTTATGCCTATAGCCGTTAAAAACTTTAAAATATTGTTTAGATGATTATTGTCTCTAAGAAGCTCGCCTATGTCAGTGGGAAGGTTGAGTTTACTTCTCGTTTCCTGGAAAATTTTACATTCGGTTAAAATATGTTTTACTGTATGTTGTTTGACACTGGTTGCAGTATGGAGGATTGTCTCTTGTAATTCGGTAAATATGTGTATGGGGGTGTGACCAAGTCGAAGTCGAGAAAATATGACTTGCTTTTTTCTAGGTAACACAAAGGGTTGTTTTTGTAAAACATTGTCTTTAATTTGCCTTAGTTTTTCGGAACACTGCGACCATTTGTTTTGCCACGCACAACTAACTATGTTTTTTAAGCACAATTTAAGATAATATTTTATTTAATTGAACTTGACCATCATTTGTAGCTGCTTCGTGAACTAGTCGGTCCACAACCTCGTTACCGTGTACTCCAATATGAGATGGAACCTAGATTAATACCACGTGTTTGTTTTCCTTTGCAGCATTTTGAAGTCTTTGTAAATGTCTTTATGAATATGATTGCTGGAGTATATGTTTTGGATGTCACAAAGGGCATTCATTGAGTCAGTTATGATTGTGTAATTTCTCTGGTCTATTTGTTAACGAATTTTAGAGCTTCAAGGATTGCGTATAGTTCTGCATTGGAGATAGTCCAGTTGTTATGCAACTTAAATTTAGCAATATGAGTATTATAGAAAATGGCTGCGCCCACTCCGTCCGTTGTTTTTCATGCATCTGTGTAGATCTATTGGTAGTCGCTAAATCTATCCATAATATCTTTGAAGTGGTTTATTAATATGGCTGGTGGGGATTCATGTTTATTAAATTTTGATAGATCAGTGATTACTGGTGGTTTATTTACAGTTCATGGAGGAGGAGGGTTTTCGGAAGGGTGGTATATGGTCGGAAATATTATGCTATATTTATGAAGTAATCGGTTAATTCGTTCATAGAAAGGCGGATTACATTAAGGATGAGATGAGAAGTAGTGGCTGAAACGATTGCTATGAATGGTATGGTAGACTGGGTTATCTATAGAGGATAGAACTTAACAAGATAGAATTTTACAAGAAATTTAAATTAAATTTGAGTTACATTATTTAATTTTATATACTAGGATGTTTAAGTTACAACAGGATAGATAACATGGTAACGTAAGACTCCACTGGAGGTTGCTAGTCCTGAGACAAAGTGTCCACGAGGACTTGCTGATATCAACTCGAGTAGTTCTCGAGGCGATACAGCCATTCTTGCAAAAAGTTTACAAGATCTCCAAACATTACTAAATCTAGTCAGTGAAGCAAGTTATCGGAGAGGCCTAAAAAATCAACATTTCAAAGACAAAGTGGATGGCAGCTGGAAAGATCCATATAGATCAAGGTCTGCTTTCTCTTAATGGAGAAGAGATAGAAAGGGTAAATCATTTCAAATACCTTGGCAGCTGGTTAAATGTAAATTGTGACTCTGATGAAGAGATGAATATCCAGGATCGAAATATCACGTAAGGCTTTTATGACCTGGAAACCAGTTTTATGCAACAGAAACCTGTCAATGAACATTCGTAAGAAGGTCCTGAAATGTTATGTGTGGTCGATCCTATTGTATGGTTGTGAGACATGGACGTTAAAAACCACAATGCTAAACAAGTTGGAAGCATTCGAAATGTGGTGCTATAGACGAATCCTAAAGATATCGTAGGTTTCGCACACTTCCAATGAAGATGTTCTTCAAATGATCAACTCAGAACGTCTGCTCATAAACACCATAAAGAGGAGAAAAACAGAATACTTCGGCCATATAATTAGAGGACCCAAATACCATTTACTTCGCCTTACAATACAAGGAAAAGTGGAAGGAAAGAGATGGATTGGTCGAAAGAAACTTTCATGGCTGCATAATATTAACAATGGTGTGGTTTCACAGTAGAAGAATTATTTCGCGCAGCAGCCGACAAAGAAAGGTTTCAGGAAATTGTAAACATGATGACGGCCAACGTCTGAATACGGACACGGCACCCAAAGAAGAAGAAGTACTCGAGTCAACTTGTAGCTCTTTAAATTTTGTTATATTTGAATGAATGTATGTTCATGTATACTTATCTCTTGTTTTGAGTTGTTTTTAAATAGAGTTTTATATAGTCTATTTTTTCATGGTAATATACATATCCAATGTGAAAGGGAGAAACCAGCGAGTTCTAGATTGAACATATATAACCTACTCCCTTTCTGATGGCTTTATATGTTATATAAAGGTCATAAATGGTAAATGTTAAACAAAAGTGGATGGGAAATGCAAACCTCTCTTGTGCCTTAGCTTATTTAATTGGGTTCCAATTGCACACCCTTGGCGACATTAAGTTCTGCTTTTTTATATTTAAGTATAGTTGTATTATTCTCATGTCTTTTTAATCGAGCCGAGTTTTGTGTAACGTTTATACCAATGACTAATGCTTTATATTGTCAAATGCATGACATTGTCACATGCATTGCTGACTAGACAGTATTCTTCGCAGCGAGTTAATAGATACGATCTACAATGATTATGTTTCAATAATTTTATTACTACATACATATTTGTCAACATTCTAGTATTGTTTCAGCTTACACCGGAAAATTATCTGCTAAATACAGAAAACAGACTGCTTTTAAAACAGACGAGAGAGTCCGACTAATGGACGAAATAATATCAGGAATTCAAGTAATCAAAATGTACGCATGGGAAATACCTTTCAGGAAAATAATCCGAATTGCCAGACGAAATGAAATAAAAATCATTACAAAATCTGCATATGTACGAGCTACCTTTATGGCACTGAACCTTTTCACAACTAGATTGGCTTTGTTCTGTACTTTACTCACGGTTATTTTGTCGAGTGAAACAATCACAGCTTCGAAGGTAAGTTTGAGTATATTTTAATCAATCAAATTTAAAATATTTATTCTCTGTTCTTAGTTGTGGGACATTCTGGCTCTTGCATACTTTTTCCTCTGTTTGTGATCCATATAGTTTCTATCTATAATATATTTTTTTAGTTATTTGTTACTTTTGTTTGCTAACTGAAAATGCTTTTAAAATATATGGTGTCTTGTATTAAACTACAAAATTTTAGATCCTAGTCATTAGATTTCTTGTACTGCTGAAATATCCAACTTATTTGTTGTGCATGTGGTGGTTGTGTTATGCCTTATTGAAAGTGGTCTTTCAGATCCATCCAGATGTACCTATGTGAGAAAATACTGCTCCGACTGCATATAGACTTGCATCAATTGATAATATTAAAGGTAAACTTAGGTCAAAATGTGCCAAAACTTTATCATTTCTCTTTTTATTGCTGTAAACGCTTCTTGATATTTTCTGTCCCATTTGAAAGATACTCCATCTTTAAGAATATTGTAAATTGTGATGTAAAATATTTATATTTATGTTGAAGTTTTTTAACAATTGGTCACATTTTAGACTATTATCGTTAATATTTAATGAAAACTTTCTCGTCTAAGACACATTCTGAAAAATATTTTATAGCTACTGGTAATAAGTATCGTAAAATTTAAATTTGGCGCCTTTGCATTTCCGGATATGTCCGCCATATTAAGAGGCCACTTTTATGAATTTTGGTCTCCTTTTCATAATGATTAGATTCCCCCTTTTGTCTTTTTGCTCGCTGATACTGGGCTTCACACATATGCATTTCCTTGTAGATTCGACTTCGTCCTCATCGCCAAATTGTTGTGTATGTGGTGGTTATGTAATGCTTTATTGAAACTCTTGTATTTTGTATTTATCGTAGATTTTATTTCATAAATTAAGAACAATGCAATTGTTTAAAATATATGTTGCAAAAGCATTGAAAGAGTGGAAACGAAAATGCAGAGGCATGGGCGTATACCTTGGAGAGATTTGCTTGTATACATTGCAGTTTGCTGATGACCAGGTTGTTATAGCCAAGAAAATTACAAGAAGAATATAGAAAGTGAGGACTAGAAATGAATACAGAAAAAACAAAATACCTGCCAATAGGTACCGAACTATCGAACATCACATTAGAAAAATAACGAAATCATCATTTTCTGCGACCATTACACATACCTAGGAATCGTTTTTTACACAACGGGGAAAGATGATGAAGAAATAAAGAGAAGAATGACACAATCCAGAAACACAATAGGTTGTCTAAACAGCATACTGTGGAGTCGTGAAATAGGAAAAGAAGAAAACACAATATCTGCCAATCTCTTATTAAAATCAATCTATTGTACGGAGCGGAAACTTGGCGAATAACCGAAAGCAACCAAAGAAAACTGGAGGCAGTAGAAATGGACGCTTTTAAAAGATCAGTAGGAGTGTCACGCAGAGAGAGAATACTTAATGATAAGATAAGACAGCAAATGGGGGTTGACAGCTCTTTAACAACAAACATAGAAAGAAAACAGCTGAAATGGTACGGACACGTCCAGAGGATGGATAACTCAAGACTTCCAAAAATAATTATGCAATGGATACCACCAAACCGCAGAAAGAGAGGAAGACCCAGGAAATCTTGGAGAGTACAACAAGACGTTCTACAACCAATTGATAATATATATATATATATATATATATCACATATATATATATATATATATATATATATATATATATAATATATATATATATAGTATATATATTATAATATATATATATATATATAATGAATACTGGATATTCGTGACTGTCAATTTAAACAAACAACAAAGTTTATTGGGGCTGCAGTCAGAAGTTTGGCCTAGCCAGAATTTGGGTAAGTTAAAACACACCAAGAAGATGTAGAAAACGAATTTATAGAACTTTTATTATTTTTAACTAAATTTTAAAATGTATTGTATCCATTATTGTATAAGTTAGAGTTTATATGTTTGTTATTAATGTTGAGTGTCATAGCTTCTTACAAATAATCTCAACGACTAGTAAGTACACTGACATTTTGTGATATATTGTAAATATTTACACATTTTTCTAATTACAGTGTCTTGATAAAGGAATTAAACAATTCCGAAAGCTAGACCAAAAGTCAAAAGAGTGTTTCTTTAACATCCCGGCCAAACTTCTGACTGCAGCCCCAATAAACTTTGTTGTTTATTGGGGCTGCAAAAAACATAGGACATATCCACTAAGTTACTACATGTAAAATCGTACTTTTCACATTCATAGACGTCAAAAGTGCATGTCAAAGTCAAAGTATCATACTTTGGAACAATTTATGTAACAATATTCTTTTTATCAGCCTTATTAATTTATTGTCCTCAACCATTACCACCTTAACCACTACAATTTTCGTTGGTAGTTTTGGTGATAATATTGGTTAAACTTCTGGCTTTTTGAAGTTTCTTTTTATTTCAGTTATTTCAACAGGATTTCTATTTTTATTATATTTCCACTTTTCTCTCTTTTCTGATCGTACCATTTCAAAATTAACTATGGTTTTCTGTAATGTATTGCTCACTAGAAAATCTATTCATACCACTTTCACTACTTGTTTCGTTTTAACTCACACATTTGAATAGTACTTCTGTACTTCAATAGTACATAATTTGCGATTACTCTTTTAGGTTTTCGTTGTAATGTCCTACTTCAACGTTCTCTCAATGGCTATGTCCACCATGTTTAGTAGAGGAGTATCTGAAATGGCAGAAGTTATGGTAGCTATTCGAAGAATTAGAGATTTTCTCATGAACGAAGAATACGATCCTAACAGAACAAATTTCGCTATGAATGGTAATGTAAATAGTGTAGACGATTTTAAAGAAATTGTAAGTTTGCAAAATTTGACTGTAAAATGGAATGTAAGCTTCAGCGACAATGCTCTTGAAAATATAAATTTAAATATTTCTGACGGACAGTTGATAGGAATTATTGGACCTGTTGGTAGTGGAAAAAGTTCTTTGTTACAAACATTACTGGGTATGTATTACTTAATTTTTAAATGATAAGAATAAAAACACTTTTCACAGATTTCTTTAGGAATACTTTCTTATATTATCGAATTCTTAGAAATATTAATTTTTTTATCATCCATACCAGTAATCTTTACACATTTCTCATCCTAATTTTTTCTTTTATCTTGAGCTAGTTGCATCCATTTTTTTACTAGTATATTATTGAAAGCTAGGATCATTGAAGTTCTTCCAATATTTTCCATCCAGGTAGTTTGCATTGAAATTTTATTAATAGATTTGAAGCAACTGACAACCTAAATATTTGTAAGCAGTATGTACACTAAGAGTCGGTCAGATAGCTCAGCGTGGCTGTGCGGCTGCCTCTCATCATCGCTTCACTGTCGAATGGTTCAGTGGATGTGGATCGAGGCCCCAGCTCGGTGTACAGAAAACAAAAAGTCTAACGCAGCAGTTTAAAATTCTAGATGAATCTGCGGCTTAGACTAGAATATGCTGGGATCTGATCGGCCTATGGTGGAGCATACGGCAAGAGATAAGGGCTTGCGGCTCGGTGATACTCCTCCATAGATCCCTACCGGACGCGGCGTAACGCCTAAAAAACCGGATATATATATAATATATATATATATATAATATATATATATATATATATATATATATATTGTTATGCTATTTAAATTGTATTCTATTGCTTATTTAGAAAAGATCCTGTCTATATTTATTAAATGATCTAATCTCCAATTAATCACAATAAATCAGCATTAATTAATTACAATCTCAGGCTATTAACTTGTACTATTTACCTTTGATCGTGGATTCAAAATATTTTCCAATTGGCTTCCTAATTGGATAGGTAATATGACCTGAATAAAATACACAGAATTTCAACTGAACTATATGTGAGATGTCCTTTATTTTAATGAAATTTTATATAACAATCAATCCTGTAATATTTGCAATATAATACTTTAAATATATGAGAAGTTGTTTTCTATCATGGACCCAAATGTTATTTTACATTGATTTTTAATATGTGTTATAACTAAGCTCTCTTTATAATTTTATTCTTTAAATGATCGCAAAATTAACTGTCTCTATTATTTATTCAATTTATTTAATTAATAAATGAAAACCACACACTCCTGCTCTAATGAAAATTGACTGACCTTTCGTTCTCTGCCGTTGCAATTCTATGGCCACGCCATAAAAAAAAACCTTTCTCTGCTTCTGCTCCTATTGTGGTCCAGATGACGTACACCTTTCTCCTATCTGTCCTTGTATCTGCAACCCAACAACTCGTGTAATTCTATGCAGCCTCCTTTTGAGCCAATCTCCGCGCCTGTTTATTAACTTCAAATGTTTCCGGCTTCGTCTGATATTAATATTCTTATACCCTTTGGTTTTTCTATCTCTCTGGTACCCGTTCCTCACACTGATCAGCTTTTACACAGCAAATAAACACACCCGGTAAATTACGTCTTTCGGACTTCAAACAAACACAAACCACAAAGCTCCTTCCTTCTTGGGCGACGAAAACTGACTAACTCCTTTCCTCTCTCCTATCTCATAGCCAAAACCACTACCTCCTTGCATTCAAAAATTGACCAATAAAAATCATCCACCTCTGTGACGTATATCGTTACCAACCAACTCTCTCTATAAAACGCCAGTCGGGTAATTCCAGAAAACAACATTCTTTAATTATTCTAACTAAATCTATCTGCTTTACAAATATTTCTTACTAATACTACAAACGATACCTGTTTCCTCAATTCAATGTCCTTTTGTTAATAAACTTTTACCGATAATAATCTTTCGGGGAGAAAAACCACCGCAAATCCCGGTCTATTGTTTAAACACACTGTCTATAACACTTTTATTCCGGGTAAATCCATTCCACAATAACCGACTTATTTAAATTTCTTATCGATAATATTTGAAAGTCTTGTCTCTGAGGCCTAATGAACAATTCTTCGAACAACTTAAAATACATATTTTGTCTTATACAGGATGTTTGAAAATTTATATGCCCGTGTCTTTATGAAATATCAATAATTTTAATTTTTATTTAAGTAATAAAATTTGTATATCGGTTTTTTATATTGCTAATGGACATTCAAAAAGTACAACAATATATATATATATATAAATATCTATATATATATATATATATAATATATATATATATATATATATATATATATATATATATGTACACTAAGAACATTTTAATCAATCCCCAAATATTTAGTTTCTTACAATTTGTTTAAGGTGAACTTGACATAACCGAAGGTAACATGAGAGTTCGAGGTCAAATATCCTATGCTTCCCAGGAACCGTGGGTGTTTGCAGCTACTATTCGTCAAAACATTCTTTTTGGAGAAGAGTACGACAAAAAGAGATACCATGAAGTTATACAAGCTTGCTCTTTAGAGAAAGATTTTGAGCAGTTTCCAAATGGCGATTTAACTCTTGTAGGTAAGAAAATATCCGAAATACTAAATACAGATTGAACCAAATTAAAACGGAACATACAATTTAATACATGTCTGTTTGAACTGCATTTGAAATAGTGGACCAATATAAAACTTGGACAAAAATAAATCCATACCTGGGTATAGACATTGTATAAAATATCGTTCAACTATCTGTCTCGTAACAATGTTGTTTGCGTAAGACGGGTTTGTCTAAGCAAGCGATAATAGTTCAGGAAATGAAGGTCGAAAAAAGTTAAAACTTCGCAATTTTTTCGTCCTGCATTTATCAAGTTGAAATTTTAACAGAAGGTAGGTGATAGCCCAAGGATCAAAATCTATATCGAACCGAAGTGCGCTGAAGGGTTTTATGGGTGAAAACTACCCCTAATTTTCAAAAATTATAAAATAACATATTAAACCTGAATATGGGTAAGATTTGGTTTGAATTAGTTAAATAATGATTATTTTATACTTTTGAATAGAGTTCCATCATATTTCAACCCTTAAAAAGCAACCCTTGTTAGAGATTAATGTAAAAAAATTACTAATTCTAAAAAAATGATTTCGTCTTGGATCGATTTGGATAAAAATTTGGATTTAAGCTCAATTCACCCGCTGCTTTATAGTTTATGTCATGTCGACGAACCCTGATTGTTCTTAGGGGTGAAAACTACCCCTAATTGTCAAAAATTATAAAATAACATATTAAACCTGAATATGGGTAAAATTTGGTTTGAATTAATTAAATAATGATAGTTTCGTGCTTTTGAATAAAGTTCCATCATATATCAACCCTTAAAAAGCGACCCTTATTAGAGATTAATATAGAAAAATTAGTAATGCGAAGAAAATGATTTCACCTTGGAACGATTTGCATACAAATTTGGAATTAAGCTCAACTCACCCTCTGCTTTATAGTTTATGTCATGCCGATGAACCCTGATTGTTCTTAGGGCTGAAAACTACCCCTAATTTTCAAAAATTGTAAAATAATATTACAAATCTTAAGATGAGTGAAATTTGGTTTGGATTAGTTAAATAGTGATTTTTTTATACTTTAAAATACAAATTCATACATTTTCAACCCTTAAAAATCAATTGTTATGAGTGCTATAGGTGAAAACAATTTTTTGCCAAAATTTTGCAACTTTTCAACTTTTGAAAATCACCCTTTACAACATTGCAGTTTTTATAAACTAATTTATAAGATATAAATTGAAAAAAGTAGAATTAAATACAAAAAAATTTATCAACATAAAAAGGCACCATAATTATATTCTTATACATTTACATAAATAGTTGGAAATATTTACATTTATAGTAAAACAATTATAATATTAATTTTATTCGTCATCAATTACATCTTCATCGTGATCTATGTCATCCTCATCTTCTTCAATTATTGGTGGACTGTTATTGCACCCTTCACCTGAGCACCCAGAACAAGTAGAGTTACAGTATAAACCAACTTTTCTGCACCCACATGAAACGCCGCATCCTTTTTTGCATTGGCAAAAAGTAATTTTCAAAAGTACATCGGGTGCAGGTTGTTTGTTCATGCGTACTGGTAATAACAAACCATCTTTGGAATACCATCCCCAATCTGTTGCTCTGATATTTTTATTGCCAAGCCATAGACACATGAGCAGATGTTTTATTCTGTTGTATGGGATTTCAAAATAAGAACGCTTACAATTTCGAATGTATAACGCCCCACTAGCTAATATACCGGTTTTGTAGATTATTATGCTCCGAAATGTACTGTACTATACTAATGGAATTTTCCGGAAAAAAATTAACTGGTTTTTTTAACGTATTTCCTTTAATTTTTAACGATAGAGTGTTTCTTCAAAAACGATTTGTAGAGGTTTTTAAGAGCTACAAGGATCTGTGAATTAAATCTTTTTGGAACCCTTGGTTTTTAAATGGGGTGAGTTTAAAGGGCCCGAAAAAGATGGTGCTTGATCTTAAATCGATGCTTTAAACGGCTATATCTCGCCAAATATTCATTGTACAACAAATCTAAATAAAGGATAATTTTAGTCATTAAAAAAGCTACAATTTGGTAATTTTTATTTTTTTTCATATATTCAGTATTTTCGGGCATATTTAAAAAAAGAAGGGTAAAAAATATGAAATTGTAAATCGTTTCTCGCTTTAACGCTGTACTTTTTCTAAAACTAAGCATTTCAAATGGGTCAAACTTCTTGGACGTATTAACAATACATGTACAAAGGGAATTGCAGAAGGGTGAAGATCGATTTTAATTATGGGGGTGGTTAGGGGGTTGTTTTCATCGATTTTTTCGTAAAAAATGAGGTATTGACCTTATTTTCATCATAACTCACTCAATTTTTGAGCTAAAGTCTTTTTTTGTGATAGGTCTGTTTATGCTCTTTAAAAAAGGTTTTGTGAGTTTTCTTCCAAAAATGCATCATTTTCCGATATTGACTTTGAATCTTTCAATTTGGCATTTGAAGAAAACCGCTGAACATTGATAGGCCGTATTTCGGTTCCTATTATATCGCAAAAACATTTTAAAAAATGAATTGTATTTGTCTTTTTAAAAGCTACAAATTTGTTCTCTACAATTTTTTTGATAAAATGCACCATTTTCGAGTTATTCGCGAAAAATCGATTAAAAACGTGGATTTTTTTCGTCTAAAAGTTGTTACTTTCAATCGCGAATAACTTGAAAAATATCATTTTATAAAAAAAATGTATAGCACATTTTTTGTCTAGAATCACTTTTTTAATCGAAACCTGTAGTTAAAACGTAAAAAAAATTTTCACCCTGGAGATGGGGTGGCAACCACCCCCTAGGCTTTGGCGCACTTTGGTTCGATATAGATTTTGATCCTTAGGCTATTACCTACCTTCTGTTAAATTTCAAGTCAACCCACGCAGCACGAAAAAATTGCGAGGTGAAATGCTTCATTTCCTGGACTATAACTGGTTTGACAGCATATTAAAATCGTAGATTTATGTGTAGCTTTCAATTTCAGTTCAGAATCCAGCAGCTCGCTGAAGTATTGGATTTTTATAATATAATTATTTGACAATCTTTTGTTGGCCAACCAAATACAGCAGAATTGAGCCGAAATACATTATATTCCTATGTTCCGAATTTATTTCGTTCAATCTGTATATTATACATAGGTATTTTAAATATGTACAATTTTATTAGAGTAAAAACTTAACGTTTTTAATTTGTGGGCAAACTATTATTAAACTCTGTATAGTTGCAATAGGGCATGAATCCTCGGCACACATGTAGCACTCTACAGTCTGATTGTGTTTCTTCAGAAATACAGAAACCAGTGCAAATACATTTCTCTATGTTTAGTTAATTACTAGAAAGCTCTACTCTGCGTCAAACATACAGAGCTAACAAAAGCTACAGATTAGAATAATAGACTTGAATGATTCAATATTTAGTCTTAATTCTTCCATTAAACTGCATCTGTAAAAAAGTGGGAAATAAACAGAACTTCAGAATAGAGAAAGATGTAAGGCTGTGTTGCGTTTCCTCTCTCTGGTTAAGTAACTGAGGCATTTGACACAGCCACAAAATACCTGGCAGAGTTAAACCGACCGGAGTAACATTTATGAATATGAGAAATGTTTAGCAACAAGAGACTTAATTTAATGGTACGGTACCGTTTTGTAAAATGCTTGATTTACTCAGTGCTGCTATATGAAGTTGAGACTTAGACAATACGAGCTTATGCCATGCGTTGCCTTGAGGCTTTCAAAATGTGGGTGTTTTGCATAATCATTAAAATTTATTGGACGGATCATTTAACCACCGCCAATGAATTACGCCGAATAGGAAGGTAAATGGACTGCTGCAAATAGTGAAGCGAATGAAAGCAGTCTTTCTGGGTTACATATTTAGGAACTTCAAGTAACAATTCAGCATTCAATAAAAAGGCACATTCAAAGTATTAAAGAGCATCTGTAAGTTTGTGTATAATTATTTTTGTATAGTATCTAGGACAGTTATTCAATGCGATTACATTCGTTTTAGGTGATAGGGGATCATCTTTGAGTGGTGGCCAGAAGGCTAGAATAAATTTAGCAAGAGCTGTATATAGAGAAGCTGATGTTTATCTCTTGGACGATCCGTTATCAGCTGTGGACATACACGTTTCCAAACATCTATATGAAAAATGCATTAATGGCTATTTGGCAAACAGAACGAGAATTTTAGTTACACATCAAGTACACTATTTGAAGGATGCGGATAACATAATTATTTTAAATAATGTAAGTTTCTTTAAATATTATCTATTACTATATAGGGTGGTAACTTTGCTTATCTTTGCAAGGCATTTTAATAATAAGGAGTTGTTATTGTAAGACTGCGTTCAACGCCTTGGAAAGGCGTTGGAATTAAATAAAATTAAATAAAATTGAATAAAAATAAATAAAATTATATAAAAATAAATAAAATTATAAAAATTATAAAGTTATGTAAAATTATAAAAATTTATAAAAAAAGTTATAAAAATTATATAAATTAATAAAACGAAATAAAATTAAATCAAATTAAATAAAATTAAATGTAATTAAAAAAAAAATTAAATACATAAACGATAAATAAAATTATAAAAACTTATCAAAAATTATAAAAAAATATTAAAAATTATATATATTTTTTAAAATTTTGTAGTTTTCTACCATGTATCAAGAATTACTAGTTTATAATTATTTTAGGGACGCATAGAAGATGAAGGAACCTTTAACTTTTTGGCAAACAGTGACAATGTTTATGCAAAACTTTTAACTGCTGAGCCAGAAAATTTGGAAGAGAAGAAACAAGACAGATCTAAATATTCTAGGCAACTATCAATAAGAGTAAGTGTGTCATAGAATTGAGTTAAGTTATAACAATAATACATTTCTTATTAATAAAAATATTAACATAAATGGGGTGCTCAAGAAAAGAAACTTTTTATATTTATTTTTAGCCGAAAAATTACATTCGTGATAAAATGATTTGTTTGTTCTGAAATCCCATGAAATCAAATAAAATTCAAATTTTTAAAACCCTGCCTTATTTCGTAGTAAATTTTATGTAAATCTGTATGCATTTCGGTATTAAGTTATAAAATGTAATAATATTTTTTTAGTTTCATGACCGTTATCGATCGTTGGATATCATGGTGGATACCATATTCGCTATCGTGACTTTATTGTCCACGTTTACCTTAGCTCCCTCGACGATTTTTACCCTCTTGAGAGACATGGTCAGAATAATCAGCCGAGAGATCTATTTAGAAAAATACGCTACCTGACAAGAGACTTCAGAGCCAGAACTTGGGCCATTGAAGATAACACTGGAACCCTGAGAACAAACAGAGAAGACATAGCAGAGACATGAAGATCGTATTGCAGGGACCTATATAAAGATGATCAACGCCAAGAGCTTGTTAGCCAAATCTATGACGAGGTGGAAGAAGAACCTGATATACTCGAAAATGAAGTAAGACAGGCTATCAACAAGCTCAAATATAACAAAGCTCCAGATATGATAACAGCAGAAATGCTTAAAGCCACAGAAGAAACCGGCGTAAAGTTACTTCATCTACTTTGTAACCAAATATGGCATTCCAAACAATGGCCTGAAGACTGGACATAATCTACAATAACGACCATACATAAAAAAGGCAGCTTCCATAAATGCGACAATTATAGAACTATCTCTCTTATATCCCATGCCAGCAAGATAATGCTACATATAATCAATGAGAGACTGAAAACATTCCTTCAAAGAGAAATTCCACAAGAGCAAACTGGATTTACCAAAGGTAGAGGCACTCGAGAACACCTGCTGAATATAAGACAGATAATCGAGAAATCTAGGGAATTCAATATCCCACTATACATCTGTTTTATAGATTACCGTAAAGCGTTCGACAGGGTCAAGTGGAGACACTTATGGCGAATACTAAAAGAAGTATACGTACCACAACATCTAATTACGCTTATAACTGAACTATATGAACACACTACTGGATTAATTAAAGTACTTGACACACTTTCGAACGAATTTCATCCAGAACGGGGTGTCAGACAAGGATGTATACTATCTCCACAATTATTCAACATATATGGGGAGTATATTATGCGAAGACCACTTGAAGGATGGGAAAAGGGCATCTGAATAAATTGTCATAAACTAAACAATCTACGTTTCGCAGATGACACAGTTCTTCTTGCAAATAGTCAAGCAAAGCTGATAGAACTTATACGACTGATCGAAAACGAAAGTCAAATATTTGGTCTGCAATTAAACATATCGAAGACAAAGATCATGATAGTGATAGACTACACAACAATCATCCACACATAACCACAATTGACCGGTTCGAGGTTGTGAGCTCATACTTATATCTGGGATCATTAATCACAAACACAGGGTCATTACAAGAATAGATTAAACGTAGATGTGATCTAGCAAACGTTGCCACAGTAAAAATGACCAAAATATGAAAGGACTGTCAAATTTCAAGAGCGATAAAGATAAGGTTGATCAACTGCTTAATATTCCCAATACCGACCTACTGATGTGAATCTTGGAATCTGAAACAATCGGAGAGAAGAAAGATAGACGCCACTGAAATGTTCTGTTGGAGACGAATGTTACGAATTCCTTGGACTGACCGTAGAACAAATAATTCAATTTTAAGAGAGCTAAAAGTTAGCCAACGACTCTCTAGTAAAGTCCATCTCCAACAATTAAAATATTTTGGGCATGTTATGAGAGCAATTACAGAAAACATGGAAAGACTCATAATACAAGGAAAGGTAGAAGGCCGAAGATCACGAGGAAGATATCCAACAAGATGGATAGATCAAATTACAAGAATATGCCAAAGACCTATGCATGAATTAAAAGAAATGACCAGAGACAGAGATGTCACTTGCCCTGAATGATCATATGTAAAAGTTAGTACTTTCAGAGTGTCTCATAATTTGATCGATCTATCGATCTATCGATCCAGATCATTCCATTGGTATACTCACATCTCAAAGGATTCCAATAGCCTTTGAATAACTTGGAGTCCAAGCTTCCATTCCATGCCGTAGAACTGGAAAGATATAGCAATATGTTATTTTAAACGCAAAGGATAATACTAAAATCGTGGCTGCAAAGCACGTTCCTCATTTTTTACAAAAGTAGCTCTGGCTCATTCTATTCGGCTTTTAATATCTACGGTTTGAATTGGTAATGATATTACTACCGAGACACACGAGTTTTTCTACTCTGTCCAGTGTGATATCTCTGACTTTTATACCACCATCCTGTATATCATTTTATTTGATAATTATCATATATTTAGTTTTCTTAACTAGTTTTAATCTATACTAATCATCCGGTTTGTTTTATGTTCTTCACTAGATTTTGAAGGTCTTCTCCAGCAGTTAGCCAGCACTAAAGTATCTTCGGTATATTTAATATTATTCACGGTTACGTCATTCACAATAATACATTATGTTGTCTCTATTAATAGTTCTTTAAATATTTCCTTTGGATTCAAGTTAAAGGGTACAGGAGATAGTATAGAGCCTTGTTTCACTCCTCTTTTTATATTTATTTTGTTTGTTTTGTTTATTTAAGTTTTGCTTTAGAAATACCATGTAATAAAAGTATTGTCTTTTTGCAAATTTCCCTTGCCGCCCCATCGCAGCAAACCTGGAACAACAAAACAACATTCTAGAAGCTTGGTAAAAACTTACAAGCTTCTTTAAAGATAATTACCTTGTACGTAAATGATGCTTTTTTTCATTCCTTGGCCAGAACCTGGTATATTTCGTTTATTTTCTAATTTGTCAATATTTCCATATAAATAGGCATCATGAAGATCTTTTGTTCCATTGGTATATAAATTGCGGAATATTTTGTTACAGTTTTCATGGCCAATTTCTTTAAAATACTTTAGCTTACAGTGACAGTTACTACCAATATGTTTTCCGAATTTATGTATATCAGCAATGGTCAAATAAGGCTCACGCTTAACTCGATTTTTTTGTATGTTTCTTTTCCATGACGCTGTACGTAAAAGTCGCTTTTTTCATTGTTGTGTCGTGTTACTAAATATTTTATATACGTTACTCGTCGTATTTTATATTTTATATATGTTACTAAACATCTTCTGACTTATTAGGGACGGCTTCAGGTTCTTGATTTTCTCTATCAGAGCTAAATGAATCATCAAAAGCGGTATATTTTGTAAGGGCTGAATTTTGTGGTTATGTTTATTTTTAATTGGCACATAATCTTCGTCACTGGATGTATGGTGCATTAAAAAGATGGTGACACTTTCTGTATCAGAAGACATTATTTTAACTTTAAAATTAATAGTAAACACCGTGAATTGCTCAAAAAATAACAGCTTGATGCCAACAACACAATGAGTTATAACCTATTTGACTGAGAACTGAGAGCACTGTGCATTAACCAGTCAAGTCCAGGACTTCACCGATTTGTACACAAAGTATCAAAATGCAGGCAACACCATATACACTCTGTTATTGATGTTTTTATTCATATCGAGCTGTTTTTTATTTGTTCATATCATATTGTTTTCTATAAAGGAACTAGATGGCATTACAAAAGGTGGCGTTTACTTCATTACCATAAGCAATAATCCATTATTAAGGAATAATGTAAGAATAAATAAGAATATACAACTATTCGACATAACATTTACCAACTTCAAAACATGTCTACACTGTTTTTTAAGTTTATTATATATTTTTTTAAGTTCGTTGGTATTACAATTAGTAATATTACAAAAAATTAATATTTTTTTCGTTAATTCCTTAATTACTTCTACAAACCTTTGCTTTCAGAGTCGAAAGGATTCAATGGCAAGTATAGTCAGTGAATTAAGTATTGCAGATATTCCTTTATCAAATGATGTCGACTTTGAAGAAGAAGGAGCCGAAAAAGAACAAGAGTTTCAAGTTAAAGACCTTCAGGAACAATCATCAAAAGGAAAAGTGGGTGGTTCTCTGTTGTTTAAATATATGTTGGCAGGTTCTAATACATTTGCTGTTTTAATATGCGTTATATTATATATAGGTAAGAGAAAATATCTTTTTTCTAGCGTTTTTAACTTTTTATTTGCGGATTTCATACTAATTTACAAATATCATTAGGTAGAAAGCCAAAGAGGTCTAGAATTATTATTCCTCAAAAAGCAGCATGATAACGTAAAAGTATACAGAGAAATATTTATACAGAGTCACACACATAGAACTAACTATGTACCTAACAATTCTGCATAATACAACCACAGAATTGTCACAATCACAACCTGTTAATCTCAAATAAAATGATTCACAATCTGCAAAACACCCTTTTACTGCTTGGAAATTTTAATCCTTTCTAAGACTGTTAAGTGCTTATAAATTGACACTCTCCTATTGATTATATGACTATTGCAGAATTGGTTGGTAATAAATCTATCATTTGACGGAAATATTCTCAAAAATATTAGTTGTCATTTCTTCATGGTAGTCGTTCGTAGAATTTGAAATAAAATTTAGCAAGCCTTAATCAACAAGTCCTTTATCTTCTCCAATATGAGTAATAATTAAACGGCCCATTTGCCATTGGGAAATTTTAAAGGCCATAGACAAACCTTCTATAAATGCCTGACGAGCATTTTTAACCAGTTTATCTTGCAAAACTTTATTTAAAAAATGCCCTTTGTTTATCCATGGCATGTTATATCTAAATAACAATTATTTTTGCCTTCTCTCCTTAATTTTTGAATTTCCTTATCAAATAATTTCTTCTTTCCCTATGAGCGTAGATTTTTTATTGTTATTCTCATAAACCAATCCTAATTTACATAAAGTTTTCCACAATATATCTCTTTTAATGTTTGCAAAAGAATACTCTAGGCTTAATTTCACCACGTGATTGCCAGTATAAGCAATCCCCCACTAACTGACCAACTATCTTATTCGGGCAGATTAGTTAGTAAGTGGTAGGGCACTTTTTTGTCCTGGAATTGAGAAATTGGACGAACCTATTAGTGGTCAACGTCATAAGGATATAGAAGGCAACGGCAAAATAACTACATTAATGATCGTCAGATTTCCCTAGAACAATAACCATGCAAACTACGGTCAATCACATGGGCCATAGTCCGCGGCGAACCTTTAATAGCCGGGAGTGCTATGAATTTCTGCGATGAGGAGCCACCCGAATATGGCAACCAACTATATAGAGAACAATTGCTTTTTAAATTTCGGGACATAGAATATGAGAAGTTTGTTTGAACAAAGGAAAGACGCACAACACTATTCAGGAATATTTCTTCTTTTCCGTTTACCCTCAGCATGCAGCACATATTCAGCTGAACTCTACGCCATATACCGTGCTGTGAAACTTCTTAACGAGCTTACACTCACAACAGCCCTTATCATAACAGATTCCCTTAGCTCTCTAAACTCATTAAAATACATTTTTCCGAAACATCCTTTTGAAAAGTTGCTAAAATACCAGCTTTCCCAAGCTCATGAACATGGAAGAAGCGTCCAATTTTTATGGGTTCCCTCACACGTTGAATAACAGGAAATAAAGAAGCTGACACGATTGCACGAGAGGCTATTTTAAGTGATTTGTCGGAGCCGATAGACAAGTGTGTTTCCAGTGACTTAAAAGCTTATTTTAAAAATAAAGTGTTGTGTTTGTGGCGAAATGAGTGGTCATAATAGACGGGAACAAATTGCGGTTGCGCGTTTACGTCTAGGACATATCAGATTAACGCACTCCTACCTTTTCACAAAGAAAAATCCACCTATATGTGATCAGTGTAACGTCCGATTAACAGTCGAACACTTTTTGATAATTTGTAGTAAATATGATCAAGAAAGACAGCGCTACAAGATCCCAAACGCTCTACCACAGGCTCTAGGTCAAAATTGTTCCTATGAAAATATAGTGAATTATCTCGAATCCATAAACATTTTGTACAATCTGGAGGTGTCTAAACTTTGTTATTTATATTTTGTTCCATCGAATAACCTTTTGGTGGATGCGACATCTTTTTCTAATAAAAAAAAAACTATTCAGGAAATCAACAGACTGAACCTAGAAATATTAGGCATAGGCGAAATGCGTTGGCCTGGTTCCGGTAAAACATTGGTCATGAATAAAACGATATATTACTCTAGAAATGACACCCGAGATCATCTATATGGGGTTGGAATAGATATCTCCAGGAACATCTAAGCAGCCGTTGTAAATTTTGTTCCCTTTTCGGATAGAATGCTATTATTACAAATAAGGGGTAAGCCAGTGAACATTAATGTAGTAAAAGTTCATTTTTATGAACTACTCAAACAACTTCTATAATACACAAGAAAGGAAAGAATTACTACAATAATAGGTGATTTAAATGCAAAGATTGAAAAAGGCCGAGTTGACAATATAATAGGTGATTATTAGACTTCGGCAAATATGCAAAATAAAAATGTAGAAAATATGCGCATAAATATGCACGTGTTTACCCGAAAATATGCAAATATTTTACAAAATATGCATACAAATAAATAAAAAAATCGTAAAATAGTAACAATTTTATTTAAAAAAAAAGTGTACATAACTAAATATTTCCTACTATTCATTAAGATTTACATTTATTTTAAGTAACTACATCATTTTTAAGTATGAATAAACTTATTTAGAATTATGGTAATAATAAATGACCAAGTGGTGTTCAAAATTTTCTAACAAAAACTTGTGGCTTCTGTCTGAGTACATATATTTATATATGGAAAAACTTCGTTCAACATCAACTGATGTAACGGGAGCATTTGTTCAAACTAACCAAAACATTTGGTTCTAAATTAATTGTTTCCGAAATATTTCCAGCTAGAACACTGACTACTTCAGAAAGAATATGGTAACCTTTATTTTTTTCCATAGTAGCTTCAATTTTTTTTAAAATATCTTTTCCAATATTACCTCTAACGTTCCGACAACATGACGCAAATTCTTTTATTAATGCTGTACTTTCGAACAATGACAGTTTTGGTGATTCTAACTGAGTAATTGTTTTTTTGAACAAAACTAAAATTTGATTTATAAATGAAAGTTCTTGTTGAAGCAAGTTACTCTGAAAAGTTTGTTTAGAATCCAAAAGAGATTGGGAACTTTCATCTGTTAACGTATCAATTATGTTCTTTATTTTAACAAAATGATCTGCATAAAAATTAGCTGCTTCTAACCATGTTCCCCATCGCGTTAAAATAGGTTGTGGTGGAAGAGGAATGTTAGGTAGCATTTCTTTATAAAGTTGAATTCTTATAGGAGATTTAAGAAATACTTTTTTGACACTGGATATCATGGTATTTACAAGAGGAAACTTTTTTCGTATTTCCTCTGCAACTCTGTTTAATCCATGCGCTACACAAGTAACATGTATTAAATCTGGGAAAAATATTTTTAAATTTTGTCCTGCTTTCACCATATAAGGAGCAGCATCCGATAAAATAAGCAGTAATTTATTAGAAGGAATAGTTGTCGGAAGAAAAAAAGTTGCTAATGTTTCTTGTATAAAACGCGAAATTGTTAAAGCATTTGTTTTCTCAAGTTGCTGGCATGAAATAAGATGAGATTTTGGTAAGGTATCTTCTTTAAGAACACCAATCAATAAATGAGCAATATACTTTCCTGAGGAATCAGTGGTTTCGTCTACAGATATGTAAAAATAATTATCTGCAATTTCTTCCTTAATATTAATTAACACCGACGAGTATAGCCCGTTCACATTATTTCTTCTTAGAGACCGATCACTTGGAACATTAAGTTTGCAATATTTTTTTAGAAACGAACTAAAATTTACATTTGCTAATTTTGAAAGCGGTATGTTTGCAGACACTAATGCGCGACACAAGTCTTCATTAAAAGTTTCTTGCTCATCTAATTTTTTTGAAGTAGATTGGAAACATTTAGCCATTGAAGTTTGATGTTTTCCTCCTATTTTTCCTTTTTTTGCAATGTGTGAAGCAGTTCTCACATGTTGGTCTATCTGAAATTTCTTCTCACATGCTATCTATAAATAAAAATAAAAACCTTTATTTTAACCCAACCTTTAAAATATAAAAATATACAAGGTGTTTTTGGTTAATCAAATAACTGGTTTGGAAAAAAAAACACTCGCTAAGTGTTTTAAATGCAGTATTAATCCACAAATTAGTTTTTGTTACTAACCATTAGTACATCATATAACTTATTTTAAAATTCAACAAAAGTTTTTTTTTTGTTAATTCAATTACAATAAAAATAATTGTGTTTTAGAATAGCTGACTTCATAAAAAAAAGTAAAGGTGAAAAATTTTTCTAAATACACACCATTGTATTTTACCATGGACAATTTTTTCTCACTAAAGGAAGCTATTTTTCATTTAAAAACAACCTACGAGTACTAAATTTCAAGTAAATACGTTTATTGGTTTTAAAGTTATTGTTGTTATTAACTAAAAGAATTTAATTTTTTTTTAATTTTAACACCCTGTATCTCGAAAAGTAAATAAGTTTGACCCCTCATTAACTATATCGTTTTGTTCAATTTTTCGAGAAGTATCTACAGTCAAACGTTGTAAGTGTCATTTGGAAACACCCTGTATGTATGAAATATTAGATATTTAATAGAAAATATTAGATACTTACAATTTTGCCACAGACTGAACAGTAGATTTTTCCCATATCCATAGACAGCTCTTTATAAGGTTTAATCCAAGTTGAAGCACTTGTTCTTTTAGGCATTATAAAATCACAATCTTCCTTTTTTTACGCACAACGAGTGTTTACGCTTTGAATATCAAAACAAAAATGATTTACAAATCTGAGCATCAAATTAGAAATGTTTAGGTACCTAATTCAATAAACTGGGAGATTTTGGAAAATCCCTAAATTAGGAACAAAACTATTAGCCGTTTACCTGCTGTTAAGATACAATAAATTGTAGATAGATTTGGGGATTAGATCATAAAATGCAAATGAGCGAACCCTTAGCGATTATCCAATAACTGAATGCCTCAGTGACCGAGACTTTCTAAGAATGTTGAGGGCTACTTAAATTGATCTTCTTTGAAATTGTAAATGTTTTGTACCTGTAGAGATTACGTACTTAGATCATTTCTTGATTAAAATGACTACAAAATTTTATACAAGAATTGAAATAAATTGGTATGTTTAAAAATTTTCAAATACAGTATAAAAATCTGAACTTTATGCACTTTATGCAAACTTTTATACAAATATGCCAAAATATGAAATATTTGCATAAAATATGCACAATATGCAAAATATGCAATATGCATATTTGCCGAAGTCTAGTGATTATAGTTTAGGAATAAGGAACGTTAGATGGGCTCAATTTTGTCAAGAAGAAAACCTGGCGATTATGAACACATGGTTTCGATTACCACCTCGTAGACTGTATACCTGGAGGTCACCATAGGATAGTGAACAAAATTGCATTAGAAATCAGATTGACTTTATTCTAACCAATCTAAGATTTAGAAATTCCATTGTAAGCATCAAGACTTTTATAACGCAAGCGTTATTTTTTTGTATCTATTATTTTATTGAAATTGTTTGTATTAACAATATTCTTTAACCTAGTAACTTAAATTATAACTAAAATTAATTTACAGGAACTCAATTAGCGGCCAGTGGGGTGGATTACTGGGTAAGCTATTGGGTAAATGTTGAGGAATTCAGAAACTCGTCTGAGTCTCTTAACGCTACTTCACCTACCTTCATTATTCCGTCCATTGAATTGACAACAAATAATTGCCTTTACATATATGCGGTCCTATTAGGAGCTCTTTTTGTTCTTGCTATGACAAGATCTTTCTTCTTCTATAAACTCGCCATGTGGAGCTCCAAAAAACTGCATGCGACAATTTTTGATAATATTATTACTGCTACAATGAGATTCTTTGATACCAATCCAGGAGGAAGAATTCTCAATAGGTTTTCTAAAGATATGGGATGTGTTGATGAATTACTACCGAAAGCAATATTGGATTCTTCACAGGTAAGATTTTTTATATTAGAAATAGGTAACTTTTATTCTTTTTAAAAGTTTACTGTAGAACCGTTACTACTAATATTCCATTTGTATATGTATTAAACCCATAGGAAATAACCTCTTTTTTTAATCGAGATAATTTTTTAACTTGTAATGTGTTAAGTAATAACCACATACCGAATTATATGCACGAAAAACAAATCAAAATCAACACTTATTTCCAGAAAGTAAAATGTGGATACTTGGGAAGTACGCCTATAGACGTTATGGAAACAGAAACATGCGAACCGCCATTGAATCTTCGGAGAAGATTTCTATCTGACAAATTCGTGTTAAAGTTAAGAAGTCAGAAATCTAAGTTACTGGTTAAAGTATCTAGTTTAGCTCGTTTGGTTTTAACATCTAAATATTGGGATAAGAAAGAAATACCATTATTAGTTGAAAGTTTCATTACCAATGTTCACAGATATGAAGAACTTTATAAATCCAATGGAATCCCTTTATGGAATTACTCTTATGAAATGTTTCTTTCTCCAGTTAAGACACATATTAACGCTCGCTATTTGTGTCAAAACAATATTATTATACAAAAAGAATATTATCGAGATTGTATAGTAAAATGGAAACAGTATGAAAAAGTTTATACTGATGGATCTAAATCGGAACATGGAGTTGGCTGTGCAGTTTATTATCCTTCCAAAAATATCAAACTAATATACAAACTGTCAGATATGATGTCAATTTTCAGTGCTAAGTTTATTGCCATAAAATTAGCAATTAATCTGTGTTTAGAACAAGAAGAGGATAAATTTGTCATATTTACAGACTCTAAAAGTTCGGTAGAAAAACTTAATAATCTGTTTTTGAATCCTAAGTTAAATTATATTCTTCTTGACATTTTAGAAATGTATCAAGTAGAGGAAAACAAATTTATATATCATGGATAAAAGCTCATTCCGGTATAGAAGAAAATGAAGAAGTGGACTATTTAGCAAAAGATGGTGCGAAAAATGGAAGACTACTTAGATTAAAAATACCAGAGTCTGATTTTATTCCAATTTTTCGAAAGGAACTTAAGGAAAAGTGGCAGATAAAATATAAATGTGGAGACAAAGGACAGTTTTTTAAGAATATACAACCAGAAATAAGGGACAAACCATGGTTTGAGAATACACGTAATCGTTCAATTATTCGGATAATAAGTCGAATGCGCTGCAATCATGCACTATTTTCAGCGCATAAACATAAAATAGGTTTGTTAGATAATAATAAATGTCTATGTGATGAAATTGCCGATTTACAACATATTCTTTTAGAATGTCCTTAAAAAAAAATAGAAATTGATAAGTTTTATCAAATTTTAATATTGTACAAAATGAAATTTCCAATAAATGTTTCAAATCTATTGACATTAGAGGATAATAGTATCTACAACATCATATATTAGTATGTAAAATCTACTAATATTACTTTGTAAGCAGTATTGCGATATATGAATAAATTTGTAAGCCTAAAACGAAAAAAAGCAAAAAAAAACAAAAAAAAAAACAAAAAAAAAAAACAAAAAAAAACAATATAAAAAAAAGCCAAAAAAAAGCAAACCAATAAATAAATAATATTAAACAATAAAAAATAATACTAATAAAAAGAAATAAACAATAAAAATTAAAGAAAAGTTACAATGGCATATAGACTGATATAAAAAAACAATAAAAATAAAAATAAGTAACGAAAATATTTAGGCATTTACTAACACACTAAAAATATTCTATCTTAATTTAACTTGTATATAATATTAATATGTATATAACGTAAACAATGGAAATGGATGATAAAACTATGAGAAAACATGACTGGCCTTCTGGCTTTGCCAGTGCCATTAACTTAGGAAAAAAAAGAAAGTAAAATGGCAAAACTATTTCGAAAAATTATTAAAAGGAGAAAAAAAAACTGATGAAAACATGTAAAAAAAAATAGGTGAATAAGAAGAATTAATACCCATACACACATAACAGGAAATAAATAATATTGACCCAAGAGGAACACAGATACCATATTCGACAGTGAAGCGGAATTGATGAAGTTCTAACTAAGGAAAACCTTTAGGCCGAGCAGAAGAAAGATGCAGATCTAGAGCTAATCCGCGAGCAAAAGAAAGAACCAGATCTAAATATAGTCCGTGGGTGGCTGGACGACAGAGCTATTCCACAGTGGCCGGATATTGCCAAATACGGACAAACAGTGAAGGGCTATTCAGTGGGGCTCCTTTTGTTTGCAAAATGACGTCATGTCTCCAGGCTCCGTGATAAGTATTACTGGGTTAATTGTCGGAAAGATGTGGGAGAATAGGGCAAACGATGTGACCTACGTGCATTCCAGAAGGGACCCAAAACGACACTTGTGGGAAAATTTCTAACAATATAATACCGGGACTCCATGGGAACGAGTTGTTGTTGACATTCTTGGACCATTTACAGTAAGATAATCAGAAAATGAGTATTTGATGTCTGGTATGGAGTATTTTTTCAAATGGTTAAAAGTAGTTGCACAACCTAACCAAGAATGTTGGGTAGTTAAGTAGCTACAATTGGTGAGGTCCTTCTTGAGAAAAAGACACTTTCCGAATATGTCAGCGGCCTAAAGGATAGACTGGTTAAGGTCCACGATTTCACCAGGAATAAATTGCAGCTCACCACTGACCGGATAAAGGATAGGTTTTATAAAAAATCTACTCTGGTTAGCTTCAAGGAAGGTGATACAGTCTGGATCTACCAACCAACGAGAAGAGAATGTCTAAGTATTAAATTGTAGTGGATTGGGAGGGTCCGTACCTGGTCGCTAAAAAGACAAATGACCTTGTACAAAGGGTGCAACTGATGCTGCGGAGTAAGACAAAGGTCGTCCAAATAGAGAGACTGCGCCTAAGGACAGAAACCACCGTTTTGGTCCATTTAGATCTTCTAATGAGATCGATGTTATAGAAATACATAAATAGAAATTTAAAACCTGTTTATCTATAATTAATGGCAATAATACCACTAATCCTTAAATTATGGGAAAGCCAAGACGATATAATTTAAGACAAGCTATACGCCTGCCTCTTCTTCTTCTTCATGTACCATGTTCTTTCAGAACGTTGGTTACCATCATAGCTATCTTAATTTATTTCACTGCCACCCTAAATAGCATGCTTGTATCAACACCATACTAATCTCGCAAGTTCTTCAACCATGAGGTTCTTCTTCTTCCTGGACTGCGTTTGCCTGCTATTTTTCCTTGCATGATATTTTGAAGCAACCTATATTTGGAACCTCTCATTACATGTCCGAAATACTCCAACTTTCTCTGCTTGATGTTTTCTATGATCTAAGTAGTCTTGCTAAGACGTTCTTGTATTGTGGAGTTTTCTCCAGCCAGGAAACTTTTAAAATTCTTCTATAGCACCACATTTTGAAAGCCTCAAGGCGATTTAGATTGATTTTATTCACAGTCCAGGACTCGACGCCATAAAGTAAGACCGAGAACACGTAGGTGTGAAGTAGGCGGATCCTCAATGCCAATTTTAGGTCTCAGAAGGATGTCCAAGATGTATATAACACCTTGGACATCCTTCTAAAAGCAGCTCTAGCCTGCTCTATCCTAGATCCAATTTGGCTGTGACTTTTTGCGTTACAATTTAATTGCTCTCCAAGGTAAACGATTTTATCAACTTGATCAAGTTTGGTACGCCTGCCTCGAATTGTCGAACGTTGTTGAACGAAGCCGAACCTCGAAGTTGAACGTTCTGGTCTCTATATTCAATTTAATCATACCTGAAATTAAAACAAATGAGCCACAATAGACATTAATGAAGTATTTTTTTAATTTTACCTTTGTTTTGGTTATACCTGAATCTTGAAGTATTTGGTCAATTATCTTATATAGAATCATTATTAGACTTTCACATATTTTGTTGAATTTTTCCCGGACAGCTGTTTAGCTGTATAGTTTGAGTAATTTGTTTGCAAATATTGAACTAGTGGATTTTTCGTTGATATTCGTTTTTGTTAATATATGTTTCCATATTTTAATAGTTATCCCGTAAGTTTTACTTGTTTAAAAAATCCATATTCAAATTTTTTAATTAATTATTTAAAATTTGTTTAAAACATGTTTAAAAAAGTATATTTATTTAAATGAATATTTTTGAGCTACACATTTTAATGCTAAAACATTTTATGTTTTAAAATCCAATCAATTACAGTTTAAACATGTATAAACATTTTGTTATTATTCTGAAGCTATTTTTCTTTAAAATTTAATTAAAATTTACTACTTTTATGTATATTAACATATGTTTAGTTTGACGTTTTGTAACGTCCAAATTTAAGGAAGTGGAAATCGAAACGTTAAAATAAACATTTTACACTAAAATTTTAGTTAATTCCCAATAAAAATAGTAAATTGCGTTTTAAAATATTTTTAATTTCAGATTCTTTTATCTATGTTTGGATCTCTCTTACTGATTATCATAGTTAACCCGTACTTTTTAATTTTGATTGCTGCATTGAGTGTAGTTTTCGGTATTATGAGGCACATCTACCTAAAATCTTCGAAGAACATTAAGAGGTTAGAAGGAATAAGTAAGTATAATTCGTTTTTATTCAATTTTATTCGTTAGGAATTCTGTGCAATTATTTTGCACATAATTTAATTATGCAAAATTTTCAAAATATTAAGCTTTTTGTTAGATAACAATAAAATTTATCTTCATTGCATTTTAGTGAGAAGCCCGGTTTTCACACATTTGAGAGCTACCATTGAAGGTTTGACAACCATAAGAGCTTTTGGAGCCCAAAGTACTCTTATGGACGAGTTTGATCATCATCAAGATTATCATTCAAGTGCATGGTACATGTTTATTGTGTCCAGTAATGCTTTCGGATTTTACTTGGACTGTTTCTGTTCTGTATTTTTGGCAGCACTTACTTTTAGTTTATTGTTATTCGGGGAGGGTAAGTTTTTAATTTTATTAATTATTTATTAGTTTTTATGTTATTATGATACCTTTTTGTGATATTTAAACAAATAGTAAATCTACATAAATCATAAGGTCATTGTTAAGATTTTAAAGTAGTAAAGTAGTATTAGTATTAGTTGTAGAAGCAACTACCAAATGTCAAGGTATATTAACATAATTTCCTTATTTTATACTTTCCTAAAGCGACCAACTATTTACCATTAGAACCACAAGATTAACATACTTTGGATACATATAGAGCCAGTTAGATCCAGTATTACACACCAAATATCAAAATGAAGTCAGCAAAAACATGGACTCAACTCGGTAAAAGTGATCCGAAGTGGTCAAAAGTAGCTCAATGAGTCGTAAAAGTTATAGCCCCTGTATTTTTGGGATTATAAGGGCATAATTTTAATTAACCATCTTAAAAATGCTCAAAGTGTTTCTAAAAGTTATCCACAATAAAATAATTTACTGGAAATGCGAGGAAAAAATTGCCCCCAATCATTTTTGATTTGTGAACGCCGTGGTGTGCAGGTATTATTCAGAAATGTAGAGATGTGGGATGTAATAATTGTGCATGCCTGATTGACTACAATAAGGCTTTCAATAGAGTCATGCATAACCAAATCATGAAAGTGCTGAATAGAATAGGGATTGACAAAAGAGACTTTTGCTATAAAAATAATAGCTAACCTGTACTGAAATCAATCAGCGGTGCTCCGAATAAATGAAGATTATACAGATCAGATCAAAATCTTAAGGGGAGTGAGACAGGGATGCATAATTTCACCACTAATATTTAATCTGGACTCGAAGAACATTTTTGAAGAGGCTCTAAAATATATTGATGAAGGCATCTCAATAAATGTAGCTGAAGAACCTGCGGTATGCTGATGATACAATAATGTTTTCCAATATCATAAAAGGGCTGCAAAACTTAGTGACTAAATAACGGAAAAAAGTAGAAAATATGGACTCATTATATCAGAGAATTATCATTAGCAACGAAAACGTAACTGAAGCAAATCTGTATGTTAACCAAATGAGAATTGTACGTGTTCCACAGTACAACTACTTGGGAACTATAATCAGTGAGTCGTGGAACAGTACCCAAGAGATTAAATGTCGCATCGGAAAGGTAAAAAGTGCATTATTGACTACAAGCTCTGTGTTCAAGGGCCATTACCTCACCCAAGAAACTGAAGTTGTTCTGTACGGACTCCGAAAAATGGACATTAAAGGCGGAAACTCTGTCCAAACTTCAGACTTTTGAGCTATGGTTATAAAGAAATATCCTGAAGATACCATGGACAGACAAAGTCACCAATGAAGAAGTACTACGAAGGTTGAACACAACCAGGAAATTGGTGAAAGGCCGTAAGTTGCAGTACTTGGGACATATAATGAGAAATCAAGGCAGATATGAGGTAATCCAATGCATTTTGCAAAGTAAAATTGAAGGATAAAGGGCCCCAGTACGAAGAAGAATTTTGTGGCATGCTAACCAGAGATCATGGTATGTGGTGTAGAAAGATCTCAACACGGCTATTCTGTATAGCAACCAACAATCATATAGTCATCATAGCCAGAATGATTGCCAACGTTCGGAATGGACAGGCACCCTAAGAAAAAGATCTTGCAAATGGTGAAACTATCAATAACCTAGATGCAAAGAATATAGACGCTTATAAGCTATAAGCGTCTATATTCTTTGCTAGATGATTGCGCATTATTGGACAAATTTAAGCAGAAATTTAAAAATTTTCTGTTTACTTCTTTTCTAAACCATGGAGTTTTCTTTTTTGATATGTTAGTGTTCGTTACTTTTCTCTCCCCAAGTGATTCTGCTGGGTTAATTATATTATTTTTGAGTTTTTTTCCAGCTTTCCTCGATTGTGAAATCACGTCCCATCACTAGTTTCCTGAATTTTTCCATCAGTCACCCTTTTCATCCCATCCACAGTTTCTACCCAAATCTGTGTAAGATTACAACATATCCGAATGACATAAATAGAGATTTAAAAAACATTTCATTTGATTTATTTTTAACTTGTACTATGATTGTAGCCTTTAATCTGAAGGGAGGTCAAGTAGGTCTGGCCATTACTCAAGCAACAGCACTAACAAATTACCTACAATGGGGTATGCGTCAATCTGCCGAGGTAACCAATCAACTTATGAGCGTGGAAAGGGTATTGGAGTATGAAAATTTGGAAAAGGAAGCACAGCCAGTTTTACCTCAGAAACCAGCCAAAGAATGGCCCAAGAAGGGAGCAATTACTTTTAAAGATACTTGTTTAAAATACTTTGAAGGAGGACCATTGGTTTTAAAACATCTTAATCTAAGCATTCAACCAAAGGAGAAGGTAAATAAAAAATTGATATTTTTTTATATGCGATATTGTAAACACAACATATTAAAATCTACATAGGTTCATATCATCTGAGAATCAGAGTATGATGCACATATCCTAGACTCTATAATTTGTGTGGATTAGATATTAAGAAGTGGTCATAACATTTTTACACATCTTATCTTATGGAGCATGTGGTCATTGTTTTCGGAGTTGCTAAGGTAAAGACTGTTATAAATACTGTCCCTTCTGTTATTACATATCTTAGGGACTCAAGTCCCATAGTCATGTTAAAGTATCTTCTATAGAGTTAGTAAAGTAAATAGGGTGGGAAGCCGACCCTACCGATAGGTGACTTAACCACAGCCAAGAAAAACAGATGGAGTTCCATTATCCAGAGCAACCAAAGTAACGTATGCTTTAATTTTATTTCTTCTCCATTGACTTGGACTTCAATTTTAGGCAAAAATGGACTTGGGATAGTTTTACATTCAACGAGTCTTTAGCATTCATTTTACTTTGGCAAATCAATAATTACTAAATTTAGCCAATTATTCAAAATGATGCCATTATAATACTATAGCATTAAAGAGATCCGTCAAGGCTGCTATTCGCATCGTTTGTCTTATCTGTTAGGGATGGCTGATAGAGATAATATATAATATTAGATAATTAATAATCTGCTTTTCTTGTAGATCTGTAATACTTATAGCTTTAAATCTATAGGAAAATATACCCAATTAATTCATTACAGCAACTTATTTGGTTTCTTTTAGGTTGGAGTTGTTGGTAGAACCGGAGCAGGAAAATCTTCCTTAATCCAAGCACTATTTAGACTAGCTCCGATTGAAGGTTCCATTAAAATCGATGATATCGATACCAAAGATATTAGCCTCAATGATCTCCGTTTGAAAATCTCGATTATTCCTCAAGACCCAGTGCTATTTTCAGGAACTTTAAGATACAACTTGGACCCATTCGAAGAATATTCAGACGAAGTTTTGTATAAAGCTATAGAAGATGTAGAACTGAAAGACCCTGCTAATGTTATCAACCGATTGGAAAATAGAGTTATGGATAGAGGTTCCAATTACAGTGTCGGACAGAGACAGTTGATTTGCTTGGCAAGAGCTATTCTTAAAAATAACAAAGTTCTTATGTTGGATGAAGCTACAGCTAATGTAGATCCACAGTAAGTATATGTTCCTCTCAAATCTTAATAATTCGATATTTCAACTTTTTTTCTTTAATTATTTTAAAATTACAAGTTGATCACCTAAATATCCCAAATGGTAACATAGATCAAAGACAAATTGAATGCTATGCTGGAACAATGATGTACACTCCAAATCACATTTTGTCGACAAACTAAAAAAACACCTTATAATTGATTATTTAAAAAATATGTGTATAATATGATAAACTATAGTCAACTATAATCAAAGCAGATATGAGCTACTTCAAAGTATTTTGCAAGGTAAAATTGAAGGAAAAAAGGGCCAAGGACGAAGAAGGATATTCTGGCTTGCTAATCTGAGAGCATGGTATAGAAAGACCTCAACACAGCTATTTCGCCAAACTAATCGGCAACGTTTGGAATGGACAGGCACCCTAAAGGTCGATTCAGACACATCAGTCCCGTCATAGTCTCGGCGCCGAACCGGTCCTGTTTGGTCACAGAATTATCAACTATCTGACAGCTGGAAAACTGTTCGTCGCCTGATGAATGTGAATGCCGGCGCCATATTTCTGTTAACGAACATTTTGTATGACGGATTGTTCGGTTCGGCGCCAGGACTGTGACGAGACGTGACTGATGTGTCTGAATCGACCTTTAGAAGAAGGCGGTTAAAACGTTATTTTAGAAATAAAAAATCAAGTACACGTGAAATTAAAAAACGTACATATTATTACCAAATTACTTATGGCCATGTTTTATATGACGTACATATCAAAATAATATTATTCACTCTGAAGATTTTGATAGAAGCTTACATACTGTAGTGGAATATATTCGGAAATATTTAATAAATTAACATGTTTTTCTTTTTTTAATTGACAGTGGCCCCTCATAGGCTTCTGTAAGTTTATCAATAGTGACTTTAGTTATAGGCGTTTAAGTTGACTTTAAATAATAAAATGGCCATGGTTGAATAGTGTGGGATTTTCTTAACTCTATAGTAATTTGATCTTCTGAGCTAATTTGTATCCACACTAACTAAGTTATTTTTCACTTTCATTCTTTCCATCCTACATTTTCTGCATTGATAAAACTTTAAAAAAATGTTTGATGCATGTTGATAACTTTAAATGGGATTTTAACTCTAGCTTTTGCAATTACATATGTCCACTAAAACGGGATATAAACCGATGAAAGTTTCTTGTTGCCTTCTATGAGGTCAAAGTGTCTATCACAGGACAGAAAGCTGTGCCCACTAGTTAAAAAATTTTGCTCAATTTGGGTAAATTATCTTTCTAACAGTAGTAGTCGAAGTAATGTTATGACTTTCCAATTGGTATTTTGAACGACACATCTATCTGACCAAATAACAAGTTTTCTTTCTTGGCCTGGATCAAGACGATTTCAGTTTTCAGTTATATAAAGTAGCAATGCTGATTCTATCTCAGTGTAGCCTCGATACGCCATTACTTCGTTCCACGAAGTTATACGAAGAAAGTTGTCGCTGGTAGAAATTAATGAGTGAGTTAGATTAGGGCAAAAAGAACTTAATTGAAATGAGGTTGGATGCTCGAATAAATGAACTTTGAAAAATAAGGCTATTATCGAGCACAAGTTAATTAAATCTAGCCCAAGTACTTTCGCTTAAAATAGCATCGTCAGGGGCATTTCAGGGACATAAAATTGTACAAAACACTACACAAAAACGAGGACAAACAGTTTAAAATTACTTAAAAGATTCTACGCTACATTTTTTGTCAGTATCTGGAGGGATAATCATTATCTCTATTCAATGCCCCTGAAGATTCTATTTTAAGCGAAAGTACTTGGGCTAGATTTAATTAACTTGTGCTCGATAATAGCCTTATTTTTCAAAGTTCAAAAAGAACTTGTTGCAAATCAATATAAAACGACATAATTAGCATTTATTTTTGCAATTTCAGTATCTTGTTTTATATTAATGTTTTATAACCTGCTTTTACTCGCATATGATGAATTTTTTTCTTAATTTTTATTTTCTTTCTTTCACATTTATCGCTAGCAGAAGAAAGCTTGATAAAGAGTTTGCTACAATATGAATATGGGAAGTCCAAAACACAAGTTGAATTTACTTTTAAAAATGTCGTGGTAGGTTCGTAGAGAGATTTTTGTATCACGGTACAGTTTTGAAAATAATCTGTACATTTTTGAGATGCTTAAATCAGCTAGAAGGCAACTTTTAGAAATAGCATTTCTGCTATAATGGGGATGGCGGTACTATTTACAATAGATCGATACAAGTCTTAGCATATGCTAATGACATTGACATAGTAGGGCGTAGCAAGCGAGATGTTGAGCAATATCTCCTAGAATTGGAAACAGCGGCGAAACAGGTCGGTCTAGTCGTCAACGAAGACCAAACCAAGTACATGTTGGTTACAAAGGATCCGATAGCAAATGAGGAACGAGAAACAGTCTTTGGAAGTCATATTTTTGGACGTGTTGACAACTTCACATACCTTGGGTCGCTATTGACTGCTACCAATAAAACAAGCGAAGAAATCAAAAGACGAATAAATCTTACAAATAGGGCATACTATGGACTCCAAAATTGGTACTTTATTAAAATATTTTAATTTTATATTTAATTATTTAATATTTTATACCAGTCCATTGACGAAGGTTTCAGAGCCACGAGTATTTCTTTCTACCAATTCCTCTTCTTCCGTCGATCTTTCCGTTGAGTATGAATTGCATTATCCTGTATCTGTTTCCTCTTAATATAGCCCTAGATATTCGAGTTTTCTCAGCATAGCATTCAATTATTCTGAAAATATTTCTAAACTGTTATTTTATTACAGGACCGACGCTTTAATCCAGAAAACCATCCGAAAGAAGTTCTCGGATTGCACTGTGATAACCGTCGCACATAGACTAAACACTATCATGGACTCTGATAAAGTATTAGTTATGGACGCTGGACAAATATCTGAGTTTGATCACCCGCACTTACTTCTTCAAAATAAAAATGGAGTTTTTTACAGTATGGTTGCTGAAACTGGTAAAACAACAGCTGACCAGCTTAGAAAAATTGCCTCAGATAGTTATCAAAAACTCCAAGCATTACCAGAGTAAAAATTGAATGTTAAGAGAAAAAAGAGTTAAAAGCAGTTAAATATTGATGTTATATTGATATATCTTTACGTTAATTACATTAAGGTTATATAATTTTAAACTGTTATCTTGCATTTTACTCAATGCATATCTTATGTACAAAACTTTTTATACAAAAATATTTATATAACGTAAAAATGATAAATATACTTTTCATTTTTCGTTACCTTTTGTTTCTATTTATATTTAGTGTGCCTATAAACTATATATATAGTTTAATCCAAAAAAAGAAATTCTATCAAGAATCGAACAAGCAAGGAAACCCCTCATGAACATAAAAACATTTTTAAGAAGATCACACCTTAGTCTAGAACTCAGAATTCGAATGATCAGATGTGACGTTTTCTTTGTTTTGTTGTATGGTTGTAAATGTTGGACAATGAACTCATACTCATACTTGGGTCATGTCTTGAGAGGTGAAAGATATGAATTACTCCAAGTCATATTGGAATGTAAAGTGCAGAGAACGATAGAAATCTTTCGTGCAGGAGTTTTTATTCAGATTCCGATTAGTGATCCGAAAGCGTTTTTAATAAAGAAGGTTACAGAGTTCGACTTGATATTTAGTAATATTCATTGGATATTGTGAAAATGCTAAAAAAATTTAATTTTTATTTCAAAAAGGATATCTTTTAACAATATAGATATCGGTCATTTGTCAACACCTTTCTTTGCAGTACCACAAACCTGGAACTTTAAATATTAAATATAATCACCAGAGAGAAAACAAAAACCCCAGAGAGAAAAAATAAGTAAATCAACAAAGGTTAGTAGCTTAAAATAGTCAACAAACACTGCAAATGGCTGCACTGTGTGGGCCCCAAAAGGTAAGGAAGGGCCAACTAAACCATAACAGGATTTTCTATATATAGTTTTAAAAATACTAACAAAAATAAAATAACGGCTTCGGCCCACAAAAAAAAATTAACAAAACATTAACAAAAACCGGCGAAAGCCAACAAACAAACAAAAAACCCAGGCACGTAGGGCAAAAACTCTTGAGCATCAAGTCCTTGAACGAAACCTAGTCCGGAGCGGAGGCTTGAGGCCCAAGCATGCAATTTTAGTTTCGCGGATATGTCACATGATGATAGAAATAAAGTGCGTCACGCTTTCCTGAATTTAAAATCGATTAGGGAACCATGTTGGAGTTCTATTAACCAGTAGTCCCACGTGAAGAGCATTTGGCTGATAGTTGTGCCCCTATTGAGCATGAGAATGCTATCGGGGAGAAAAGGATGGTTTGGCGCACTGGAACGAGGTGGAGCGACCTCTGTTTTACTCGTGTTAATACACCTCGCTCCAATAAATTGTTACACCCGAGCGTAATTTTAAGGGATGAACATGTCTGACAGGCTGGGTTTAATTAAATTGCTAGCTTGTATATTAAATATAACATGTGCAGCATCAAACACATATTTTGCTGAAAAAATTTATCCAGTATTTATTATTTTAACTCGATTCTTGTAAAAAAAGTTAGTGTTACACCTCTTAAATACTAAAAGAAAAGCCTATGTTTTGCCAGTATTAATCTTAAACGTCAAAGACTATATTAATACAAATTTTTGCTACATTACAAGGAAACCTTATTAAGTGTCAACTAAATAAAATCAACTAAATTTTAAATTAATAAATTCATAATTGGAAACGGTTTGCTCATCAGCCATAATTATTTAATTAAATATTCAAAATCATACCCAAAGTCGCTGTTCGAAATTACGACGAACATTTTGAAGCATTTTAGGAGTTACTAAACCAAATTTATTCACTATTCGTCATCTTAGGTCTTTATGTAACCCTACAGAAAGAAGTCCAGGGGACTTAAATTGGGGTATCTTGTTGGCCATTCAATAAAACCTCTTCGTCCAACTCATTTTCAATAATATTAATCTAAATGGAGAGTACATTTGACTAGGGGTAAGTGGTGTACCAAGTAAAAAAGGACTAGTCTACAGATTTTCGTAACATGTACTCCATTTTTCATGTAGTCTAAATAATTGCCAATTAGTAAATACTCTAACATTTTTACCATTAGCCATTAGCCATTTCGTTTTTCACCTCGTAAATGTCTTGACCTTAGGCTGCCATCAGAGCAACCCAAACAAAACCTAGATTCATCACTAGACAAAATTTTATTGGCCATACCAGTTTTGCCGAGCTCTGCACCATTCTACGCGTCGAGCCTTGTGCTCTGGTGTCAAAGGTAACATCATCAGCGGACGGTAAGATCTGTCTCATTCCACGTAATCTATTCTTCTTATTACTACCCTTCCTGTAGCTACAACTAAATCATCTTTAACTTGATCTACCTATACTGTCCCGTCTATTTCTGAGAGCAAGAAGTTATGCTGGCGCAAGTCACGGCCTTGCGATATTCTAGGACGTCCGGACGTCCTTTACGACGCCGATAAGTCTCATCATTCAATCACCTACTCCAAACTTTTAACACTGTTGATGGATTGATTAGCTTTAACATATCGTAAAATTTGTTGTAAACCAAAACCGGCCACGTTTTAGCCATTGAGAAGTTTGGCCAACATAACAGCTCTGGCAATCCAAACAAGGCAGTTTGTAGATAACATTAGTTTTATTTACAGTTGAAGTATTGTCTTTTACTTTACAAAACAACTTTACAATAACTTTAGAACATATTATGTACAAGAACATTTTTAAATATTTTTAACTCAAAATCTGTAAGTAATTCATTGTTTATTCTCACCTTATATTTATACAAATTATAGTGTGCTAGGCGTGAAACACTGAAACACGAAGGGCAGCGCAGCAATATTATGTAGGGTTCAATAAAAAACCTAACAACAAAATTGAAAAGGGTAATCAAATACCTAGTAGGATCAACTTTCATCGCAGTGCAGGTATGTGAAAAGGGAGAAGGATATAAAGTTGTAACAATTATTTACGTAAAAAAATATTTTTAATTAAGACGATTTTTTATTAAATAATCAACAATTAAATTATAATACTATTTACTGAAACTAAGTTTAGTAAATTTTGCAAATTATCTACATAGATAGTTGTAATGTTGTTTTGCTTCAATACATTTTTAACAATCTGAATTAGCTGTTTTTTAACTTGCTGCGTCAGAGGAAATTCCTTTGATAACTTACCGTTGTATAACATTTCAATTATATTTTCGAGTTTGTCTATTATTTCATATCCATTTTCCTATAAATATCATCCAATGTTAAGAATGTTAAAGAACACAAACCAAATTAAAATCTTACATCAAACAATAAAAGCTGTTTTGGATTTAGTACGTATAACAATGATTCTAATGCTGTTTTTGTGATTAAACAATAATTTTGCCAAGACTTTTAAAATGGCTGATATGTTTTTTTGAACTGAATATTCTGTTAAAAGTTTTGTGCCGAAACTTCGAGCTGAAGTTTTCTTCGCACACATTTTTAGCCCGTATTCATAACAGCATTCGTTAAGGCGTTGCATTACGTTCTGTAATCTGTCATTATTATTGTATGATCTGCAAAGCTTAAGTTATTCAAAACTTCTCCATTAATAAATATACCCACTATTAAATCTACGGGCGCTTCTTTAACCCCTTAGTGCATAGAGTTTCATCGTTGATTGAATCAATCAACGATGTAACGCAGGGCAAGATGTAATTTATCCATTGTAAATTCCCTTGTAGAACTACTACAACGGACAGATGGCAGCATGATTCACACGGCAGACATTACTGTTCACGCCCACACAAGTTTTATTTAATTTAGTTAACGTAGTTACTTAGAAAACTGGAAGATGAGTACACCAAATGGGGCCTCACAATTAATATACAAAAAACTGAGAACTTAGTTGTAGGAGAAAAACCAGAAAGCCTACAAATCAAAATGGGAACTATAAAACCAACAGACAATTCTAAATACTTGGAGTCCAAATAACATCAAAAGCCGGAAGTAGAGAAGAAATACATTCCAGGATTGGCCAAGCAAGATCAGCCACTAGACAGCTACACGGGCTATTATGTCCGTGTAGCTGTCCGTGTAATAAAAAAATAACAAAAGAAAATAAACGAAGAATTTATTAAACAATAATAGAAATTATTGGGCTGTACGGCTCCGAACTCTGGGAAATAAACCAAAGAAACCAATCAAAAATTAAGGCCATGGAAATGAACTACTGGGGACGATGTTGCCAGCTCACTAGACTTGATAGGGTGAGAAGCGAAGATATTCGGAGAGAAATGGAAATCGATCTAGACATAATAGACACAATAGAAGCCAAAAGACATAACTGGTATGGACACCTTCAGAGAATGCCTGAAAATAAATGAACAAAAAAATAGAAGAATGGACTCCGCCAACTAGAAGAAAACGAGGTAGACCGAAACGATCTTGGAAAGACGATGTCGACGATGCAATGACCGCCAGAGACCAGAGATCTAACAACTGAAGATTGCTTCGACAGAAAACGCTGGAAATTAGGATGCGAGAAGCGGCGCCAGCTGTAGAAGACTCGCTTATATTATTATATAGTTAACGTAGTTGGTGCTAACAAGGTGTCAAATTTATACAATTCATTTTTACAAAATTGAACCTGTTATTCAATTCGAGTAAGTACATTAAAATTGTACTTAGAATAATTACTATAACAATTTTTTTAGATTTGGTTAGCAATTTAATCATATATTCATGTAATTCAGAAACAATCTCATACTTTTAAATATTGGGTGATTTATATTGATTGAAAGTTGAGTGTTACATATATGTAAGCTAGGCTTTTATGTGCACGAAATTGCCCATTTATTTTAATTATTGGTTTATTTATAAATAAACTCTCGTATTTATTTTTAAATTGTTTAAATTAATCTAAAGCTTTATTTCTTTATAGGCAAGGATTTACTTTAAAGAGATCCTTGACATGGCATTTGTTGATGACATAGAGAAAATTTTCATAGTACCTCTACAGGCAGCCGAACTGACTGAGGAGGATTCTGGGGATGAAGACGGTACGATGGTACTATCGATAACTTGACTGGGTCTTAACTTGTTATAGTGTATTTTTATGTATGAGAGAGTAATAAAACAATAAATTATGTATGCAAATCCCTAAACTGTTGATACGGGTGACTCAATGAAAAACAGATATTTGTCAACAAGTTTACAGAAGTATATAGGAAAACCATTTTAAATTGAGTATGACCACCAGGTATAAAGGTTGGAACAGAATAGAATACAATAGTTGTGAAAGTTACTAATCCCTAAATAAGGTTGCCAGTGTCGGAGTGATGGAGGTTAACAGGTAATGAATTTGCAAGAAATGTAAGATGTTTATTTTATTGGTTATATATAACCAATAAAAGTTTTATAAGTACCTACCTATTTGCAAAATAAAGTTTAATTCTTTAGATAAAATAAAACGTTTTATTTTATCTGAAATGAGTGCATTCCACTAAGTAAGGGTTTCAACAATCAAACATTTAATTCTTTAATTCCAGGAATCTACGACAGTAATTGACTAGATAATTACCTTCTAACTTATTCCACAGAAAATGTGATAGTGGGTTTTTCCATTTTGTAGGAAGGTCCAAGTGGCGTATTCAAAATTCTTAACAGTTCACTAAAAGTAGGTACTTCAGTTGCAAGGTGCAGTTTATTGTGTATACTAGTGTTATGGAAAATTTGGAAGTGCCGTGTAAACGCCGAAAAATTGGTCCTTTAACAGTTAATGAAAAAACATTAATATTTAATTGTTTTAAATCATTTACAGACAAACGTTTATGCGAAAGTGTTGATGAGACCGTTGAGTTAGTTAGCAGTACACTTGGTGTTGGGAAATCTACGATTTACAGAGTTATTAAAGAAGAGAAATGTGGTAGTTTTCAAATGCCACGTAATGCTCCAGGGAAACCAAAATTTTAAATAGAATATCATTTTAAAGAAGGACTTCGACGGAAAGTGCAAGAATTCTTCTTTAGACAAGAATTTCCAACATTGGATAAAGTTCTTGTCTCAGTTCGAGATGATAAGGATTACCCAGAAATGAGTCGAAGTACGTTATGGAAACTTTTAAAAGAAATAGGCTTCCGCTGGAAAAAGAATCCCAGAAAGTCTATTTTATTAGAAAGAAGCGATATTGTCATATGGAGAAGACATTTTCTAAGAACCATAAAAGGAATGAGAAACCAAAAAAGAAAAATATTTTATCTTGATGAAACATGGATCAACGAGGGTCATATACACCAAATAAATTTTGGCAGGATGAAACTGTTACAAGTCAAAGGCACGCTTTTGTAAATAGTACATAGTAAATAGTAATAGTAGGAAAGGGACGCAGGCTGATAATAGTACACATTGGCAGTTCAGACGGTTTTGTTGAAGGTGGTTTATTAACTTTTGAATCAACTTGTACCGGTGACTACCATAAAGACATGAACGCTGATGTCTTTCAAGAATGGTTCGAACAAATGATAGATCTACTTCCTAAGAACTGTGTAATAGTAATGGATAATGCAAGTTATCACTCCAGACTTATAGAAGGACTGCCCACAACCAAGTGGTTAAAAAAAGACTTGCAGAATTGGCTGAGTTCAAAAAATATTACGTACCATCCCGGATCTATAAGAAAGGAACTTTATTCGTTGTGTGCCCTTCATAAAGAAAAATTTAAAAAATACGAAATTGATGAAATTGCCAAAAATCGTGGAATGACAGTACTTAGATCCCCATCATATCATTGTGAATTAAACCCGATTGAACTGGTATGGGCACAGATAAAGAGTGAAGTTTCAAGAAAAAATACCACTTTTAAAATTCATGATGTTAAACAGTTGTTTTTGGAGGCCGTAAATAATGTAAAACCTGAAAACTGGGAAAAGGCAGTAAATCACACTATTAAAGAAGAGGAAAAAATGTGGAAGCTGGACAATATTACTGATGAAATGATCGAGCCAGTTATTATAAATCTTGGTTCTGAAAGTTCATCTTCTGAATCTGATTTGGATTTGTAACAAGTAGCTGTAAGTTTTATATTAATATTTTTATTCATCTATCTAACATACCTTAGACGGTTTTAAAAACTCTTTTTCTCTTTTGTAATTTTTAAAAATTAAAAAAAAATGTGATTTTTTTAAAACCCTTTTTAATGTAGGCCAGTCAGTTCTAATATAGTGTGTGATAAAAGAGGTCACTTTTGTTTACATACACATAACACTTTATAACACTGAAATAATTCATGTATTTTTAACAATTATTCAAAGTTAATTTTCAATTAATCTTGAGCACGCCCATGGAGTGGTCGGAGGTACCAGTTAAAATTATGCTAATTACTCTCTCGTTCATAAAAATAAACTATAGGCTAGTGAATACAAAAATACTAACATCAGGTGTTCACGAAGTGGACCAAAAACATTTCAAATGCGATTGCCAAAGAGATATAGTAAAAAGGAACAAAAATACATCAACATATCCAGATCACACTTAATTGGGAAGTAAAATAATTTGATAGGAGAAACAGATTTATTGGACTAAAACATATCATGTTATAGAATTGGTATTCGATCGTGAAAGTGGTGATGGTGTATATATAGCTTTCTTTTAGATGCAGCAATTAATAATGCCTGGATATTATATAAAAAAAAGTCACGATGGCCAGTTACCACAGCTAGCTTTCCGAGGTTAAATATCGCTTCTCTGTATCATTTTATATTAAATGATATCAAATACCTTTTCAGAGTCTACAAAACGTAAGTACATGTCCTGATATAATGTTCATACGTCTTATGTACAAGGCATACAAAGCACGTCTTGTGACTATATCATTCCTAGAGCTAAATTGTGTGTTACTTATTTTACATTCGAGTTTAAACAATTCTGCTGTATATTATTTTAAGAAATGTGTATGATTTTAAAATATTTGCATTTAAATATTTCAACAAAATTTTTATTGTATTATTTCATTATTTGTTATTTAAAATGAAATTATTCCAAAATAAGTAACTGCCAATGTGATTTGTCCCATTCAAAACCAGTCAACAACACCCAAAACAGAGTCCAAATAAAATAACAGGTTTTTTACTCCTCTTATCAGTAGAACTAGTTTTAAGTTCTTACATTTTTATTGGTGAATCAATAATTTTGGGTAGGAATGTTTGTTACTCGTCAAACCACTAACGAATAGCTGTTTAATGTATTGTTTTTTGGAGATATATGAGTAAAGCAGAAATATTATTTGATAAAACGGCAAACCAATGAAAATGAAACGTTCCTTTAAGAGGCGTAACGTCATTAAACTAATAGAAAATATACAGAAACGATGATAAAGTGCTACAAAAGCTGTATCTTTGTTTTTTTTTCTTATTCACTAAGGCTATTGTTTTGTGATCTGAGCAGGTTGACTTTTTGAGAACTAATACAAAGACAGATTGCAGCCGTTGTCTTGGGATTATGGCAGTCTGATATAATAGATTAAGGAGTTCAATCATCATATCAATAACATCTTTATCAATAAGATCAAATAATTCGATGGGTACTACATCTGGTCCAGTAACTTTGCCATCTTTTGTGTTTTTGATGGCATAGATAACTTCTTTCATTTTCTCTTTCATCATTAAATATTTGTAATTGTTCCAGTGACAATTTCTTCTTCATAAGCGATACAGTCTTCTGTTATTAGTCTCTTTAATTTTTTCTCTTGTCTCTGTCTCCTATTATTTTAATAGGATGAAATATTGACGACAAAAATCCTGTGAAACTGGAATGTGTAATGGAGAGAATGATGGAAATAACATTAAAGATACCAGTAAGAATTAAATCAGCCATAAAGATGAAACATGTTTACTACAAAGGAAATTCAGTACAGCAAAGGGTTTTTAAAGGTTTAAATATGGAATAATATCATAAGGTTACTCTTAGTTCCTATGGAAAACTGGATGACAAAAAATACTATCCTATAATAATAAAGGCCAATAAACCTAATACTTATGAATATCAATGACAGAGAATACAAAACACAGTAAACACAGTACATAGGTCTACCTGAAAATATCCTTATTAGGCTAAAAAGACTACTCTAACTTTAAAAAGAAACTATTTTAGCTTAGGTATATAATTATTTAAATAATTATAAAAAGTACTAGTAGAAAAATATTAATTATTAAATTATTATAAGCTTTTAAAGTATTAGAATTAGAAATCTATCTACTTACATGTGAACATCTACAGTGGTGATATCTAACGGCTTTTTGTTTCAGGAAAATATTTGCGCCAAATTTTAAAGATTCGCTAAGAAAACATTCAACACAAACTTTATTGCGATAGTACCAAAAATAAAAGTTCCTTTGAAGATTTTTTATGATCGCTGTTAGATATTTGCTCATAGTTTTACTTTTTTGAAATCCAGTTATGTGAGTCTAAAATACATATCAACATGTTATTTCATTGGTAAATTTAATCATTACTTGCAACATAAGCAACATTTTCATCAATCAAGGTATATTTGAATTAGGGCAACTTTTAAAAGCAATGTTTGATTTTCAATATCCTATTGAAATTTTTGGGGACAACCAAACTTGCATAAAAATGGCTTAAACCTGTAACACCAAACGCTCAAATTGATGTAAAACAGTATTTCATAAAAGATATAGTTAATAAAGGAAATTTTGTTATTGAGTCTTAACTGATAGTGTTATTATTATCAACCTGCGTAAACAGCTACTTACTAAAAGATTCCGTACGTTAGATTTAAATCTTCACGTAACAATTTATAGAATAGACTATAGAATGAATAAAATAAATTATAGTCTTCTTCTTCTTTGGGTGCCGTGTCCGTATTCAGACGTTGGCCGTCATCATGTTTACAATTTCCTGAAACCTTTCTCTGTCGGCTGCTGCGCGATATAATTCTTCTACTGTGGAACCACACCATTGTCTAATATTACGCAGCCATGAAAGTTTCTTTCGACCAATCCATCTCTTTCCTTCCACTTTTCCTTGTATTATAAGGCGAAGTAAATGGTATTTAGGTCCTCTAATTATATGGCCGAAGTATTCTGTTTTTCTCCTCTTTATGGTGTTTATGAGCAGACGTTCTGAATTGATCATTTGAAGAACATCTTCATTGGAAGTGTGCGAAACCAACGATATCTTTAGGATTCGTCTATAGCACCACAATTCGAATGCTTCTAACTTGTTTAGCATTGTGGTTTTTAACGTCCATGTCTCACAACCATACAATAGGATCGACCACACATAACATTTCAGGACCTTCTTACGAATATTCATTGACAGGTTTCTGTTGCATAAAACTGGTTTCCAGGTAATAAAAGCCTTACGTGATATTTCGATCCTGGATATTATCTCTTCATCAGAGTCACAATTTACATTTAACCAGCTGCCAAGGTATTTAAAATGATTTACCCTTTCTATCTCTTCTAACTGCCATCCACTTTGTCTTTGAAATGTTGATTTTTAGGCCTCTCCGATAACTTGCTTCACTGACTAGATTTAGTAATGTTTGGAGATCTTGTAAACTTTCTGCAAGAATGGCTGTATCGTCAGCGTATCTAATATTGTTGTTTACTTCTCCACCTAGTCTTACTCTCTCTTGTCTATCATCCAAAGCCTCCCTAAAGATTTCTTCAGAGTACAGATTAAAAAGAGTGGGTGACAAAACACAACCCTGCCGTACTCCACGTTTGATGGGTATTTTTTCAGTGGGACTGTCTCCAATTTGGATAGAGGCTACTTGATTGTAATATAAGTATTTCAGCAGTCTTATATCATAGTGGTCAAGTCCTGCTACCCGTAGGCAGTCGAAAAGTGTATTGTGTTGGACTCTGTCGAACGCCTTCTCGAAGTCGACAAAACAAACATAAACATTCTTTCGGAATTCACAACTTTTTTGTAATAGAACGCGCATACAGAATAGTGCCTCTCTAGTTCTTAGACCGTTTCTAAATCCAAATTGCTTATCACCCATCTTACTTTCGCATAAAAGGAATACTCGGTTTTGTATAATTCGTAAGAGTATCTTCAGTGTGTGACTCATCAAACTGATTAGTCTAAAATCGCTGCATTTGGTGGGCCTGCTTTTCTTTGGTAAAGTTATAAACAGTGACTCTAACCAATCATCTGGTATTTTTCCTTCGTTGTAAATTTTGTTGAAGAAAGTGGTTAAGTAGGCAATGCTTTCCTCATCCAAAAGTTTAAGTAGTTCGGCAGGGATTTGATCTGGTCCAGGTGCTTTATTGTTTTTGGCTTGCTGTATTGCCTTTTCGATTTCCGAATTCAGTATATTGGGACCTCTGTCCAACTGGTTGTCACAGGCAGTATTTGGAGCATTTTCTCTAGAAGCATCGTCAAAAAGGTCAGTGATGTATCTCTCCCATTCTTTGCACTGTTGTTCGTGATCACAAATTTTTCCGTCCGCGCTTTTAAGTATCTGAGCATTTTTCTGTTTTCTAATTCCGGCAGTATATTTAAGTTTCTTATCCAGGTTGAAGCTGCCATGCTTTTTTTGGAGGTCTTTTATTTTTTTACATAAATTCTCAAGCCAGGATTCTTTGGCTTGCTAAATTTTTCTTTTTATGCGTTTATTAATTTCACGATATTCGAAAATATTTTTATTTTTGTGTTGCCGTCGAACTTATAGTAAGGAGTGACAAATTAAGTAATCTTCTGGGGCGGTAGACTACCAGAATGTTGATCTAAGTGTAAGTTTTATTTAATCAGTGACTTAAATTTTCCAGGTACTGTATGGTCCAAAAATCAAAGCTGGTCTTTTTTGTTAAAATATTGTAATGATATTTGCTTAGGTCACAAACTAACTAGATTGCTAAAAGACTGTCTAAATTTGAATATATTTTTTTATTAAGTTTAATGCGTCGACAACTAATGGTCATTGGCATGGTAGAGTGAATTTTTACAGTCGGGTACCTAGTGTAGTGTGTGTGTGTAGAGTAATTGTCTTGATACTTAGCAAAGTCGACGTCATTGTCTTTGTTAAGAGACGCTAATTGTATCCGAACGTCTGCGGTCCCTCCTGTGAGTACCGATCGCACAAGGATAGAAATTATTTTCATCCATTAATTTTTAATAAACGAAAATTTCTCCACCCAGGTGAGATTCGAACTCACGACCTTTAGGTTCAAAGATAGGCGCTCTTATCACTCAGCCACAGAGGGGTTCGAATAGATTTAATTTTAAATAAATTTTGGATAAATTTCTATAATTAATAAACAATCATGTCGTTCTATTTTATTTTATTTCTATTTGATTAGATTCGATATTTGATTCGAATCGATTCGATAATCCATTCCATATTTTACTCGATTCGATAATCGACTAATTTCAATTGGATTTAATTCGATAATCAATTTGAATTGATTCGACATTTGAAATTGATTAGATTCGATATTTGTTTCGATTAGAATCGATATTTGATTTCCTTCGATTTTGATTTGATTTTTTAATTTATTATTATTTTTTTTATTATTGTTTTATTCTTTTATTTTTTATTTGATATTTAATTAGGTTTGATTCGATAATCGATTACATTCGATAATCGATTTAATTTAATAATCGATTAGATATGATAATCGAAACGATTCGATTCAATAATCGATTCCACTCGATTTGATTCGATAATCTATTCGATTAGATTCGATAATCGATTTACTTCGATTCGACATTTGACTCAATTAGATTGGATATTTAATTCACTTCGATTCGATATTTTATTTGATTCGATAATCGATTTGATTTATTAATCGATTCGATTCGATTCAATAATCGATTTAATTCGATTTGATACGATTCAAGTCGATTCGATAATCGATTCAATTATCATTTGTTAATTTTTTTTAACACCTCTGTGTGATTCACTGCTGTATACCGCTCCATCAGTAGTCCATGATAAGAAAGTTATGCTTCCAAAAAGACACTATATATATATATATATATATATATATATATATTATATATATATATATATATATTATATATATATTATATATATATATATATATATATATATATATATATATATATATATATATATTATATATGTGTGTGTGGCCGGAGTTGACTGAAAAGGTACTTACAGAATATAAAAGTTAATATCTATAGCCAGGTAAACAAAGGGGCGAGTTTCACAAAATTGACGACAGTTGACGCATGTCCATAGCAGATAACAGTGAGGGTCGGTATTGCAGATATTCGTCAAGAAGCCGGGTAGCCAATTTTAGCAATCAAAGAGACAGGACGTTGTGTTAACAGAACAACGCAGGATCACAGTACTTAAGACAATTGTAAGACAGCGGTAAGACAGCGACAAGATAACAAGGCAAACACATTTGACAAAGTCTACATTAATAGTGGATAATTTAAATTGACGGGACAGTTAAAAGATAGATTTTTTTTGAACCTATTCTCTATCCTTCCATTGTTGGATATAGGTCTCCCCCAGTTCTCTCCATCTTTCCCTACCTTGAGCTTTTCTCTGCCATGTGGGACCTCCTTGTTTCCTGATGTCATCTTTCCACCTCATCTGTGATCTGCCTCTTGATCTCTTTGCATTGTATGGACGCCACTTTCCGATGGCATTGTTCCATCGTCCGTCTTGGAGACGTTCATTGTGTCCAGCCCATTTCCATTTTAGTTTTGCTGCTTGTTCTATCGCGTCTACTGTCTTTGTTCTGGTTCTGATCCACTGGTTACGTTTTCTATCTCTAAGTGATACACCCAACATTTGTCTCTCCATCGCTCTTTGTGCCTTCCTTATCCTATACAAATTGGCCTGTGTAAATGTCCATGTCTGTGCTCCGTAGGTGAGCACCGGTATTATACAGGAGTTATATACCTTGCTTCGTAAGTATGGAGGGATTGTTTGATTTTTTAGAACGTAAGAAAGTTTGCCTAACGCTGCCCATCCCATTCTTACTCGTCTCGATATTTCGGCTGTTTGGCTTTCTCTATTAGCTCTGATTGCTTGTCCTAGATAGATATACTCATTTACCTGTTCTATTTTTTCTGTTTTTATTTTTATTGCCTCTTGGTCTTCCGTGTTTGTCATTACTTTTGTTTTGTTGAAGTTAATTTTTAGGCCTTTTTGCAGTGATTTTTCATGAAGTTCATTCAGCATTAATTCCAGTTCTTGTCGTTCCGAGGAGATCAGGAGTATATCATCCGCATATCTAAGGTGATTTAGGTATTTTCCGTTAATACATATTCCTCTGTTTTCCCAATCTGTTGATTTTATTATGTCTTCGAGGGTCAAGGTAAACAGTTTAGGTGAAATTATATCGCCTTGTCGGACTCCTCGTTTAACTTTTATATTATCCGTTATTAATTTGTCGTCCAGAATTACGGTCATCAATTACGGTCAAAAGATAGATAATATGAGTAAATAAACTTACCAGCCAGGTCGAACTGACTCGTTCGGGTGCTAATACGCAACTGTCAAAATATTAATTAAGTATATTCTTCCATTAGTTAAACATCTCAAGATAACATTTCAGAATTTACAAAAACAAAGATATTGTTTGTAGAAAGGTTAGAATGATAGTTGCCTCTAATATTCTCAAACCCAATTCATATTTAGAGAAACATAACGTAAGAAAATACATAATCCAATTATTTCAGTTTTCCCTATTGTTACAAAAATCATCAAATTACTTGTACAATACTTATATTAATATAAAAAATACATACGCCATTGGAACCACCAAATGATAGTTTAATTTTTAAGTCTTGTATATGGAGTGATCCTCTATTATTTAGTGTAACATTCAATTTTAATATTATGTTATCTATAGTCAACCTAAAATAAGAATAAAATTATTTTCTTAGTCAATGCGGTTTTTCCTGGGTTTGATGTAGAAATGGCCGTTGTCATTGGTTAATGATGTACAAACAAAATATTGTTTAATTAATTAAACTAAGTTTTTCAAAACAAAATGACGGTATTATATTTTGATTTGATACAGAGCAGCAACAAGCCGCATATACGTATTTCGATCTCTTTAGATCTCCTCAGTACGGTATAATTACTACTCCAAATCAAACCAAAATATTTTCCCGTCGTACATTATAGTTATTGAAAATAACTATTTACGGACGTAACTACGCTATCTAAGAACAAAAAGAGAAATCATACGATTTCTACCTGGCGAAATCAAATTCGAATATAAGCCGCCGTGCCCCCTAAGACTTGCGAAGCAAACAGCTTGATGAATGCATCGGTAAGGGAGTCTAAAAATTGCACTCCAAATGCCGTTCATCATGGCCTATATTCGTAGTGAATTCGATTTCTGGTACTCCAAATGAAGTAAATAAACAAAACAAAATGACGGTATTATATTTTGATTTGATACAGAGCAGCAACAAGCCGCATATACTTATTTCGATCTCTTTAGATCTCCGCAGTACGGTTTAGTTACTACTCCATATCAAATCAAAATATTTTCCCGTCGTAGAATATAGTTATTAAAAATAACTATTTACGGACGTAACTACGCCATCTAAGAACAAAAAGAGAAATCATACGATTTCTACCTGGCGAAATCGATTTCTGGAATTTTTTTTTTTTTCAAATTATCTTTTTTTTACAAAGTTTTATTATAAAAATTAATTTCAAGGACTCTAACCACATTTTTTTGTTCTAAATGAACAAAATATTTGAAAAAATATTTAAAACTTACATTTCTTTTAAGAACGAATATTATTCTGAAACTTTTCCTGTAAGGTATGTTAATGTCCAAATTGAAATTAATTGCAAATTTTGGAATAAATGTTGTATTTGGCGTTTTGAACTCAAGAAAAGTTTGACTGGTTTATTGACTTTTGTTTTGTATTGCTTACCGAATATCTCCTTCGCCATATACATGAAATAGTGTAAAAAGTTTTGTGTCCTTTATGTATTCAGCATTAATGCCGAATTCGTCTAGAGATGTATTTAAATTTACATTTATCGTTCTTACTGTGACATTATTTTCTACTTCATTGTCGACAAAGACTCTGGTATCGTATTTTAAAGTGGAAAATCCATAGATAGACACATTCTTTATTTCAAAAGTATCTTTTCTGTAAATAAAAAAAAATGAAGATAAAAGAAATGGTTATAATAAGAAAAAGATATTTTTGTATTATTTCCATAACTTCAAATGTCTTTGTTTCTGGTGATTGTCAGTTCTACAGCAGTCGTACCGTGGTCAAGAGGCTTATTGTATATCTTTTATTCCCTATTACACAAGTCGTCGGAACTTTGGCAGACCTGCTATCATTGAGACCTGTTTGAGACATATATAGAGTCCTCGAATACATGGTGTTACCTCTCTGCTCGTTCTCTATACATTTGTAGTTATGGTTTCAGAAAAGTCACGCATTTGTAAGTACTTTTCTGAGCCTTTTATTTTTGTATCGGTGTTAGGTAACGATTGGATTGGAGAGCACAGGAGTCACAACACAAATGTCACCCTATCATGAATCAATTGCGGTGCGGCCGTATGCAGTCAGAATCATGTGTGCATAAGCATTTTTACAGTACGTTTTTATATATGCAAGCGTCTATCATGTTTAATCTACAATGTGTTAAGTGGGAACATGTTAAAAATAAAAAAAAAAAAATAAAAAATGTGAACTTTTCCACCAAATGGAATCTTCCTGTGAGCTCTGAGGATGGCTTTGTAAACCGAAAGCGCTTAGCTAGGAAATAATTTTTTTTTTCACTTTACACATTATATTTTACACAAATACTTTTTTTGCTATTCTTTGATTTTTTATGATCTATTTTAACTTTAAATATATAGTCTCTGAAACTTTTGTTGTCTATAATTATAGATTAAAATCTTCAAGACCTATTGTTCTAAATAAATTATGAAATCTAACTTGTAGATACTTACATTACATCACTAATAATTGTTGGAGTACTTAAGGAGATTTTCCGTAAAAGAGTTATAGAGCCTATTCTTCTTAGAGAGGCTAAAGCTGTATTTATTCCTATCCTGATCACAAAAGCTAGTGCAATAAAAAAGATAGTAAGATAAATATTTTGTAACAGTTTAAAATTTTTATACAGTTTGTCAATTTTAAAACTTAAAATGGGTTATATCTCACGAACAAAATATGATATCGAAAAATGCTTAAAAAGGTTTCTAAGATAGTAAGGGGGAACTAAAATGACAAGAAAGTGAACTCACCTCTGTCAGCCCCCTAGGCCCCACCCACTACAACCTACACACTAAAAGTTTAAATTGCAAACACTTACTTATAATACATCATGGAAAATACTATAAAAAATTCTATCCAATGATTTAAATAATAATTATACAGGGTGAAGCAATATTGACTTAAATGGAAAATTGGAAAATGGAAAATTGAAAAATGGAGGTTTTTGTTGAACTACAAATTTGTTAAAAATGTCAATTAAGTAAATGTTCAAAGTGGATTTCGTTTTTTGTAAACAATAATACAACCTATTTTCAAATTCTGCACGAAATTTGGCAAATGTTCTAGCAATGGGGTGTAGGGTTGAGTTATAGAGGTAGCACCTTTTATCGGAACGATCACATCGAGCGTCATAGACGGGAGATGGTTCTTGATAACTGGTCCTCATAAGGCAACTAACTCTCACTTATGGCTCCACGTGCCACACCCCGGGCAACTGCATTGGTCTGCAGGCTAAACTAAGTGAGGGTAGCCAGATATGGCGAAAATTTCACCGAGCGATTGCCGGTATAAGCAATCCCACACTTACTGACCAACGGCTTCGGGCGGATGAGTTGGTAAGTGTTAGGGCACTTTTTTGTCCTGAGACCGAGAAATCGATCTCGAAGGCGGATGAACCCTACAGAATGGTCAACGGCATAAGGATGCAGAAGGCAACGGGGAACCACTGCATTAAAGACTCATAGAGTACCCCTAGTAGTAATCATCATGGTAGACATGCAAAGGAAAAGTACTGATCATGGACATCGGATACCAAGATCCGGCAGAGAAAGAGAAATAGATAAGTACAAGGCTTTCTCGGTCGTAAACCAGCGAAACCCTTGTAAAAAGAAAAAGACAACCATAAAAATTGCTACATGGAATGTAAGGAGCTTATTCTCTTCGGGAAAATTAGATAACGTCGTGTTGGAAATGGATCGTTTGGGTATAGACATATTAGGCATGAGCGATACACAATGGCCAGGAAACGGCAAATGTCCCACAAATAATCATGGTATGTTTTATTATGCCGGAAGTGACACCAAAACCCATCGATACGGAGTAGGAGTCATCATCTCAAAAAAATGGAAAGATGCTGTAGTAAACTTTACTCCATTCTCAGAGCGCGTGATGTTAATACAATTAAAAGATAAGAAGAACATGATAAACATCATACAAGTGTACGCTCCTACAGCAGACAAAGACGAAGAGGAAATAGAACAATTCTATAATATCTTAGAAGAGGTGATGAGAACAACAAAGAGACAACACATTAACATAGTAATGGGCGATCTGAACGCCAAGGTAGGTCAGGGTAAAGTTGGAGAAAATGTCGGTGAATATGGCTTAGGTAATAGAAATGAAAGGGGTGATCGTTTAGTTCAGTTTTGTCAAAGCGAAGATTTAATAATAACTAATACATTCTTTAAACTACCCCCAAGGCGACTATATACGTGGACGTCACCTCAACATACACAAGAAAAAGTGGTCAGAAACCAAATAGATTACATATTGGTGACAAAAAGATACCGTAATGCCGTAAAATCTACTAAAACTTTCCCTGGAGCTGATATCGGTTCGGATCATAATCCAGTAGTATCTGTGATAGAAGCTAGACCAAAGAAAATAAGAAAAGCCATCATTCCAGCATTAGACTTAAGCCAGCTTAAAAATGAACATCTACGACAAACAGTGCGAGAAGAAATAAACACCAGCCTCAGTGTAGCAGAAAGCCAAATCCGCAGAACAGACAACATAGATGAAAAACTTAAGTATATAAATACTATAATAAGAACTACGGGAAAGAAACACCTAACCAAATCTGCAAAGAAACATAAGGTGTGGATGACACCAGACATTCTAGAACTAATGGATGAAAGACGTAAAATGAAGAATAATGCAGAAAAATACAAAGAGGTTGATAAGAACATAAAGCAAAGAATAAGAAATGCCAAAGAATCATGGATTACAGAACAATGTGTAGAAATGGAAAACTATGAAAGAAAGTATGACACGTTCAATATACATAAAAAAGTAAGAGAAATTACAGGAACCCAAAGAAGACGTCAAATAAGTTTGCTTAAGAACAAAGATGGAAAGATTATTATAGATTTAACAGAGAAAATTAATAGATGGAGTGAATACATAAGAGAATTATTTGAGGACAACAGAAATAACATTGTTCTGATATATGGCGAAACGGGACCTGAAATTCTAAAATGTGAAGTAGAAATGGCACTTAAAAATTCCAAAACTGGGAAGGCAAATGGACCGGATGAGGTTCCTACCGAATTGCTAAAGCTCTTGAATGATGAATCAATAGGTATAATATTGCACTTATTTAATACAATATACAATACTGGCATTATACCTCAAGAGTGGCTGTTGTCTACATTCGTTACACTGCCAAAGAAATCTAATGCTAAAGAATGTTCAGAACATCGAACAATATCTTTAATGAGCCACCTACTAAAGATATTTCTAAAAATCATCCACAACCGAGTTTATCAAAAGTTGGAGTCAGATATTAGTAATACACAGATGGGGTTCAGAAAAGGGCTTGGTGCTCGAGAAGCTCTCTTCGGTTTGAATGTTCTCACACAAAGATGCCTAGACGTTAATCAGGAGGTACACACGTGTTTTATCGATTTTGAAAAAGCGTTTGACAGAGTACGCCATGATAAGCTTAGAGAGATTCTTGAAAGGAAGGACATAGATAATAAAGATCTGCGAATAATTCTCAATCTATATTGGAATCAGAAAGCTAACATCAAAATAGAAACTGAAACATCACAAGCAATAGAAATACGTAGAGGAGTACGACAGGGTTGCATTTTGTCACCTCTGTTATTTAATGTATATAGTGAAAGCATCTGTCAGGAAGCCCTTTTACAAGCAAACGGAGGAATCGTAATTAATGGAGAGATTGTAAATAATATTCGATACGCGGACGACACTGTACTAGTTGCAAGAACAGTAGAAAAATTACAAAGATTACTTACAGACATAAATATTGCTTGCAACAATTATGGTATAAATATCAATATTAAAAAAACCAAGTATATAGTCTTCAGTAAAAACATGACACAACCAGCGTATATTAGTATAAACGGCACTCAAGTTGAAAAAGTATCAAGTTACAAATACTTGAGAACTTTAATAAACGAAACTGGAGACCAAAACAGTGAAATAAAAAGACGTATCGAAATTGCCAGGGCCACCTTCATAAAGATGAGAAAATTCTTCTGCAACAGAAATATAAGCATCCCTCTACGATTAAGAATGCTAAGAGGCTATGTATTTAACACGCTATTATACGGTGTAGAGGCCTGGACTCTCAAACAGAACAACATGAAAAATATTGAAAGTTTCGAGATGTGGTGCTACCGTCGAATGCTGAAGATTAGCTGGGTTGAAAGAATAACAAACTGTGAAGTAATACGAAGAATAGGAAAAGACCCAGAGATTTTGTTAACGCTAAAGCGAAAGAAAACTCGAATATTTTGGTCACCTGATGAGAGGACATAAATACGCATTACTTCAAAATATAATGCAGGGAAAAATAGAAGGAAAACGGAATCCAGGCCGTAGAAGAATATCATGGTTGCGGAATTTGAGAGAGTGGTTTGGCTGCACCACTAATGAACTCTTTAGGTCAGCCGTAAACAAGGTCAGAATAGCCTTGATAATTTCCAATCTCCGATAGGAGTGGCACAAAAAGAAGAAGAAGTTCTAGCAATTGCGGGACATGCTTGCGTAATTCTTTCTCGCAATTCCCCAAGTGACGCAGGTTGAGTTTTATAAGCAACTGACTTGAGGTAACCCCATAGAAAAGTCAGATGGCAGTCCTACTACATTCTGCCGAAGAATTTGCTCTAATTATGCTAAATGAGACCAATTGTGTCGCAAATTCCTCGGCAGAATCAGGATCTGGTTACCAATATTGAAAGAGGAAGTTATTAATAAGAAAATACCAGTATTAGTAAGTCAGTAACATATAGAGGATACATCATTTATGTTTTTTTAAATAACGAAACATATACAATCAGAGTTTGGTGTTTATTGAAGGTAAACTAAATGCACCACCAAATACTTACCATGTCGGAATAGTATTATGAGGATTTTTTTTTCCTGGTTTTTACCTCATAATTTACTATGGAATCACTAACAGGAGAATTTTACTGTCATCATGTCATGTGTTTGTCTTTTTAAAGACGAATTACATGCTATGATTTCTTCTGACGGATATTCTCAAGTTAAAGTTGATTTTATGTAATCGAATGAACTATCTTATAAGTAAAGTCGTCCCAGGAGCGCAACTCAACAATATTTTCAATATCATTTTAAAGTGGTCTACTTTAAAATGCATAATGGATGTCTGAATTGTCAATATAAATGAGTCAGATAAGATTAAATTATTAGAAGAATTTTTCACTAAGTAACAAAACAAAATTTGTTTAAATTCCTGTTTGTATTTTGAGAACGGTTTCCGAAGTGGAAATTGAAACGTCAATAAACGTATCTTTACCTTTAATTGTGGCTTATTCCCAGGTAAATAGTAATTAATTTTAGTTATTACAATAATATCTAAGCTACTGACCTGTTAAATAATCTGGCTTGCTGTTGACATTTTGCACTAAAAACACCAAAGCACAAATAGAAAATATATAAATTAATTTCATAATTTTGATAAAAGTACACACACGCCATTCGTTCATATGAAAATGTTAATTAAAATAATGGAGTTCGCTTATGTACTATGCTATAATCGTTATTTTATCACAAACGTATATGTCTACTTAGACTGTTTACAATAATTTGTAATATACTTGTAAAATAATTTGCTCGCATTGGGTACATTTTTAAAAGTGGTACCAAATCAGAGAAAGAATGAATATTGGTAAAATCTACAGTGATATTAAAAGGTGGTAATGATTTATAAATGAATATCAACTCAACTTCTAATTTTTTGCCTGATAAAACATTAAGTGGATAAAACATTAAAGGCCAAATCGCACACCTTGAAAATGGTCTACCTAATGGATCCTTGGGGAGGTAAAAATTCGCGCTTGCCACAGAACAGAATAAAATCAGGCAAAAAATGCAATATTGTTCTGAAGCTATTTTCTTGTGGCATTTTAAATTAATTATTATTTAACTGGGAATAAGCCACAATTAAAGATAAAAATACGTTTATTGACGTTTCAATTTCCACTTCGGAAATCGTTCTCAAAATACAGTGTAGAATTCGCTTATTCCATCATTCATCTTTTTGCCGGAAAGTGTGACCGGCGAAGTTCCATTTTAGTTTTGCAACCTGTCTTGATACATCGTTCACCTTTGTTTTCTCTCTGATCCATGAGTTTCTTTTCCTGTCTTTAAGACCGATACCCAGCATCTGTCTTTCCATTGCTCTTTGTGTTTTGGATATCCTGTCGATGTTCTCCTTTGTGAAAGTCCATATTTGTGAGCCATATGTGATAACTGGTAAAATGCACTGATTGAATACTTTCGTTCACATATATTGAGGGAACTTTTTATTTTTTAGAATATATGATAGTTTAACAAATGAGGCCCATGCTAGTCTAGTTCTTCTTTTTATTTCTTCTGTTTGATTGTCCCTGTTCAGCTTTATTATCTGTCCTAGGTATATGTATTCTACCACCTGCTCTCATTTATTCTGTTTGACTACTATTTCTAATTGGTCTTCTTGGTTTGTTATAGTCGTAGTTTTACTATAGTTCATCTCTAGACCTACCTTTGTCGCTTTTCTATCTAGTTCCTCAACCATCTTCTGTAACTCTTCCTTCTTATCTGTTATCAGGACTATATCGTCTGCATATCTCAAGCGGTTCAAAAGCTCTTCATTTATTCTTATTCCGTACGTATCCCATTCTAATTGTTTAAATATGTCTTCCATAGCCTGATTGAACAATCAGTGATATTGTGTCTCCCTGCCTGATTCCTTTTTCGAATTCTTTTGGTTCTGTAGCGTGTTCGTTCGTCAATTTTATTGTGGTACTCGCATTTTTGTATATGTTTGTTATTAGGTCTGTGTACCTGTAATCAATTCTGCCGTTGTGTAGTGAGTTTTTGATGATCCAATGTTCTATGCTATCAAACGCCCTTCGGAAGTCTATGAATGCCATGTATAATGGGATTTGATACTCGTTCGACTTTTCAATCAGTATTTTTACTGTTAGCAGATGGTCGCTAGTACTAAAAAAAACCCTTTCTGAATCCCGCTTATTCTCTTGCTTGGTATTCGTCAAGCTTAGTTGTTAGTCGATTTGTCATGATCTTCGTTAGTAGTTTAAATACAACGCTTAGTAATGTTATAGGTATGTAGTTTTAAGTAAGTTCTTTTGGTCACCTTTTTTAAACATTAATAGTGTCTCCGCATCGTTCCAGCTATCGGGTATTTCTTTTGTGGTCAATATTTTGTTCATGAGGATATGTAGGACTTCTCTAGTTGTTTTCCCTCCTCTCTTCAGCATCTCTGCGGTTATTCCATCTTTTCCAGGTGACTTATGGTTTTTTAATTCTTGAATTGCTTTCTTGATTTCTAAAATAACTATCTAAAATAAAAACTCACTTTCCTCATCCTCTGTATGCTCTTTTGAGATCCTATCTTACCAATCGATATTTCCAGGTCAGATGCAATGAAGCAGTATCAAACATATCTCCAATTCTATCGGGAGTACCTCAGGGTAGTATATTGGGACCAACTTTATACTTACTCTATACGGCAGATATTCCCACAACAGTAAAAAGCACTATCGCTACCTATGCAGATGATACTGTGATAATGGCTTCTAGCTCGTTTCCTGTTACAGCCTGTCAAAATTTACAAATTCATTTAAATAAACTAGAGAAATGGCTAAAACTGTGGCGAATTAAAGTAAATGGCAGCAAATCAGCACACATAACATTTACTTTACGCAAAGAGAGTGTACCATCTGTGTGCATAAACAATGCCATAATACCCAAAAAAAGTGATGTTAAATACTTGGGAATACATTTTGACAGCCGACTAAATTGGGGAAAGCACATCTGGACAAAGCGACTGCAACTAGGATTAATATACAGGAAAATGTATTGGTTCATGAATAAAAAATCCAAACTAAGTCTACATAATAAACTATTACTGTATAAATGTGTTCTAAAACCAGTTTGGACCTACGGTATACAGATATGGGGTACAGCATCTAATTCTCACTTACTGAAACTTCAACGTTTCCAATCTAAAGTTTTGAGACATATTACCAATGCACCGTGGTACGTGCCCAATTATGTTATACACCGAGATCTTCAGATCCAAAATATTAAAGACACCGTTGTCTCACTCAGTGGCACTTACAAAAATAGACTACTAAACCATCCAAATACACTTGCCCAAGACCTACTTAAGCGACCAAGGAGAGGAAGACTAAAACGACGTGATCCTCTAGACCTCTCTATACCTTTATATACATAAACGTATAATATATCTTTTTATAGCTACAACTTATACTACAAATACCTACAACTTATAATTGTGTGTGTTGTTTTAATTTTAAATATTGCTATTTTTTTTTTAATATGTTAGTAAAATGTCTTTGTAAATTGTTATTTATATTTCAAATATTTATATATATTAGAAATTTATCTTAAGGATTTCTGTCACTGGACTGATCTCCCCTATGTTAATTACTTGATAAACATATTGATTATTGTTTTTTTTATTTGTAGAAATAGATTTCAATAAATAAAGGATGTAAAAAAAAAAAAAATTCTTGAATTGCTTTCTTGATTTCTGTTTTACTTATTTCTGGTTGTAGGTCAGAGTTTATATTCGTTATTTTTGTGTTTAATTGTTTAAGAATTTCTTGCTGTGGTTTATGTCTTGTTCGATATAGGTGCGTATAGTATTCTTGTGTCAACTTTATTATTTGTTTCATATCATTAATGGTTGTTCCTTTGCTGTTTGTCATTCCATTTATCTGAGTTTTACCGAGTCGTTGTTTTAAGCATTTCAAATTTTTGTTCTGCTGGATTACTCTTTCAATCTTTGCTTCCTGCGTTTTTCTCTTGGTTCCTTTTATGTTTTTTCTAATTGTTTTATTGATTTCAGTATATTCTACTGTGTTTCTTTTGCCCTGTTCAAGTAGGCTTCTTCTTCGTCTTCATCAGGTTTTGTCCTTTTTTGTCGTCGATTTTACAATTCTTTCCCCTGCCTGTAGCAATGTAGTTGTTAGTATTTCATTTATTTCGTTTGTTTCTTTATTAATTAAGTCGGTTGTATTTGGGATGCATTTTTTTATTTCTTCTTTGTACTTTTCTTCGTTTTGGCTAAGTTTCTCCATATCTAGTTTTTGTACGTTTTTAATTTTGTATCTGGTTTCAAATTGGCTGTTAATTTGTATCTTAGCCTTCACCATTCAGTGATCGCTGCCTGTTGTGAAACGGTTTAGCACTGTGACATCCTTGACTACGTATTTTTGTGTTGATAATATGTAGTCGATCTCGTTCTTAGTTTTGGTGTCAGAGGTTATCCAGGTCCATTTTCTCTGTGGCTTCCTGTTGAAAAAGGAGTTCATGGTGTAGAGTTTCCTTTTCTCCATGTAGTTCATCAGGGTTGTCCCTCTTTCGTTTCGTATACCATATCCATATTTTCCTATTTTTGTTTCTTCGTCATTTAGTCTTTGTCCTAGCTTGGCGTTGAAATCTATTATCACAATTGTTAGTCGGGTCTTTTCTTCATCCAATGCTTTTGATATTTCTTCATAGAATGTTTCAATGTCTTCATCTATTATTGTCTTCAATTAAATAATTTTCACTACAACAAGCACTCGAACTTTAATCTACCACAGGCTAAGTTTCAAGCCATCCTGCAAGGAAAAATATTTGGAAAACGAGGTCCAGGAAAAAGAAGAACATCTTGGTTAAAAAACCTTAGAATCTGGTTCAATACAATATCTGTGCAGCAAGATAAAGATTGACATGATGATCAAGAATATTCGTAACGGATAGGCATATCAAGAAGAAGAAAAAGACTAAGTTTGAAACTCAATAACATTATTTCTTGTTCACAACTCTTTGCAGTAATAAAATAAAAACGTGATATACCTATGACTACGCAGACTAGCAGACTAAACATTATTCTTTTTTAGTAAATCGTCGTCTATACAAACAATACGTTCAGTCTCTCATATATTTTGTAAAATTGTACTAAATCCGTACAATATTTCTTCTTCTGTTCTTTCTAAATTCAAATCAATACAAAAATATTCTAACATATATTTATTAAAATTCCTAGATCCTAGAAATTAAAACATAAATATTCAACTGCTATAACAAAAAATAAACTACATAATAATTTATAAATACTTAAACAATAAAATACTACTATTTTTATTCAATATTTTTGTTGTAAGCATTTTTGGCAATACTCTTTAACTGCTGAGTCATCGCAGTTCCCGTCTCCAAGACCATTCGATGAAAATGTCCATCTGGTATTTCTAGTAGATTGTGAGGATGGTCGAACTCTATCATGTGTCCAAAACTCATTACTAGTACCTTGTCTGAGTCCATTATGGTATTTAGCCGGTGAGCGATAGTAAGCACAGTGCAATCTTTAAACCGTTTTCGAATTGTTGCTTGTATCAATGAATCCGTCCTAAAAACAGAGATGATTATTATAATTTGATAATCTAGAAAGAATGATTTCTCTGCTGATCAAGTTTGAAATATGATTTAAAGAACAAGGACAAATAATATGGACAATGATGACAAGAATAACAAAAATATTACACGTGGAAACATACAAGTACTTCAATTAAATGAAAGACAGGGCATCTTCTGGTTTCTTTTTTCAAAATTTATTAACTGTCCAATGACCCTCTTTGGGTCTTCCTCCCGTAGGTATAGCGAGATACACTTATTTATTAAATGAAGATGAAGGTCTCCTTTGTTTACTTATTTTTCTTAGAATATGGACTAGTATTTTCTTTCGATATCGGTCACAGTTTATCCTCATTAATTCTGTGTCTTCTTCAACTCATTATTTCTAATAATCATAACATTTTTGAAACTTGATGTATACTCCATTCCACGAATATACGACTGTTTTAAATTCGCTTTAAGGTGTCGTTTCAATTGGTCCAATGTACTGAATTGTACAATAGTAAATTCTCCCCATTTTTAAAATACTGTTACGACAGATATAAACCTTAGATTTAAATACATGAATTCATGATATAAATATAAAGTTAATGGTTTATAAAACAGTTGTAATTCAGATTTTGAAGTATATAATTACTATCATGGAGTTTATTTTTTCATTTCAATTATTTCATTGTAAACAAGTTGGTTATTGAATTATGTGATTTAAACGAAATGTAACAATACTTAAGTGATCAAATAGTATAAAGTTTTTAGTCGAATATTCAATTAATATTAAAGAAAACAAAAAATCTTACTTATTCACTTATTCTCTTATTCTTCTAAAACTATCGTCAACGATCAGATTCACAGCCATAATCAGTCGGCGATATATGAAACTGTATATAAATTTTCATTACTTTTTAATATCTGTAACGACTCGGTACTTTAACTATCAATAGCCGGTATGTTATACCCGTTACTTTCGTAACTTTTAAGAGTACATAAACTCAAAGCAAACAAATATTTAAAACTAACAAAGTGAAATATTAGATCCTTTTTCTGGTTTTTGAACCATCTTTCTGCCAATTTCTTTTCATTTATATTAAAAATAGTATATTTCTTTTTATTACAGTTATAATACCTAATAAAGTAATAAAATGTGTTATATCAAAGAAACCCGGCACGCCTCTTTGGTGTTTACATTTCACGGAAAGCTTACCCAAATGTCTGATGAACACATTTGGCTTCATAGACGTCATTGTATTTATTTGTAGATTTTAACTGAAATAATTTTAGTTTAGATGTCATACTAGTAGACCCTTTTTATTGGAATAATGATTAGACCAATCGACCTTCATACTTCTACTTGCACAGTAAAATATTCGTTGTCGCAGTAAACCAAAACAGTCGTATATTCGTGGAATAGCCTATAACTATCTTACGTTCAATTAAGTTTATATTTCTCTTTTTCTCTCTTTTACATAAACCAACATCCTACACTATAGGTTGCAATTGGTTCTGCTGTTCTGCAATATATGTTACGAGCAATGTCCGAAATTGGACAATCCTAGCATTGTACGGAAAACCTTGTCAACTTCTACCATTGTACCCCTTCACTGCATTATCTCTGAAATAGACGTAATCGTAGTACTTTGTATAAAGTAATTGCTGTACAATGTTCGAATTTCAATAAGTAGCCATGCGTCAAAGTCTGGGAGAATATGACAGATATCGATTCATATCGATTTTTACGATTATTCCCATTTGTCCCATGAATGAGGTTATAAATCCATAATTAATTAGGGTTCTAACCTAGTCTTCTCTTGAAATGTTTCACTAACATCATCAGTCTATTGTAGAACATTTTCTTCTAATTATTTATATTTTAGTTTGACACATTGTCGATTCGAAAAAGAAAAACTCTTATATACATAGAAAATATATACAGGGTGAGTCACGCTCAACGGGTCGGAGCCTACCGGGGAAATGGCTAAAGATATTAAAAATTCCTTTTGTAGGAATACGTAGGTCAGTACCGGCTACAAATTAAAATTTGTGAGATATATACAGGATGTCCCAATTTGGCGTAATGATATAAACTTATACTTTTTTAAATAGAATAACCTATATTTCACTTAAATTTTGAATTCTACTGAACAAAATAATGTTACTTTATTCAACATTCCCTATACCTATTTTTGACCGGTTTCGATTTATTTGGGTTTTTCTAAAAATGTACTATTCGCGAAATTAATTAATTACACAATATCGCATCAATTATAATTAACGCCTTTTTGTCAATTAATTTTCAAGTGTCCATGCTTTACATCAGAATAATTACCAATTGAAATTATTCTACAGAGTGTTCGCAATACGAAGTGTCAATGCTGTATAATAGTTTGTGTAATTACTTTCTTAACTTAAATAGGACACCCTGTATTTTACTTTAATTTTGAATTCTAATCAAAAAAATTATATTACTTTATTAAAAAATCCCTATACCTATCCTTTATAATTTTCGATTAATTTGGGTTTTTTTGAAAATGCACTATTCTTGAAATTAATTAATTACACTTTATTACATAAAGTTAAACAAAACACACTAGAAAAAAATTAATTTACATTAAATGTTCAAAATAATGTCCATTTTCTTCAATACATAACCTTACTCTGTGTTCAAAATTTTGTTTTACTCTTCTTAGCATTTCTGGAGTAACTGTTGCAAACGCATTACGAATACGCGTTTTCATGTCTTCAGCGGTTGTAGGTGGAGTTTGATAAACCAAACTTTTAATATATCCCCAAAAAAAAAGTCCATTGATGTTAACCCAAGTCATCTAGGGGGCCAATTGACAGCACCACCCCTACCTATCCACTTTCCGGGAAATTTTCTGTCTAAATATTCTCTAACGTTACGCGTGTAATGTGCTGGAGCACCGTCTAGCTGCAGAAACATTGTTCTTCTAATATTTAAAGGGATATTTTGCTAAAGTATCCAAAAGTCTCTTCGTAGAAATCTTAAAAACTTTTGTCCATTTAAATAGCCATTAAAAAAATACGGTCCTATCACATGTTCTCCTATTATTCCACCATATACATTAAGGGACCATCGGTTTTGTCGATCAGTACATCTATATTCATGTTGATTTTCCGTATTATAATAGTGAAAGTTATGTCGGTTCACGCGTCCATTATTATGGAAAGTAGATTCATCAGTGAACAAAATTTTATCGTAAAAATGTTGATCTGCTCCCGTTTTGTCTAGAAACCATAAACAAAATTCTAACCTACGTTCAAAATCAGTTCCATACAAATGCTGATGCATTTGAATATGGTATGGGTGATATTGATATTTCTTAAGAATTCTGCATATACTAGTTTGGCTTACTTCAATCTCCCTGGCCATCGTCCTTGTACTTGTATTTGGATTTTCAATAACTGATTGAATAACTTCTAATTCGGTATTTTCATCTTCAGTTATCGGATTTATTAATTTTCGTTTAGTATAAACAACACTGCCAGTTTCACTAAACCTTGTTAAGACTCTGTCAAATACTTCTTTACGAGAATGACGTTTTAAGGGAAATCTCTCAGCATAGACTATTGATGCTAACGAACTGTTTTGATCACATTCACCCAGTATTAAAATCATATTTACTCGGCCTTCAATTGAATAATCTGTCATTTCTATTTAATTGAAAGCAATACAGTTAATAGTTTGACAATTAGTTTGACAGCTAGGTACCTTTTGTTTTTTCATGGCATTCTTTATAATAACGAGCTATGTAATTAATGGCATTTAATGTTCCAGGTAACATAATGCAAATAGATTTGAAGATACTAGATGTTAATATACAATTTTATAATAGTTTGATTATAATAATTGTTACAACATTCAAATACAGCGTTTTTGTTTAAGTTAGAGTAGAACTTTATGTAATAAAGTGATAAAAATTAATTAATTTCAAGAATACATAGTGCATTTTCAAAAAATCGCAAATAAATCGAAAATTCTCAAAGATAGGTATAGGGATTGTTTAATAAAGTAATATTATTTTTTTAATTAGAATTCAAAATTGAAGTAAAATACAGGGTGTCCCATTTAAGTTAAGAAAGTAGTTATACAAAATATGGTACAGCATTGACACTTCAGATTGCGAACACTCTGTAGATTAGTTTCAAATGGTAATTATTCTGATGTAAAGCATAGACACTTGACAATTAACTGACAAAAAGACGTTAATTAAAATTCATGCGATATTGTGTAATTAATTAATTTCGCGAATAGTATATTTTCAGAAAAACCCAAATAAATCGAAACCGGTCAAAAATAGGTATAGGCAATGTTGAATAAAGTAACATTATTTTGTTCAGTAGAATTCAAAATTAAAGTGAAATATATGTTGTTCCATTTAAAAAAGTATAAATTTATATCATTACACCAAATTGGGACACCCTGTATATATCTCACAAATTTTAATTTGTAGCCGGTACTAACCTACGTATTCCTGCAAAAGAAATTTTTAATATCTTTAGCCGTTTCCCCGGTAGGCTCCGTCCCGTTGAGCGTGACTCACCCTCTATATATATATATATATATATATATATATATATATATATATATATATATATATATATATATATATCAAATAACTGATGGGTTCGACCGTTACTTGATGGAAATTAATTTTATGTAACAATAAAGCGCTGAAAACCTTGTTTTCAAACTTCCACAAAATTTATTTTAAATACTACAGTTGTTTCGGCTGATTGCCTTTCTCGATATTTTTGGCATGCGTTTACACTTTATCTCCTCCTCAATCCTTTAGCCCTTGTCAGAGCGTAGTGACACCCTAAATATTATTAGTCTGCTGTCTCCATTGACTGCGATCTTGTGCCATATGGACGGCTTCATGTAGGGATTTTCCCACCAAACTCTTCATTTGGTCCACCCATCGTATTGGAGATCTTCCTCTTGGTCTTCGGCCTTCTACCTTACCTTCTACTACCAATAGTTCCATGGTGCCCGTTCTTCTAGCTATGTGGCCGAAGTAAGTTAGGTATGCTTGGTTTACTTTTTTTAGTAGCCTGTCTTTTATATGAAGCTCTTCCAGAATTGACAAGTTGGTTCTATGTTCTGTCCAGGAAACGCGTAGAATTCTTCTATATGCCCACATTTCGAAGGCTTCGATCTTACTCCTATCGATTTTTTTGAGAGTCCATGTTTCAGCTACATATGTAGCAATGGGAAAAATAAGGGCATTGACCAACCTAAGCTTAGTATTCCTTGTTATTGTTCGGTCTTTCCATATTTTAATTAATTTAGCAGTTGCGGTTCGGGCCATTCCTAGTCTACGTTTGATTTCTGAGGAACAATCACCATTGTTGGTTATCAGAGAGCCCAAGTATACAAATCTGTCGACTACTTCGAAAATCCCTGTTTGGAGTATATGCGGTAGATTATTATTTGCTCTGTCTACAATCATTATTTTTGTTTTTCTGGTGTTGATTTGAAGTCCAAATTCTTCACTTATTCGGCTTAGCCGTTCGATGATGGTAATCATTTCGACTTCATTCGCTGCTAGTATAAGTGTGTCATCTGCGTATCGCAGGTTACTGATTTTTCTGCCTCCTATAGTGATTCCTCCATCCCATTCATCTAGTACTTTTCTCATTATATATTCAGAATATATGTTGTACAATAATAGTGATAGTATGCAACCTTGTCTAGTTCCTTTCCTTTATCTTACACTTTATAGTCTTTATGAAATAGGTTGAGGAGGGGAGAACTGTTTGTCTTAAGTTGGTCATTCAGAATTATATCTGTGTTTTTTAATTTGGTGATTTCCATAGATTCTAACAAAGATAGCTTAAGGCCTTTATTTTGAATGTGAAGAATTTTAAATTCGTCACTAAAAGAATGATTAAGATCTAGAAGATGAAGTGCTTATGTAGACTCTGTTTTTTTATTATTGAAAGCCCTTTTATGTTCTGCTATTCCTTTATTAAAATTTCTACCTGTTTGATCGATGTAAGTTTTTGGGCAGTCCCCACATTTAAGTTTGTACACACCACTGTGTAAGTTTATTTATTTTGGCTCTTGTTGTTTTTAATATATTTGCTTAAGTTGTTATTTGTTCTGAAAGCTAGTGTTTGGCTTATCCTTTCTTTTTTATGTGTTTGGCTATTTTTTATTGATATTTTGCCTGTATTATGCAATCGAGCAGAAGGTACTGGGTTTTTTCTCTGGTGGTGGAAATACTAATTTCAGGACAAGAAAGCCCTGAAATTGGTATTGCTGTATAAAACCTGTAGGGATAAAAATTTAAAATAAATTTTGTGGAAGTTTGAACACAAAGTTTTCAGTGTTTTATTGTTACATAAATATCAAGTAATTAACTTGTCAATAATAATCGATTCCAATTGATGAGCTTTTCAATAATCATTTATAATTTTGGACTTTCACTTTGGATCACTTTGGACATTGTAGTTTTGGGGATACAATGCTAGAAGTGGACAACAATTTCCGTACAATGCTAGAGTTGTCCAATTTGGGATTTTACTCGTCACATATAGATATACTACTCTCCAAAATTAACGCACCACCTTAAATGTATTATAAGTTTAAAGCTATCGTTCTTCTGAACCGTCGATTATAGATCTTATTCTAAGAAATTACAATGTTTTTTAAGAAATATATAAGTTTTACCCGTATACGGGGTGTAAAAATAATGTGTTTGTGCAAAAATATTGAGAGATGTCTTCGTCTTTTTTTGAAATTTTCATCAAAAAAATTATTTTGATATCTCTATTATTTTAATTGTTCCAAGTTTTTATGGTCATTTAAGCAAAGAAAACACTACTTACATAAACTGTATTGACATTTAATGCAACTGAAGCCTAGGAAAACATAAGCTAAATCATTTTTAACAAGTTTTCTCTCCAAAAAATACTTAATAATGAGTATTTCCGCCACTATCTGTAATTCTTTTTTTTACAGCGATGAGGCATACTTAAAATCAACCATCCTATTTGGTCCTAAATCAATTGCATCCCAATCTTATTTCACCATAACTTCTGTATCTTCAAGAGAGACAGAGAAGATTGTTGGCTCTTGAGTTTACGATTAATAATATCCCTCTATGGGAGATATCAGAGATTGGACCCACACAAGAGAAAATGAATTAATTCATCAAGCCCATAACAGAGAGAAATTTGCCATATTGATCGCCAACCTCAACAAAGAAGGCACTTAGAAAAAGGAGGATGGGATTCAGATCAGGACTTTAGGGTGGCCAGTTTATGGTTTGTATTCCTACCTCGTCCAAATAATCATGGACCACACATGCAACATGTGGTCGAGCATCATCTTGCATTAAAAAAATATTTCCTATGTAAGAAGCAACTGGAACTACATGGTTAGACAAAATGTCTGTACTATACCTTTCACTTGTTAAAGAACCTCTTAAAGCAACAAGATCCGTTCGTGCTGTAAAAGAAATTCATCCAGAAACCATTACAGATCCTACATTGAATAAAGTCATAGGTCGTATGTTGTACTGTGCTTAGCTTTCTTTTGGCTATCGAATAACTCTTACACGTCTATCTCAGGTATATATTGGTAAATATATAGGTAAAGTGCTCTCTGGAAAATTGCAATCTACTTCTACGTTGATTTACGTTTAAAACTGGCTCTTTTTGGTAATCTCTGGTTTTCATTCTCACTACATAACTAGCCCATCGAAGTCTCTGAAGTTTACAAATTCTGAGATCAGTGCCTTTTTAAACAGTTGGTAGATTTCATGGTTGTACCTGGATCTACATGCTCCGTTTTTGTTAGTAGGCCCTTATATATAATATCTTCCTTAGGACTTTTCGTTTGAAGACTTCTAGCTTTTATTTTGTGTCATCTGTCATCACCCTTGTCTAACATCCATAACATGGTACTCTAGGTATTTTTCCATGTTTTTGTTTTACTCTGTTTGTCCAAAATGATGTTTACGTCAGAATCAGATTTGCTTTTTTTTTCGTCTTAGTCCACCTGTAGATCCATTAACTTTAACATTTAACATTATTTTGCCTATTCTGATTCTCCTTCTTATTGTTATATTTATCCCTTTATATTTTCCTGGCTCATATTCCACTTTTCTTCTTTCATATAATAAATATATAAAAATGCACATACCTAATACAAAAGGTGATATTTAAATAATAATAGCAATATTAACTTTTAGTAAAATGAAGTTCTTACTTAGGATCAACATTAGCTGTAGCTTCATCCAATACCAATATTTTGTTATTTTTAAGAACTGCCCTGGCTAAACACACTAACTGTCTTTGACCCAAGCTAAAGTTACCACCTCCTTCTGCAACTTGGAAATCTAATGAATCAATACTTTCCTTTAATTCTACCTAAAATGTAAGGTTGGGTATTAGTTTTCCAGAAGATAATAGTAAAAGCAAAATTTAAACAAAATAATATGAGTACTTTTCTTTTCTAGAAAAATTACTGTCCTTCCATAAGCAAAACACAGGGAATAAATTTGTAAACAAAAAGTAGAGATCCGAAGATTTCTAGGTGTTCGAAACCAAAATTCAAATTTTTGCTCAATTATGTGCCTTTTACTATTTTTAAAGCAAGCAGACAATGAATGAACCGACATGATAAATCTATGGTTCTTAAAAGAATCTTAGATTCCTATCTGCTAACGCCAGATAAAACTTTAAATTTTAAAATCATGTCGGTGAAAAGCTTTTAACAATGAGTCACGGCTTTTGTTTGTGACAGGTACAGAGAAAAGAAAACTTTTGTTTATGGGAAAAAGTTTACATCCTAGATGTTCCAAAAACATAAAAACACTGCATGTAAACTACACAACCATTAATAAAGCATGAATGACTTCTGCTATTTTTAAAGAAGAATTTAGTAAGTGGGACAAGGAACTTTCTTCAAAACAAAAAAAAAGAAAAATTTTTCTCTTAGTTGATAACTAGTCAACTAAGAGAAGAGGATGGGCTAGTGCAACCCATCCCAAACTTAATTTGACTAATATCAATCTAGTTTTCTTACCAGCCAACTGCACGAGTGTCTTGCAGCCTATGGACCAAGGAGTCATAAGAAGTTTAAAGTGCCATAATTGAAAACAGCTTTTAAAAAGGATAATTTTTTGTATGGACAATGGGCAACCCGTAATCATTACCTTTCTTGATCCAGTTCTGTTTTTATACAATGCGTGGAGTGCGGTTACGCCAGTGACAATTTGTAAGTGCTTTCGTCAAGCTACATAAATTGACTGTAGTTTCTCCAAATGTTCAGGATATTGACGAGGATGACGAAATGCCTTTTTCAGAGTGAATACAAAAATTTAATTTACACCAGAGAGAATTTGTAACTGATCTTGACTCCTACATTTCAGTAGACAATCAGGTAGAAACATTTTAAGTTTTAAGTGATAAAGAAATTGTGGAACAAGTGCAAAATGTGGAAATGGATACTGATAAAGACAATAAAGAAGAAGAAGAAAGCGTTGATTGTTCTACAATCCAAGAAGCAGTGAGAGCTGCTGAGACCATATCCAGGTTTTACCAGTTTAGGGAAGCATCCAGAACTACCAAAGGAGCAGCTCAGATTATTAAGGACACTACAAAAAATCTTTATTTTTCAGAATGCGTTGTGCAGAAGAAAATAACTGCTTTTTTAGCATTAGAGACCTTTCTCATAAAAAATGTTTTCATATACATGATATGTTTTATTTCTTAATTTTTTTTATCCTAAATGCAGCTGTAATAGTAAATAATCTTCTTCTTTTTTTTATAAGCAAAATGCTTGTTCAATGTCGATTAATGCCTCTATTGGAGGTTATTACTCCATCTTTTGCGTGGTCGCCCGATACTTCTTCTACCTTTTGGTGATTTGTCCCTCGCTATTCTGATTAATCGGGTCTCTTCCATTCTGTTTATGTGTTCGTTCCATTTCTTTTTTCTGTTCAGTGTCCACTCATTTATTTCTGGTATATTGCATTTTCTTCTGATCTCTTCACTCCTCATTCAATCCCTCAGTGTGTTTCCTGTAATTCTCCTCAGTAAACGCATCTCCGCTGTTTCTAGTAGTTGCTGAGTTTTGGAGGTATCCGGTCTTGTCTCTGAAGTGTATGTCATTATTGGTCTTATTGTTGCTTTGTAGATTCTTGATTTCACGTCGTATTAATGTGGGGATTGCGATATATCGTGTTATTAAGACAACCTGCTATTTTATTAGCCTTTTGTACTTGATTTTTCACTTCCTTCTCCACATCTCCGTAGCTAGACAGTGTAATTCCTAGGTAATGGCCTTGCAATATTTTGGTTGTAAGCTTCAAAGTGGTGTTTTATAAGTTGATACCTCTGTAGTTTTTAGGTTGTTTTTTATCTCCTTGTTTGTATAGTAGGATAAGCTCGCTTTTCTTCCACTCTTCAGGTATTTTATTATGTTTGATAATTTTGTTAATTAGTGCTGTTAGCTGTTCTGTTAATGCTTCTCCACCATATTTCAATAATTCATTTGGAATTCCATCTTTACCTGCAGCTTTTCTGTTCTTCAGTTGTTCTAAAGTTTGTTTTACTTCTTGTACGGTTATCTCGACTTTCTCGTTTGTAATGATTTCTGGTGTTTCTGGTTCTAACATCATTTGCTGTTCATCATTATAAAGCTTCTTTAGGTATTCAATCCATGTGTCGCTATCTATGTGTTTCGGTTCGATTAAGTCTTTCATCTCTGATCTTTGGCCTCTTATGAAAAGCCATATTTCCTTTTTACGAAAGTAAACCTTTTCACAGGAACAACAATTCGCCTGCTGAGTACATTGCGTCAATTTACGCCTGACAGATAAGGATTTATCATATAAAATCCAGCTGACTTAAAATCATCGTAATAGCCATTCGACTCCAGCTCATTGTAATCCAAGTAAAAAAAAATTGTTTGGTAATCTCTAAAGGAGGATAATGTTCAGGAATGTAAAGGCAATAGAAAATCATTAGTCAAAGTAATCAAGGCACTGGAGCTATGTGACAAAAAAAAATTAGTTTAAAATTGACCTAATTTTAAAGGTATTGTAACTGAAACAGTTTTAAAAGGGACATATTGATAGTAAAACTATAATTTGACTGTAATTATTAATTAATAACTAAAAAATACATACCTGTTCCAAAGCTTTCCAAATTTTCTCATCGTCGAATTTATTAAATGGATCTAGATTATATCTTAATGTTGCTGAAAATAATACTGGTTCCTGAGGTATTATTGAGATTTTCTTCCTTAAATCGGTTAATCCCAAATCTTTAGTGTCCACTCCATCTATGAAAATAGAGCCTTTAGTCGGAGCAAGACGAAAGAGAGCTGCAATAAGTGATGACTTTCCCGCACCAGTTCTGCCTACTATGCCAATCTAAAAAATAAAAGTATTTAAATAGGTGTGCTATTTTTAAAGTAAATAAACTGACAAAATAGAGTTTGGTCTCAAATGACCTGAAAATATTTCAATTTTATCTATTTATATTTTTAACTAAAAAGTTACACAAGTAAGTTTGTGTTGTGTTTATGTATCTTCCTGAGTAAATTAAAAAACACAATTTATTATTTTACATAAATAGTACGATCTTTTTGTTTATGGAAAGGATGTGGTAAATCTTATAAAGACGGTAGAAGGCAGTCTCCCGTTCAGGATGCCTTGGCGTGTGTTGGATACATTGCGGAAGGCTTCATCTGCACGCAGTCCTCCCAGAAGAGTCGTGCTCACATATGCAACCATAGCAGACCATAGCTCTCTGCCTACCAATTAAAGTACACCCCCTCAACCGGAATACTCATGCAGTAGGTTCTCTCCAGACCTTTTCCTTCTTCTCTCTCTCTCTCTATCTATCTCTCTCTCTCTCTCTCTATCTATCTCACTCTCTCTCTCTTTCTTACCTTTGCTGTAAATTACTCTCTAGTATTTTCTTCATTCTGACGATTTAAGTTACTGCCTACAGTATGACCTTGTATTCGGTTTTCTTTCATTGCTATGTCCATTATTATATTTATGCTTACACTATCTAACTTCCTGTGTAATTATCCATATTCTTTATTCTCTTTGGGTAGGACCTGAAATAGCTGTGCCTGTTAGAAACTAGGTGAAAAGTAGTTAGTGTCTCTGTCACCGCACTGCATCCAATCTGTCTTACTTGGAATTATTACTCTCTTTTAGACAGTCCTAGGTTAGTTTGTCTATTCTTCCTGCAACTTCGTAATGCTGCTATTTCTAGCTTCTACACTCTTCTGCTCATCCTTGCCGTAGGTTTCAACTTTTTTCCTCACCATCAGGTCGATAGGTAACACCCCTGCGATCATTTTTATGGTCACCGTTGATGTTGTTCTGTATGTACGTGCTACACTTAGCAGTGCTTTTTTTGAGCTTTTTCCAGAATTCTCCTATATTTCCTATTATTAGGCCATACCGGTGCCGCATGGAGTATAGTAAAGTAGACCACATCCATTAAAATTCTCCTTTTAACAGTCCCTGGTCCTCCCAGATTGGGCATAATTCTACAGGGCCCAAAGTCTATCCTCTACCTTGCGAACGACGTATTTCACGTGCTCACCAATTGTTCGTCTCGTATCTCGGCAAATTCACTTTTTAGGAAGGCAAAATCCTTTCTCCCTCCAGTGCAAAAACTATGGTCTCTAGCTCTAGAATTTCTAAGGATTATAGGTTCAGTCTTCTCAACCGCCAGTATGAGGTCCATGCTTTACATTCACGTCTTAACTTTGCTGAGGACTATGTTCACTCTATGCATGATTGACCAGTTTTCGTTGTGCTTCACCAGCACCACCATGTCGTCCGCACACGCTATTGCCTGTACACTTATGCCGAGGTCTGCCTCCAAAATCTCGTTGTGAAGAATATTCAAGAGCAATGACCCCAGAATGGAGCCCTGCAGCGCTCCCGCCATGGTCTTTATGAAGTTAACCTTCGCAATATTGACGCACATATCCGTCAAGTAATTTATGACCAAGTTCTGCAGATAAGCAGGTATACTTAAGTCGTCTAGTAGATTCACGATAGTTTTTCAGCCAGCACTATTAAAAGCATTTCTTATATCGAGAGAGAGAGAGAGAGAGAGAGAGCTACCATCCACCTGTTTCTACATATGGATATCTCCCTTTTGATCCTGTTTATGGCGTTTACCGCAGATTTTTCTTTCCTGGACCCATACTAGTGTTCGGCTATACCACCTTTCTCCATTATCTCTCTCTCCAGCCTTTTTTTTACAAGAATCTTAAAGATCTTGTCTAAGGTATCTAACAGGCATATAGGTCTGGGAACTCTTGTTGCCTTCTTAACAGGTTATTCATAATATTCTATGCCCATTGCACTTCCTCCTCGATTATGATTTTTATTATCGCGGGTGGTACCTTATCAGGTCCATGTGCTTATACTGCTTTGATCATTTTGCCAGCTTCCGTCACTTCTGCCCTCGTAAATTCAGTCACGGGTGTCTCCACTTGGAGTGGAGTGTAGCTTACTTCCTCCCTGTGTGGAAAAAGAGGTTTTGCCAGTTCTTCCCTTCGACTCTCCATGATGTTAAAGAATCTTTTCTATTCCGTTTAAAATTCTTGACAACTATTCGCTAGGCATCGCCCCAGATATCCCTGTCAATATTTTTGCAAAGTTCTTTCCAACATTTTCTTTTTTCGCAATTCATTTCTTGCATCAGCTCGTTCTTCATGGCTTTAAGTCTTGTTAACTCCTCTTAGATCGCGCAATGCCTCACTGCGTCTCTTGTAACTTTTCTTCTTAACTCAATGGTTCCTTTTCTTGTTTCTTTAATCCTCTCCGTCCACTATTAGGGACGACTGCTTGCTCTCTGGTAATAGTTCGATTACATTCATTCGATTATACCTATTCTACAACTCTTAGCCAGCCTATATTTTCATTAAATATTATTACAGTTATAAATAGCGGTGTAATGTGTCTCTAAAATACATATTGCTTTATCATTGATGTGTAGAAATTTGCGTATCATATATCAAAACTTACACTGTAATTGTCTCTCATCAGGTAGCAGTAGACCAAACATTACAACTTCTAATTTTGTTAAGAATTTACGAATTAACTGTAGCTTTATTGCATAATGTTGCCTACAGTACAATACATAGACTAGCATATTTTCCAAAAAGGGTGGAAATCATGCCAAAAATCATACAAAAGGAATTTTTTAAATTTATCACTGAAGCGATGTCAAAACAAAAAATGATTTTTAGTATCTAGATTTTAAATTCATAGACTTAAAGCGACTGTACATATTTTTGGTAACTACCAGTTTTTCTATTTATAAGCGCTTGAATAAATGTAGAAGGTACTTACTTTTTGCCCAGGTTTTATAGTGAAATTAAGATTGTTTAAAACTGGAGGATCATTTTCCACATATATTAAAGATAAGTTTCTGAATTCTAGGAGACCTTCCTTGGGCCAGATTCCCTTAGGTATTTTTTCTAAAATAATTTAAAAATATATTATACTTATATAATTTTAAAAATTAGTACTTGTTCATGATTAGATTTTATTTGATTAAACAAATAGAAATAATAAACTATATTAATGTCTTTAGTTCATTTTTCATTTTACAGATACTTTGATACATTTTTATTTCTTTTTATATAATTAGCCTTTTAAAAACAAGAAAATATCATCCGGTGATATTTTTTCCGGTATTTATAGGAACCAATCGCTTTTTAAGTACTAATGTTATGAATGCAAAGTTCATTTAACGATAATAGAAAAAGAGCTTTATACATTTTGCAGCCACGGCTCATCGACTGTATCGTTTACATAAAAGTACATAATTTGGTTTTAATTCTAATTATCTTTATTTAAATTTTAGAAATTATTCAATTTACAAACCTTTTGGTGTTTCAAATGGACCTTCCTTATCGATTTTGGTATACTGCAAAGTCCTCTCTACACTGGTTAGTTGATTGATGAAGTCTGCTAATTGTCTCATTCCATATTGTAACATTCCGATCAGAACTGAGCATTGGGAAACCGCTAGACCTACCAGGCTGCCGTCTACATTAGTAACTGTAAAAAAATATTTATTTTAAGACTGAATTTAAAACTTAAATTATTTTTTATTTTCACCGAAAAAATAAACCAATAAATACCATTTTGCTGTATAGAAATTGGTTATAAATAAATTTACAACTTAAGTATTTTCGCGAGTATTATTAAGATCATAAAAAGTTCTCCGTATTCCTATATATATTTATGATCAGTCCGTTTCTATTAGTTCCTTAAAATTCCACTATCACTGTTTTTTAGAACATATAATTTTTGTGCGGACCATAAGGTATACCAAATGAATTATTAAAACATAGCCCACTAGTATTACGGGAATTACTGGCGTATGTCTTTACCTTATTCTATAATGGACACGACTTACCACCGGAGTGGACAAAAGCACATATTAACAACAGCTATAAAAAAGGAGATAGAAAGAATTGTTCAAACTACAGGGGGCTAGGTGTCATAAATTCACTCTCAAGACTGTATGGAAAAATAATAAAAAATAAAATTGAAAAAGAGATGATAGATGTAAAATAGAATGGCTTTCGTACAGACAGATCCTGTATGGACAGTATATTCTCTCTAAAGCAAGTTATCAAGAAAAGATTAGCCCACAACCTTTCAACTCATATAGTCTTTATAGATCTGACACAGGCATGCGACAGTGTACCACTTTCAATGCTTTAGGTAACAATGGAAAAACAAGGAATAAGCAAAAAAATATAAAAGCAGTACAACAGCTCTACAAAAATATGATGGCAAACATTAAAACTGGAAATAGATTAACTAGATAAATTCCTATTAGTAAGGGCCTAAAGCAAGGCTGCTGCATAGCACCTACACTCTTTAAAATATATCTAAATGAGGCACTCTCACTGTGGAGAAGAATATGCTGCAATATGGGCATGCCAATCGGAGATGATAGATTGTACACGATACACTTCGCTGACGACCAAGCCATTCTAGCTGAAGACGAGAATGATATAGGCTACATGCTTAGAAAACTGGAAGATAAGTATACCAAATGGGGCCTCACAATTTATATACATAAAACTGAGTACTTAGTTGTAGGAGAAGCTTTCAAATCGAAATGGGAACTATAAAACCAACAGACAATTATGAATACTAGGGAGTCCAAATAACATCAACAGCAGGAAGTAGCGAAGAAATACGTTCCAGGATTGGCCAAGCAAGATCAGCCACCAGACTGTTATTCTTCTTCTTTTGGCATCATAACCCTGGATGGGTCTTTGCCTGTCTGGCTATGTCCTTCAATTCAGATCTCTCTTGTGCCCTTCTTCTCCATTGTCTTATGTTCATTGTTTTCAGGTTCCATCCCGTTCTGGGCCTTCCTTTTTTTCGCCTTCCTATGGGCTTCCATTGTAACATTTTCTTTTACGTACCTTAACGGTACCTATTTTGGTATTTCCAGCTCTTCTTCGATTATGGAGTTTTGGATCTTCTGCCTTTTTGTTTTGCAGGTCTGCCTCATGCTGCAGAGACATACTCTAATGTAGGCAGAATATGGCTGTGTGCAACTCTGATCTTTGTTTTGAACCTCAGCTTATTTTTTCGGCCAATTAACGAAGACAGCCTCCTCCTTAATGCCTTGGCTTTGTAGACCGTTTGGTATACATGTTCTGTAAACGTCAGGTTTTTGTCAAGCGTTATGCCTAGGTATTTAATTTTGCTGGTCCATTCTATTGAAGTGTTGAGTAACGTTAGATCTCCATTTGGTCTGCCTCTTCTGTGCTGGTTTATAACGGTCTGTGTTTTTTCCGGGTTTATTGCTACTTTCCATCTTATGAACCAGGCATGTAAGCGATTTAAAACTCTTTGTAGCTGACTTGTATCTAGGTCTGGATCTGTATAACCTGTTGCTATTGCAGTGCGGTCCGCGTATAAACTCAATAACGATCTGGGAGTAGTTGGAGTGTCGCCTGTGTAGATAATGTGAAGATAAAGCAACAGCACCGCTACCTGCAGCAATCCAGTCTCCAGCCTCGAAAGGCAGCAGCTGTATACATGGATCCGTCTGAATCCTATTAATATTTTCATTACCTACATGCCTAAGGATTTATCTAAACTGACTAAATACAGTGTATTATAATGGAAACTCTAAAACTAGATCGGAACATGAATCATTTGATTGTATGTACTGCCATATATGTGGCTCGTACATGTTCGCTAAACTCAAATTGCAGTACGGCATATATTAGGCCCGTACAAGACCCGTTTCAATTACATAAAGTATTATTCAAAAAATATTTTTAAATATATTGGTATAATTATTGTTCTTAAATCTATAAAAAAAGAAAGTTAAAAAAATGTCAGACACGGGATACGGCCCCATATGCGTGGTATCTCAAAGTATTAAATTTTTAAAAATTAAGCTTTTTAACTAAATTGTTTGTGATTGAATTTGATGTTATTGGAACATCAATAATAAGTAACTAACTAATTCATACTTACATTTACTTAAAATGATAAAGCAGACAATTACACACGTCAAGAATATTATGGACACCATATCAAGCCATAATCCAAACGAGCTCATACATCCTATTGTCAGGTACCATGCGGATGTATGCGCATCCTAGAAATTATTAAAATTTATATTATACACAATATTACAGGTACAAAAAATTATTTCAAATTATACTTACTTGGTTTTCATCGAATTCATCTTTTAAGATATTTTGTGTGTTGGAAGCTCTTATTGTTGTTATTCCATTAAGAGTTGAATTTACATAAGAAAACACTGGCGATTTTGCTAAAATCGTAAAAGCGCTTAATAGAAATTGCACAAATATACTGAAAACAGAATGACTTAAGTTATAGAACCCAAAAATCTCCATTCTGTTGTTTTGTTTATCACTTTCTTGTAATTTGTCCAGCCCATCTTTATGTAATTGCAATTGTTGTTATGCATATAACTTTAATTTTAGTTGTTACTGTATTCTATGATATTGATTTTTTATCTTTATTCATTTTTCAGGCGGAGTATACTTAAAACCACATTCATGTGGGAAGTATATAACTATAGTTTTTTTGCAGAAATCGCTTCCAAGTACTATCAGCAGAAATCATAATTTCACTGTGATTAGATTTTAATGTGAAGTCTCAAGGGTGAACTAAACTTTTTATTAAACAATATATGTATAAAAAAAATGCAAAAGATTCAGTGTTCTTCCTTGGTTTTCTCATATATCTCAACCACTGTCAGTTTTAGAACAGTTTTCAAAAGAAATAAAAGTTTTATAATTAAATTTACATAAATATATGATAAAAAATATTATTATTAATAAAAAAAATATTAAAAATATAAAAAAAAATATGTAAAAAGGGGTTTTATGTGATTATTATATTTAATTATATATTATATTTATATTATACAAACCCTTAATACTTCGCGAAAGAAATCTTTAAATAGTTGAAAATTTTATGATATAACATAGAAGTGCATTCAAACTTTCAAATTCATTTTAAAAATTAAAATTTCTTTAATTTTGACCGCATTAGAATATCTTTTAATTTTTTATGCATTGTAACTTACTACAAAGGAACAACTAAATTTTTTCTTATAGATTTTAAATTTTCTTGTAAGTATACATAACAGAAACATAATATATAACAGAAACAAGTAGAACCTATGGACTGGATATAAACACCAGCAAAACCAAGCTAATGATCATCAGCAAGCAAAACATAACTGGAGCAAATCTCTATGTGAAACAAATGAGAATTGAACGTGTCTCACAATACAATTACTTGGGAACTATAATCAATGAGTCGTGGGACAATACCCAAGAGATTAAATGTCGCATTGGAAAGGCCAAAAGTGCATTCTTGGCTATAAGCTCTGTGTTCAAAAGCCGATGACCTCACCCTGAAAACAAAAATAAGGCTCCTTAAATGTTACGTGTACTCAGTGCTTTTGTATGGAGTAGAAACATGGACATTGAAGGCGGAAACTCTATCAAAACTTCAGGCGTTTGAATTATGGTTATACAGAAGAATCCTGAAGATACCATGGACAGACAAAGTCACCAATGAAGAAGTACTGCGGAGGATGAACACAACCGCGGATTTGGTCAACATTGTGAAGAGCCGTAAGCTGGAGAACTTGGGACATATTATAAGAAATCAAGGCAGATACGAGCTACTCCAATGCATTTTGCAGGGTAAAATTGAAGGAAAAAGAGCCCCGGGACGAAGAAGAATATCCTGGCTTGCTAACCTGAGAGCATGGTATAGAAAGACCTCAACACAGCTATTTCGTATAGCAACCAACAAAATCATCATAGCCAGAATGATCGCCAACGTTCGGAACGGACAGCACCCTAAGAAGAAGTAAATATAACATATTATTAAATATTATTGTTATAATTTTAAACAATTTTAAAAATTTTATCGATCATGACTTTAGAACTAGCAAACCAATTACTTTTTTTTTCTAAATAAGTGTATTTTTTAAAGTAGTTTCAATATGCACTTAAAAATGGTTAAATGTTTGGAAATGTATTTAGTACTTACTTATATATTTTATTTTTATTATTTTTAATATTTTTTAACATAAATCCACAATGGGAAGTATTTTTAAAGTGTGTAAAATAATTTAATTTTTAGCTGTACGCCTTTGGCTTCGGCTGATGTCAAAAACTAATTTTAATGTAACAATGATTTACTTACGTCAAATAGGACATAAAATTTGACGTATTTAAGTGAATTATTGTTAAATTAAAATTAGATATTTACATCAATGCTCTTATGTAGCAGTAGTTTTCCAAAAATTACTGATCATTCTGTTATTTCAGTGAATATCTCAAATAATAATAGTTATAATATATCTGATGGTAATATATCCAAGTTTAGAAATTTATGTAATCAAAACTTAGATAAAATCAAAACTAATCTTATCATGTGTCACTTTAATTTTGATTCTGTTGATGTTAATATCATTTACCACGAAATTTTACAAAATTGTGAAATTGTAATCAATGACATAATACCAACTGTAAAATGCCAGTTTCAATCAAAATTACCTTGGTTTGATTATGAGGTGTTTAAACAAATTAAACAACGTGACAGGGCTTATAAAGATTTTAAAAAATGTATTGATGTCATTGAAAAACAACATAAATGGCAGGTTTTTAAGAGACATAGAAATGAGGTAGTAAATATGTTAAAGCTAAAAAAAGAGCAATTCTATTTTAACAATATAGACAGGTATAGAAACAATCCAAAAAAAATGTGGAAAACTTTAAAAAAATTAATCAATAATAATAGTCGAAAATGCCAAACACAGTAATCTTTGAAACTACTACTGGTCTAAAACGGTTAACAAATGAAGTAGAAATAGCTAACAGTTTTAATGAGTATTTTGTGGAAAGCATTGAAAGTATTGTTCAAAGTATTGATAGTTCTGAAACATGGTGTAATGTAAATAGTAATCTTTATTTAAATTTTGAAAAATTTAAAATGCTTTCTATGCAGGATTTGCGAAAAATTATTGGCAATTTGGATAATAAATTCTCACTACATGAAACGTTAAATTGCAGAATGGTAAAGGAAGTTTTTGAAACTATTGGGCACGTTATGTTAAATTTAATTAATACATCTCTTACTACGAGTAGAATTCCTGATGTATTAAAAATAAGTAACATCACCCCTATTCAAAAAATACCCAACACTATCAAAGCTGAAGAATTCCGACCAATCAATACTTTACCTCCTATAGAGAAAATATTAGAAATTGCTGTTTATGAACAATTATTAAAACATGTAACTAAAAATAAAATTTTAATTAATAATCAATCAGGTTTTCGAAAACAATTCTCTTGTGAATCAGCGTTACAAGTTACATTATGTCACATAAAGAGTAATTTAGATAAAAATATGTATGTAGTCGGTGTATTTCTTGATTTAAAGAGAGCTTTTGAAACCATTGACAGAACAATAATGATTTCTAAACTTAAACAATATGGTATAGGAGGTACAGTAATTGCGTGGTTAGAAAATTATTTACAAGATCGCAAACAGAAAGTTCGATTTAAAGACCAATTGTCATCTGAAATGGATAGTAATACAGGGATTCCTCAAGGTAGTGTATTAGGCCCCCTTTTATTTATTCTGTACATTAACGATATCGATATTTTTGTAAATTGTGAATTTATTAATCTTTTTGCCGATGATACTCTAATCTGTTGTAGTGATAAAAATTTTGATTTAGCTATTCAAAAAATGAACACCATTTTAGATATGGTTAATATATATTTAAAAATGAATAAACTTAAGTTGAATGTGAAAAAAAACAAAGGCAATGATTTTCACTACCAAACATAAATATAGCTTGCTTGATTCTGAAATCATAAATTTAAATATTAATAATAAAAAAATTGAAATTGTCACAACAGTTAAATATTTGGGATTCCAGCTTGACAATACTCTGAATTTTGAGAGTCACTTCGAGTACGTTCATAAAAAAATATCAAAAAAAACTTTACTTTCTGAGTAGAATATCTCAAAATTTATCAATGAAACAAAAATAACAGTATATAACACAATTATTCAACCTCATTTTGACTATTGCTCATCAATTTTATATTTATTTAATCTTAACAAACTTAACATGCTACAAAAATTACAGAACCGTGGAATGAGAATAATTCTTAAAACAAATCGCCGTACCCCAATTGGGTCGATGTTAAATACTCTAAATTGGTTCTCTGTTGAAAATAGACTGTTTTATTTCACCATGATTTTGGTCTTCAAAATAGTAAATGGCTTATCACCTGAATATTTTCAAGAATTCATTTCTTTCAACAAAAGTATTCATTCGTATAATACCCGAGGTTTAGATGACATATATGTACCTAGAACTATGTATAAAAGTACGATGAATTCGCTCTTTTTTAAAAGCTTCGTTAAATTTAATCAGTTACCAACATCTGTAAAAAAATGTACTAGTCTTAATAATTTCAAACTGTTACTTAAACAACATATCAAAAATTTATAGTGTACTTTATTTATATTGTATGTATATTAGGGTTCCTATTTAAATAAAGATCTATCTATCTATCTAGCTCTTATAGCTCTGAAGATGGCTTTGTAAGCCGAAAAGCATTCAAATCTTTTACACACTTCCCCTTTTCAACTTTTTTTAAGCCTTGATTTTATATATTACTTGCTGTAACATAGCGGCATTGTCTATTTATTAATTAAATGAAATGCTTCTTTAAATTGTTGTGTTTTGCTTTGATCTACATTGTGATCGTTCTTGCTACTATTGCTTGGGATCTATTAGGGATTAGCCGAACTACCTCTGAGATGAGCTAGTTAGGATATGGATCTCAATGATTGTTGTGGTGGTGAGGAGAAGATACTTTAGTTTAGGTTGACCTCCTTACGATCATAAGTCAATCGTGAATTTCACAATGGTACAACCAATGTAGTTAGAACCTTTTTTAATGGTACTGTGGTGATATTTAAAAAATGACTGCTAAATATATTTTTCGATAGTGAAAAGTTTTTAAATAACACAGTTCCAATAACTACGTGAAAAACAAAATAGCAAAAAAGTATGTTGGATATTTCCACAATATTGTTTATCAAAAAGTTAAGCACTCTTTTGAGAACTTATGCATAGTGAAATTATGATTTCTGGTGATACTCACTCCGATTTATGCAAAGCTACGTAAATATACTTCCCACTCAACTCAAAATGATATATCGCCTGATCTATTATGTTCCACTAAGTTACCACCTGATGATTTCGAATACAATGTTATATTGTATGCACAAGTTTATATTTCTGTTTAATATATTAGTACATAAATAGCACATTATTTTATTGTATTCTTACTCGTATCGGACGCAATAAAGAAGCCTTTTATATAACATACACAAATGGATTAAGAAGACATTAAAACAGTATTTTTTTAAAGTTTTGTGCAAGTTTTTACAGATACATATATCGCTGTTACTCGTAGATACTACGTAATAAAATATTTCACTTACTTATTCCTTCTATATGTTTAAGAACTTTGGCAGTTGCTATATACCAATCCTTAAACTTTATAAATATGAACGCCATAATAACCATTACTACAAGTATATAGTAATTTGAAACAGTGATGCTAACTAAAATTCCAGCCATTACCAAAAAAACCTATAAATTAAAACAAAAATCAATACAATCAGTAAATGTATTCTCTCGTAGTAAAATTCTTTTTAAAGTAAAGAAGCTTGGGTAAGGGGGAAATATTTTACTGAACAGTTAAATGACGTGTTGAGACTATGTCAACAAATGCTAAAAGATTTTTTTTACTTAAAACTTATGCTATCAACAAATCCTTACATACACTTCGTCTAAGGACTAACAACCTCAGTGGAGTCCTACGATCTTACTAACATTTAGAGAGTACTAACCACCCACTAACGTGGGAAATAAGAACAGAATCATTAAACAATACGTAATTTAATGATTAAATTTGTTACTACAACTAAGTTAAGATAATCCCCCGGAAACTTATATGCAGAACTTTGGAACATTCCTCCATCACTCTGACCCCAGCCAGTTAATAAAGAGAAATGATATCCTTTCTCTCTTACGAAGACTTTAACCAATCATTTATTTTAACACAATCTCGGGGTGTCACAAATAAAATAATCAAACGAAGCTTAATTCCGCAATGTCAATTCTGTCAAAAGTAATGATAGATCTTCCGTCCCTTATAAGCATTCATATCACATGAATTGTTTCGAGATAGAGAAAAAGGCTTTTTTTCGATAAGTTCTATACGTTAAATGGAGATCCGTGGACAGTACTACTCAATCAGATAAGATTATATATAGGATGTTTGTTGGTTTGGTCTCATACTGTAAGAATGGTATACGTTCTTTGAATATTCATGTTCTATTTCTAGTAATACCTAGCACGTTATTGTACGTTATATTGTTTTCAGCGTCACCTTGCCATACATCGTTTCGAGAAAAAGAGAGAGAAAGAGAGAGAGAGAGAGAGAGAGAGAGAGAAAACGATAGGCTGAACAAGTGATAGTGTCTTTTTACTATGACGGGTACTATATGGTTTGGGCATTGTTAAAGGATGTAGCTGACAGATGGCGATTTGTGGACAGAATATGTCCAATAGCAACAAAGATATTATATAGCGCCGTTTTTTCAATGTTGTCATGTTTGTTTGTTTCTCTGCTAGCCTCAGAGATTACTCTCCATTCCTTTAACGTCTATTATGCTAAAATCCAACCAATAGCAGCAAAGATTCGATATAGTGTCGTTTTGATAATGCTACAATCTTTGTTTTTTATGATAACATATTCGATATCTCCTCCTCTTTCCAACGAGTCCTCATTCGCAAAGATCGGACCAATAAAACGGAAATACGGTATGGTGCCGTTTTGGCAATGTCTTTCTTTTTTTTCTGTTAACGTATTCGATATCCCCTCCGCTTTCCAACGAGCCCTCATTGTCAAAGATCGGACCAATAAAAGGGAGATACGATATAATGCCGTTTTGGCAAAATCTTTGCGTTTGATTTTTGTTTTAACCCATTAATTACTACCTCCCCATTTCATCGATACTTTGCACGTTGTTGTACGTTGAGCCGTTTATACGTTACAAGCTTAGTGTCATTTTGGCTATACGCCACCATCTTTGTTTTTTATGTTAACGTATTTGTTACTCCCTCCAATTTTCGACGATACTTCACACGTCACGATCCGATAAGCCGTCACGCCTTCACTAAAAAAAGCGTCAAAAATTAACAGAATGGACTTTAGAATTTCTTATGGAGATTTACATGGAAAAATGACCTGTTTTGTGCTTGTAGCCCAGCTGCCCTTTTACTTTCTCGTGCTCAGTTTGTTTCTCGTTAATGTTTTTGGATTTAGTCATTCAGATTTTCGTATTTTAACACTATGTCGAATTTCTTAATATTTGTTTTCTAAATTTATTTTAATCATATAGCTCTACAACGAAGACAATAATTTCATTGGCTAGATCCAAGGAGCTGGATGTATTCGATGACAATATGGAAGAATAATTGGAAGAACACAACCACTGACACAAACGACCACTGAGAAGTTAAAAAAACGATGGTCTGTGCAGTTTAAATATAATCTCAACGTAAACACAGTAAGACGCGTGGTCAGTGGGTGTGGCTGCGATATCATTGTTACCTTGAGTTTGTTATTGGTTAAAAAATAAATGGTCCCAGGCGTATAATTTTTTGCAATTGGAGACCTGCCCGGAAAAACGTTGCAAACGACAAAATGAAACTTTTTAGATAATCACAAAAAACGATTTTGATAATATTATTTACCAAATTTTGTGAATTTAAGTGTTGCTTATGTATATTACTAGTAAGGTAAAAACTTTGAATATAAATAACACAGAACAAAAGACTAATGAGCGCAAAAAACCAAAAAGAAATTTTTTGTAGAAGAAAAACGTTGCATGTGTACCTAGTGTTAACGCACATGCAACGTTTTTCCGTTGATTGTGCTTATAAACGATATTCCTTGCAACATTTTTAACATAGAAAAATACGAGCATTATTAAAATGTCCCAAAATTACAGTAAATGAAAATACGAAAAACTGAAAAGTAAAAAAAATTTATTCTCAATAAAACTTACATACTAGATAAACAAAATCATATTAAGTTGCATGTGCAGGTAATTCACAATAAAATGATCTATACTGTTCTGCTAAACATTCAGTCATTTTCAGCAAGTCTGCTTTTTTCTTATCAGATATAGTTAAAGGTTCTCTGTACAGTGGAGGCAAGGTTTCTGGTTCAATTAGATTGTAAACTGTATTTCGGACTGCAGCTCGTCCTCTTGGTATCTTTAGTAAAGGTGATGTCCGCCATGGTTGCAGGATATTGTGCGTTTGTCTTATCCGCAGAACAGTCGGTTCGTTTGCTGTGACCTGTATCCAACGTGCTTCTGTTATTTTAATACTATCTTTCTTAATTTGACTCTCAACTGAGGTCAAGTCAACAAAGTCCTCCTGTTTCATTTCAACTACTTGAAAAGGTTTTCTTGATCTTGCTGATTTGATTAGCTCAAGTACATCTTGAGTGAAATATAGCTGACTACTTTTTTTCATCTTTTCGATGAGTGCAAAAATCCCTATCACAGGGTAAAAAGCTGTGCCCGGATACCAAAAATTTTTGATTTACTTCAGTAAAGAACTTTGCTGACATTAGATAGTGACACAATGATATCATCTTCCAATTATTATTTTGGCCGACACATCGGTCAGACCATAGTATAAGTTTTCGTTCTGCTCCAACCTCTAGTCTCTTAAAATTCTCAAGAATATACCTTAAAATACAAGAAGAAATTTCAGCACTGCCCCTCTTGGCTACAGTTTCATGCCAACAACACATAGTAGCTTCAGAGGTTCCCATATTGTGGATAGCAAAATTGTAATTTGCGTACTGACGCTGGTAATAAACATCGGAATGTGATAAGTTAGGTATAAAAATGACTTGTTGCAAATCCACACATAAAACTATCACATTTGAATTTACCTTAGCTGCTTCTTCATCAGCTTTCAAAGATGAATATGCACTTTCTGCTTTTCGGTGATGTAGCTCGGATTCAGTTTGAAGCTTCTTTCGTTCTTCTTCGTTCTCTGCAGCACTCAGTTTTATAAAATTTTTATCACACACTTTGCAAGTATCGGAGCGAGGAACTCCAAAACGTAAATTAAAATCTTCTTTGAATATTTCTCTGTAAGTATGGAATTTTACTTCAATTTCTGGATGCAATATTTTAAACAGCTCAAACATTTTGTTAGTGTTTAGGTCAGGATTAAGGCATTGTTTTTTGTTGGAGTTTCGAGAATAGTGGCTTTCTTGAGATGGAAAAGACGAAATATGTTGTCTGATTAGGTCTTTTACAGACTCTTTGGTTTTTGTTGGACGATTTACATGTTTTCCACGACAGTCAAGCAATAATGTTTTATTTGACTTGATTTTTTCAATTAAAATTTGAACTCTGCGTTTTGTTATAGAATAAGTTTCACAAAACATTTTTTGGCATACCTGTTGTCTTTTTCCAGTAATCAACAAAAAATATTTTACAGTACACTGACGTTTTGATGTGGCTTCATCTACCCTTCTTCTCTTTGGCTCCTCTACTTCCATACATAACCCCAAATGTTGTGACTGTTCATTGTATGTTTTTTTATAGAAATCATTAAATAAGTTCTGTCTCATTTCAAGGGTAATTAACTTACATCCGTTGAACGAACATGCACAAGATCTAGCCTAAAACAAAAATATGAATGTACAGATTGTTAACACATGTAACGTTTTTCCACTTACCACATTAGGAGGCAATTTTTCTGGAACAGGAACATTTTTATAATTTTTGTAAGATTGTCCACTGTTTTTTAAGCGCTTACGCTTTTCTTTCACCCAGTTTTCAAAATTTATTTGTCGTTTTTTACCTTTATTTAGATGATTTAAGACACGCGATGTAGACGATAACTCTCCACACTCCGCCATGTTTAATGCACAAGTAACGTTTTTCCTCTCGCGTCGTGTTTTGAAGTTCTGTAAGGAGGGTATTGAATTGAAATTAATGCTAATAGATGGTGTCACTAGTTCGCTTAACGCATAAAGAACGTTTTTCCACCAAAACATCACTTTATTAAAATTTGTCGCTTACAACGTTTTTCCGGGCAGGTCTTCAATTGATCGAACCGACTTGTTTTGTACTGTTCATTTTATTTTCTTATTGATAATGTTGATTTAAACTAACTGTGTAGATAATATTATTGTAAGTGTTCATTAAGACTTAAAACTCAGTTATTGTACCAGTGTGTTTTTTCTGTTTTTGTTGTTTTTGTCTAATTTTTGGCCAGTTTCGTAATCATTTTAAGCTGATTTAAAATTAGCAATTTCTTTACACATTTTGATAAAATGTTATTAGGTTCTTAACTGGATAGTTATGCCTCAGAATATATATTAGACAAATAGCATTTAAGCAGCAATAATTGAAGAAAGTAAAGCCCTGGTTTGGTACCACCTCCAGGCTTTAAATAAAATATAAACGCTTAGACTTAGAGCTACTCTGTACAAAGGATCTCCAAATTATAATCACGTGCTAAAGCGGACTTATATTTTGACGAAGCTTATCTTAAAAACGAACACAGTATAGAAAATTATGAGCATCAGTTTAGAATATATAATATTGTAAAACAAAGATATAGAGGTTTCTGTTTTATTATTTCAAAAATTCCTAGTTTAATGGAGATCCATGAAAACTTTTCCAAAATAATACAAGCTTAATAAAGGAGGTACTTCTAAGGCGAATACAGATATAAAATTTTCCTATAACCCACCAATAAGATGTTTTTCTTATAATCACTGTGCATTTAAAAAATATAAGATATAAATTAACTTACTTGAATGCTGTCTAAACCAAACTCTTGGCAACACTTCATCTATGGCACCCATATCTTTAGAAAATCGGTTAAGAATCCTTCCACTGGGATTTGTATCAAAAAATCTCATCGGCGCTTTAAGTAACGTGTGAAATATGCTGCTGTGCAGATGGGTAGATGACATCATGCAAGCTTTATAGAAAAGAAAAGATCTAGCTATCGTTAAAATAATAGCTAATGCCATTAGAGCACTGTAAATATATATAGCGTAGTCTGTTTTAATAATTTCTTGTACTTGACCATCGAGTTGGATTTTGTCAAATAAGTCGTCAAAACTTATCTGCTTCAAGATCAGTGACCCATTATTATTCTCAGTATTGTAAACATATCGATGAGTTGCATTGATTTTGCTTGTTTGGTTTAATGGATATAATTCTACTTCATTAGTACCCACCGATTGCAACAAAATGGATGTGTTGTTTGAATGACGTGTTTGCTCTTGAGAGGTCCTAAAAATATACAAATTTTAAATCCGGAAACTCATTGTCGAAACCAAATTCAGATTTCTGCTTTAATCTTTGGTTTTTGATTTGATTTTGATTTTTGGTTTGAATTTGGTTTCGACAATTAGTTTCCGGATTTATGATCAGATGTCCCTATTGCGTCCATATCGAAGCCATTTTAGTTTTGCTTCTACATATCTTCATAGTTTATTTTTATGAACGAGAGAGTAATTAGCATAATTTTAACTGGTACTTCCGACCACTCCATGGGCGTGCTCAAGATTAATTGAAAAATTACTTTGAATAATTGTAAAAAATAAATGAATTATTTCAGTGTTATAAAATGTGTATGTAAACAAAAGTGACCTCTTTTATCACACACTATATTAGAACTGACTGGCCTACATAAAAAAAGTTTTAAAAAATTCACATTTTTTTTTAATTTTTAAAAATTACAAAAGAGAAAAAGAGCTTTTAAAACCGTCTAAGGTATGTTAAATAGATGAATAAAAATATTAATATAAAACTTACAGCTACTTGTTTACAAATCCAAATCAGATTCAGAAGATGAACTTTCAGAACCAAGATTTATAATAACAGGCTCGATCATTTTTATCAGTAATATTGTCCAGCTTCCACATTTTTTCCTCTTCTTTAATAATGTGATTTACTGCCTTTTCCCAGTTTTAGGTTTTACATTATTTACGGCCTCCAAAAACAACTGTTTAACATCATGAATTTTAAAAGTGGTATTTTTTCTTGAAACTTCACTCTTTATCTGTGCCCATACCAGTTCAATCGGGTTTAATTCACAATGATATGGTGGGGATCTAAGTACTGTCATTCCACGATTTTTGGCAATTTTCATCAATTTCGTATTTTTTAAATTTTTCTTTATGAAGGGCACACAACGAATAAAGTTCCTTTCTTATAGATCCGGGATGGTATGTAATATTTTTTGAACTTAGCCAATTCTGCAAGTCTTTTTTTAACCACTTGGTTGTGGCAGTCCTTCTATAAGTCTGGAGTGATAACTTGCATTATCCATTACTATTACACAGTTCTTAGGAAGAAGATCTATCATTTGTTCGAACCATTCTTGAAAGACATCAGCGTTCATGTATTCATGGTAGTCACCGGTACGAGTTGATTCAAAAGTTAATAAACCACCTTCAACAAAACCGTCTGAACTGCCAATGTGTACTATTATCAGCCTGCGTCCCTTTCCTGATGGTGGATAAGTTATTTACAAAAGCGTGCCTTTGACTTGTAACAGTTTCATCCTGCCAAAATTTATTTCGTGTATGACCCTCGTTGATCCATGTTTCATCAAGATAAAATATTTTTCTTTTTTGGTTTCTCATTTCCTTTATGGTTCTTAGAAAATGTCTTCTTCATATGACATATATCGCTTCTTTCTAATAAAATAGACTTTCTGGATTCTTTTTCCAGCGGAAGCCTATTTCTTTTAAAAGTTTCCATAACGTACTTCGACTCATTTCTGGGTAATCCTTATCATCTCGAACTGAGACAAGAACTTTATCCAATGTTGGAAATTCTTGTCTAAAGAAGAATTCATGCACTTTCTGTCGAAGTCCTTCTTTAAAATGATATTCTATTTGAAATTTTGGTTTCCCTGGAGCATTTACGTGGCATTTGAAAACTACCACATTTCTCTTCTTTAATAATTCTGTAAATCGTAGATTTCCCAACACCAAGTGTACTGCTAACTAACTCAACGGTCTCATCAACACTTTCACATAAACGTTTGTCTGTAAATGATTTAAAACAATTAAATATTAATGTTTTTTCATTAACTGTTAAAGGACCAATTTTTCGGCGTTTACACGGCACTTCCGAAATTTTCCATAACACTAGTATACACAATAAAACTGCACCTTGCAACTGAAGTACCTACTTTTAGTGAACTGTTAAGAATTTTTGAATACGCCACTTGGACCTTTCTACAAAATGGAAAAACCCACTATCACATTTTTCTGTGGAATAAGTTTAGAAGGTAATTATCTAGTCAATTACTGTCGTAGATTCCTGGAATTAAAGAATTAAATGTTTGATTGTTGAAACCCTTACTTAGTGGAATGCACTCATTTCAGATAAAATAAAACGTTTTATTTTATCTAAAGAATTAAACTTTATTTTGCAAATAGGTAGGTACTTATTAAACTTTTATTGGTTATATATAACCAATAAAATAAACATCTTACATTTCTTGCAAATTCATTAGTATTTATTATTATTATTTAGGGATTAGTAACCCTCACAAACTATTGTTATTCTATTCTGCTCCAACCTTTATACCTGGTGGTCATACTCAATTTAAAATTGTTTTCCTATATACTTCTGTAAACTTGTTGACAAATATCTGTTTTTCATTGAGTCACCCGTAATCAACAGTTTAGGGATTTGCATACATAATTTATTGATTTAATACTCTCTCATACATAAAATATACACTATAAGACAGGAAATATTGTTTTCACGTTCAGAACGTTTATAAATAGCCGCTCCGTCGATTCCTTTTAGGATGAAATATGTATAAGCGGATATACAGAAGACACAGATTAAAGCAGAAATCTGAATGTGGTTTCGACAATTAGTTTAATTAATTTAACAGCTTATTAGAAGCTCCATCATGCATTTTTATCTCTTAGAAATAATGCATTTTTCAAAGTCAGTGTCGATCATTACTTGGCGAATTTAAGGACCAACAAAAATTCCAGCTTTTTAGTTCTCAGAAGTTATCTTAACTAACAAACTTCTTACCCAAATACTGGAAACACGTTATATCCTGATTCAACGCTTTTTCAAATTGTTGTATTAAACCTCACTAGTAAATTCACTATATAAAGAGTTTAAAATTATTTCTTTTAACAAAATTTTCACCCTTAAATTTTTTTAAACCAGAAAGAGAATTTTTTTAAACGGCGGTCGTTTTAAATAGCTTAGAAATCTCCTTGTGTATTGTTGCCCAGGACATCTCTGTAAGTATTTTTTTGATTCCTTTTTTTGCAGTTAGTTTCTCTAGTCCCTCAATTAAAGAAACCTTTATTCACGACCTAGCTCTCCAACCAAAACACGAGTAGCCGTTTGCAAACGTTTCAATTTATTTGCTTACCCTATCTTCAGCCCAGTATCTGTTTAGTTTCTCCTTTCAACCCCCTATAAGCAATTATATATTGTTACAAGTGACACCCATCCAGTTGTTTTGCTCGTGTTAATATTCTCCAAGAAATGTTTTAGATTGGCGAATGTTTGTTTGCAAATGAACGGAGTGAACTATTGGAATTGAAGCAAATTTGTTTCCATTATGTTAAATCGCAAATTTCAATCTAGCTACTGATGTATCTATAAAGTCTCATTCAGTAGGTTTATAGTCACTTATAAAATATTTCATCACTGATTTCATGTCATTAGAGAGAATCATTGTATCTCTTTCTTAACAGTAAGGAACAATTTTTTGTTCACGATGAAGATACCAAAAAAATGACCCTCCATGCAAGGAGATTTTTTGATTTCAATCTGGATCTAACAACTTTTGCAGCATGCTTTGGAGTCCTTAAATCCCTAACTAAATCACTTTATTATTATTGAGAGAAAACTTAAGGTAAGCTATCTTTATCAGGTTCATATGCCTCATCATATACTTTAGTCTTATTGTCACAACTTGCACAGTCATCTTCTTTAAGTTCCATCTTCTGTCGAAGGTTGGAAATCATCATGGCTATGCGGACTCTGTTGACTGCCGCTCTAAAAAGTTCTGCACTACTGCATTCAAACCATTCCCTTAAGTTCTTAAGCCAGGATATTCTTCGTCTTCCCACATTTCGCTTTCCTCGGATTTTGCCCTGCATAATAAGTTGTAATAATGCGTATTTTTGCCCTCTCATCACATGTCCCAAGTACTCAAGTTTTCGTCTTTTAATAGTTAATATTATTTCCGCCTCATTTCCTATCCTTCTAGTTACTTCCATGTTTGACATTCTTTGAATCCATGATATTCGTAGGATTCTTCTGTAACACCAAAATTCAAAGGCGGCCAGCTTATTCAGATGAACTTGTTTTAGTGTCCAAGCTTCCAGACCATAAAGAAGAGTAGAGAACACGTAACATCGAAGCATTCTCAGGCGTAGTTCTAACCTTATATCCCGACAACAAAGAAACTTTTTAAGTTTAATAAATGATGTACGTGCTATTTCAATACGTGTCTTAATTTCTTTGGTTTGGTCTACATCTGATGTTATCCATGTTCCTAAATATTTATAGTTATTAACCTTCTCAATTGCAGTATCTTCAATAGTCAATTGGATATTTGCATGTGCAGATTTAGTCATGATCATGCATTTAGTTTTCTTTAAATTTATCTTCAGTCCGTACTCATGACAGCGTTCATTAAGGCGTTGCATTAGGTTCTGTAAATCATTGTTGTTATCCGTAATTATTACTGTATCGTCTGCAAAACGTAAGTTATTCAAAACTTCTCCATTGATAGATATACCTTCTATTGAGTCTGAGAGCGCTTCTTGAAATACCGCTTCACTGTAGACATTGAAAAGTAGTGGGGACAGCACGCAACCCTGGCGGACTCCTCTCTGTATTTTGATATTTTCGGTGTACTGGCTGTCAACTCTTACCTTGGCAGTTTGATTCCAATATAAATTAGATATAATTTTCAGATCACGACTGTCAATATTTTTGCTTTTTAATATATCTACAAGCTTTTTTTGTTGAACTTTATCAAATGCCTTTTCAAAGTCTACAAAACATAAGTACATATCCTGATTCATGTCCATGCATCTCTGAGCCAGCACATTCAAGCCGAACAAAGCATCTCTTGTACTCATACCATTTCTAAAGCCAAATTGTGTGTCACTAATCTCATATTCAAGAGTTTTAACAATTCTGCTGTGAATTATTTTCAAAAATGTTTTAAGTGTGTGACTCATTAAAGCTATTGTTCTGTGGTCTGAGCAAGTTGTTGAACTTGGTTTTTTGGGAATTGCTACAAAGGTTGATTGCAGCCATTGTCTGGGGATTGTGGCAGTCTGATATATTAGATTAAAGAGTTTCAACCATTACATCAATAACATCTTCATCGATGAGTTTTAATAATTCGATGGGCACCTCATCTGGTCCAGTAGCTTTACCCTCTTTTGTGTTTTTGATGGCATAGATGACTTCTTCTCTTAATATTGGTGGTCCAGTATCCTCGGTGATTTCTAATGACAGTTCTTCTCTTTCATCATTAAATAGTTGTTGAATGTAATTGGTCCAGTGACATAATCTCTCCTTCATATCAGTAATAATATCCCCTTTATCATTTTTAAGGATATTCGTTTTTGTACGCTTTCTAGAACCTGTCATTTCTTTGATTTTTTTGTGTAAATTAAAGCTATCGTACTTTTTATCCAGATCTTCTATTTCCTTGCATCTATCGGAGAGCCACCTCTCTTTTGCCTCTCGAATTTTCTTTCTGATGTTTCTCTGAATTTCTTTGTATTTATTCAGGTCTTTTGCTTTATGTTTTCTTCGTTCTTCCATGAGTTCAAGAATTTCTACTGTCATCCAAGGTTTTGTTTTTTCTTTAAGTGGTTTGAGGGTTTCTTTTCCAACTGACACAAGGGCATGTTGAATTTTTCCCCATTTTTGGTCAATAGTTAGAGTTTCTGCATTATCTTCTTTGACTTTCCTTAAGCTCTCGTTTATTTTAAATTTGGTTTCCACATATGTGTTGTCTTGTTTGAGACGTCTTGTATCTATGATTTTCTTGGTGCTAGGGCTGTTGACCTTCTTTAGTTTCACTCTCATCGACAAAACAACCGGGTTGTGGTCGGAGGATATGTCCGCTCCTGGATAAGTTTTAGATGATATTATAGAATTTCTATATCTTCTGTTGACGATAATATAATCTATTTGATTTCTGACTATTTTGTTGTTATTGTCAGCTGGTGACCTCCATGTATATAGTCTACGTTTAGGAAGTTTGAACAAGGTATTTGTAATTATGAGTTCCTCATTGACACAGAAATCGACAAGCCTATCGCCACGTTCATTCCTTTCCCCGAGTCCATATCGCCCCACGCAATTCTCCACTTCTCCTTGGCCAACTTTAGCGTTCAAATCGCCCATTATAATATTTATATCTTGTCTTTTAGTTAGTCTTAAGACATTGTCGGATTTGTTCATAGAAGGCCTCTATGGTGTCTTCATCCTTGTCTGCAGTGGGTGCATATACTTGGATTATATTTATTTTACGTTTTAAATGAGAGTTTAGAGACAGCATTAATACACGATCAGAGTAGGGAACAAAGTTACAGACAGCTTTATGAGAATTATTATCAACTTCACAGTCATAGTCGTCAACATCTCTTAGAACAGTAGAAAGGACAGGAACATGTATAGGGCCGCTATGAGCTACTGGTCTAATAGCAGAAGACAGGTAAGGATAAACAATAGATTTCTTGTTCTTAACTGAGTAGCCACATATATTAATTACACAAAAGTACCAATCATCTACATGAGTTGATGGTTCTCTTCAGACTATCGGTATTCCAAACGACATAGCTTTCCCTTTACCTGTTAACCATAGTCACAATGCCTCTACATAAGTTCAACAAACTGTAATGAGGAGCACATGCCTTATCTCGATCGTCAAGTTTTACACCAAAATAAGAAAATTACACATTTTTTACAAATTTGGTAATATGTTGTCCCTGTTTTATGACCACAAAACACCTATAAATATAGCAAAACACATTAGGGTTCTTTACACACGAGTTTCGAGATTGATTTATTTTAGAACTAGAATTTTTAGAATTTTTAGATAAAAACATATTTATCTGACGCGCTTTTTGTACCTTCAATATAATTACTTTTACACTCATTAATGATAAAACTTTCTGATCATATTTCTAAATGTAATGCCCATTTATGCAATCTGTGTAACAAAAAAACTGTACGTCATAGGACAAAAATCTGAAAAAAATTGAGTCAGACCCACATAATTCTCCAGAAGAACATTTTTGTACTCAGGACATCAAAATCTTTGCAGAACTGTGTAATCAACTAACCACAACATGAAAAAAATACTTAGTACTTACCAGAAAGTTACCCATAGATCAACCAAAACATTAAATCCTTGTGCAAGAACGAGCAGAATAGCTATAAAAGTTACAAAGCAAATACTTTTAGTAAAGGCAATGTATTGAACAAAGGTTGTGCCGATTTTAGCATTTCCTGATTCTTCTTCAATTACTTGGGGATCATCATACATACTTTCCGAAAAATCCTACAAATTAAAATTTACTTTTTTATATTTAGCGGTTTAAAAAATATTCATTTATAAAACACTTTAAATCAAAACTTTTTTTTTTAATGAAAAACCAACTATAAATTAAAACTATTAAAGTTTTTCTGACTTATTGATCAATAAGGTGCAGCCAGATTGAATATATAATTTTAACTAGTGAAAGGTGAAAGAATGAAAGGAGTATAAAATAACTTAAAGCTAAAAAGTTGACAAGCATGAGGATGGAGCAGAAAAATTCTGTTTTACAAATTTAAAATTCCTGTATCTAAAAATTTATATTTCGTGTAATTATAGAATGAAACCTAACTAACCCTGACTGTGTTCTGTTCATGACGGAAATTTTTGGTTATTACTTGCTTCTTTTAATTAAAAAGAGTCTTAAATATGAAAAGTTCCTTTTGTGGAATATGCCAGACTTGTTGGTTGAATATTCAGGTTATATTTAACTCTTAAAATGTAAGCTTGGAAATAATCTTTTACAAAAGCGGGGCAAAATACCTAGGAGTCATCATGGATATCGCAAAAAGCCAACATGGCTAAATGATCCATTAGAGGACTCAATAGCAGAAAAAGCAATTAATGATAAAAACCAAGATTAATAAGCAGTATCATTTTCCAATACTTAAATATGTAAAGAAGAAGATGATTTAAGCAGTTTACAACAGCTGCTTAAGAAAAGCTGTGAACATCCCAATATATGTAGCAGAACGCTTCATATACATGGAACTACATTAGGTTGTGGTGACTGAAATAATAAAGGATAGAGCTAGGATTAAATTCGCAGAACTGTAAAACCACCCTAGTCCCATACTAAGACAAATCAAGAGATTGACGCCACGTAGGAGGTCTAAACAACAATATGAAATTAATAAAGGAACCAAATCAAAGCTAAAGCAAACTAAAATAAAAAGTAGTCACAGAAAAACAAACAAATAAAACACCAGAGAAAAAAACAAAACCCCACAAGAGAAAAATAAACAAACCAACAGAGTTTAGTTCACAGCTTTAAAAATTTAATAAACACTGCAAATTGCCGCACTGTGTGGGTCATAAGGTGAATGGACCAAAAGAACACCAACAGGACCCTCACATAGACATCTTACCACAAAAAAATAATAACAAAAATATAAAAAATAACGTGAACAGAAAAAAATTAAATACTTAAACTTAAAACTTAAATTTAAAAAAATAAAAATCCAGCGAAAGCCAACCAAAAAAATAAATAAAAAACCAAAATCCTTGGCAAGAAGGGCCCAAACACTTAAGCATAAGTCTCTGAACTGGACGTAGTCCGGAGCGGAGACTTGGGGCTCAAGCAAGCAATTTTAGATTTGCCGACAAGTACTGCGAGTGAAAATAAGGTACGATGCTTTCGACAGATGGAAGCACAAAAGTTCCAAACAACAAATAGTAGACTAAAACGATAATACTAGTGAGAAAATCAACAATCACACCAGTGTGAAAACAAACACCTAAGAGAGAACACTTTAAAAAACAACAACAACGCACAATGAAGATAGTTCGTAGCTCAAAGCACTTGTGGACAGTCGCAAAATACAACGTGGTCCCGGTTGTCTTAAAGAGTACAAACTTTATATTGTTATATTGTCTCATATTTTTATATAATGTAGGTAGCCCTGATTTTTGTTTCAGGGCTACCTACAAAAAAAACTAAAAAACACACAAAAAATCAAAAAAATACTAACAAAAACCGGTGCAAGCCAACAAAAAAAAATTAACAAAAACCCCAAAAACCCGAACACGTAGGGCCCAACCCCTTGAGCACCAAGTAGCCGATCTAAGCCGAGCTTGGCTCAGAGCGGAGACTTGAGGCCCAAGTAAGCAATTAAGACATTAAGATAACAGAAATATAGCGACAATACGCTGTCCTGAGTTTTGAATTCGGTTAGGAAACCATGTTGGGGTTCTATTACCCAGGACCTCCAATGAATTTTTTAGGGGTGAAGATTTCTCACAGGCTGGGTTTAATTAAATTTCTTGCTTGATTGCTCGCCGACAAGTTACGAGAGGATAACAGGATCAAAGCGCGTCACGCTGTCCTAAATGTGAATCGGTTAGGGAACCATGTTGGGGTTCTATTACCCAGGACCTCCACATGAAGAGCATTTGGCTGATAGTTGTGCCCCTATCGCGCATGAGAGTGCTATAGAGGGAAAAGGGATGGTCTGGAGCATTGGAGCTCGGTGAAGTGACTCCTGTTTTTACTCCAATTCCAGTTCGCTCCAATGAATTGTTACACCCGAACGTAATTCTTAGGGGTGAACATATCTCACAGGCTGGGTTTAATTAAACTGCTTGCTTGCTTACTCTATCTATATATTTTATCTATTTTATTTCACCTATTATCTATGCATGTTGCATAGATTTCGTATATATTCGTATGTATTTCATAGATAATGTTTATTAGACTTCTGTCGAACTCTATCGAACTGACCCGAATTGTTGAGTTTTCAATAAAAAACGAAAGTGGAATCTTTATTTTTTAAATAGCAACATGGAAAATTGGTTTAGGCTAGTATAACTCTCAGTAACCATACTGTTAAAGTGATCTTCAATACATTTATATGTAGAAAAGACGTCACTACTGGATTACTTGGTAATAAATAAACCGAGGACTATAAAAAACAGTTTTCAGAATTCCTTTAAAATGATAAAGTTCTGTTCAATATGTCCCTAAAATACTTTCTGGGTTCACACTTGACTTCTCAAAAAATCTTGTAGGTGCGAACGACGAACATGTTTAGAAGAAACAAATGCCCGTAAACAAAATCCTTTAAATCAGAAGTCAGATGATACTGTAATAACAAACAACTATTGTAATTAAAGTGACAGAGAAAAAACTCAATTTCAGTAAATTTCAAGTAAAACTTAAGTATTTGTTGGAAGACCATTGCTATAAGAGTTATATTACTATGAATATTATATTGCCTTCACTATAAACACTTTTTTTTCTAATTGTTTGCCATAAGATTTAAATTTAGCTATACTATAACTAAAGATCATTAAAAAAACACATACAGAAACAAATTGACGTGAGAAGACTGAATGAACAACATATAAAAGAGAAAACAATAGTGAACATCAAAGAAAATTTACAAAATATAGAGAAACTGAATAGAAATACTGATAACATAGACCAAAAATGGGAGAGTATTAAACATGCCGTAATGTTGGCAGGGAGAGAAAATTTAACACCGAAAGAAAGGAAACATAAAGAATGGATGAATGAGGAAATACTACAGTTGATGCGTGAAAGAAGGGTACACAAAACAAATAATCCGATAAGATACAAAGAAACAGATAAACTGATAAAAAAGAAAATAAGAGAAGCTAGAGAAAGATGGCTAAGTGAGCAATGCCAGGAGTTGGAACAATTGGAGCGAAAATATGACTTTTTTAATGTACACAAAAAGATTAAAGAAATGACAGGAAGGAGAAGAACAACACAGACAGGACAGATCAAAGATACAGATGGTATAATTATAACAGATTTACAACAAAAAATGAACCGATGGACAGAATACATATCACAACTGTTTGATGACAAAGATAGACAAGAAATCTCAAACGAATATACAGATGATACAGGGCCTGATATAATCAGAGAAGAAATAGAATATGCAATCAAACAAGCAAAAAGTGGTAAGGCCCCCGGTCCTGATGAAATTCCCGTAGAACTGCTCAAACTTATGGACGATGAATCTATTAAAATACTCCTAGATCTATTTAACACAATATATAGAACTGGAATAATACCTAGGGAATGGCTCCGTTCGACCTTTATACTACTGCCAAAAAAAGGCAAATACAAAGGAATGCAACGAATATCGTACGATAGCTTTGATGAGTCATGCTCTAAAACTGTTCTTAAAAATAATCCATAATAGGATCTATAGGAAATTAGACGTAGACATCAGTAACACTCAGATGGGATTCAGAAAAGGGCTGGGTACAAGGGAGGCTCTGTTTGCAATGAACGTTCTCTCACAGAGATGCTTAGACATGAACCAAGAAATTTACGCCTGCTTTATTGATTTCGAAAAGGCCTTTGACAAAGTACAACATGAACCACTAAGACAAGTTCTAATAAAGAAAAATATAGACAGCCGAGATATTCGAATTATATGCAATCTATATTGGAATCAAACAGCAAATGTCAAGGTTGAGGGCAGACTAACAGAAGAAATTCAAATCCGTCGAGGAGTCCGGCAGGGATGTATCTTATCGCCACTTTTATTTAATCTGTATAGTGAAGCTATCTGTGAACAAGCACTCGAGGAAGAAGATCTTGGTCTGATAATAAATGGTGAGACGATCAACAATATAAGGTATGCTGACGATACAGTTCTCCTAACGGGAACGCTAGTAGAACTACAACATCTCGTTCAAAGTCTCAATATATACTGTAACAGTTACGGCTTGAAAATTAATTTGAAAAAAACTAAATTTATGGTAATCACGAAATCAAAGAACATCAGAGCTAATCTTGTAATAGACAATACAACGATTGAGCGTGTGCCCTGTTATAAATATCTAGGTGCTTGGATCACAGACGATACTGATCAAACAAAAGAGATTAGATGTAGAATAGAAATCGCTAGATCAGTCTTTAATAGAATGCGCAAACTCTTTTGCAATCGTGATATCAATATAAAGTTACGAATACGAATGCTGCGGTGTTATGTCTTTTCTACCCTGTTATATGGAGTTGAGGCTTGGACACTAAAACAGTTGACCATAAAAAACATCGAAGCTTTCGAGATGTGGTGCTATAGGCGCATTCTCAGAATATCATGGATGGACCGCGTCACTAACACGCAAGTACTCCAAACTTTAGACAAAAGATGCGAAATTCTAAATGAGATAAAAACTAGAAAGATGGAATACTTGGGGCACATTGTGAGAGGTGAAAAGTACGAACTTTTAAGAAACATCATGCAGGGCAAAATTAAGGGCAAAAGAAGTGTGGGAAGAAGAAAAATATCGTGGCTTCGTAATCTACGTGAATGGTTCGGGTGTAGTTCGATTGAACTTTTCAGGCGCGCTGCTAACAAAGTCGCAGTGGCCATGATGATTTCCAATCTCCGCTAGGAGTGGCCCGAGAAGAAGATACTATAACTATGTACTATTATTTATAACTAAAATTTAGATATCTCGAATATATTTAAAATCAAATGAAAGTTAACTTCTTTCGATTTTCTTTTCTATTATTTTTCAGTGATTAAAAATAAATATAGTAAATACAAAATTTGTATACATTTACGATAATATAATATGAATTAGAAATAAATTTAAAATACGTACACTCAAAGTCGATATTGCGGATGATTTTCTTCTATTACGCGCAGAAGCACGTCCACTTTTTATTAATTTACCCCCATCCGAGTCTGAGTCTTCTTCCTTGTCTTCTGTTTCATCAGCGGCAACTAATAACTTGGTGAAATCTAGATTATATTCCATTAGTTCATTAAAGGTACCCTGAGCTTCAATTTTACCCTATAATTATAAAATATTTTACTAAATACTAAATAATCTACTCAATATCTTATGAAAATCGTAAGTCATTTTGAAAAATTCTAAAGAAAACTACTCTTAGTTGTAAATAACTTGGTAAAATTGAGTTAATCCGTGCCGAGGCTTCAACTTATACACCAATATACAATATACACCAAGATGAAGAGCATGGAGAGGATATATACCTTGGGGTGGACCTACCGGTAGAGTACCCAAAAATAGACGAAACATTGCAAGCAATTAACAATTGAAGAACGCAAAAGCTCTAGGCTCTGACAATATACCAGCCGAATTTCTTAAGTACGGAGGAGAAACTTTACATAGACAATTACACATACTAATAACACTTATAATGGAACGAAGAGAAAAAACCAACAAAATAGCACGAAAGTGTAATAATTCCTATCCATAAAAAGGGAGACAAAACCAAGTGCTCTAACTATAGAGGCATTCTCCCTACTTAATACGGCGTACAAAATCTTATCGAACATCCTATTAAGTAGACTAACACCTTTTGTAGAAAATTTCATAGGGGAATACCAAGCCGGTTTCAGAAAAATAGATCGACCATAGATCAGATTTTTACTCTCAGCAGCTGCTTGAAAAAGGATGGGAATTCAATAGAACCATTCATAATCTCTTCACAGATTTCCGACAAGCATACGACAGCATTAAAAGGGATCAGATGTGGAATGCAATGGTAGAACTTTCAGTTCCAAAAAAACTTATCCAGCTCGTTAAAGATTGTGTAAATGGCTGTAGATCTAGAGTGCGGATAGGTAACAAGCTCTCAGAGTCGTTTGAAATAAACAGTGGACTGAAACAAGGAGAACGCGCTGTCACCTCTTCTTTTAATATAATCCTGGAAAAGGTAGTAAGAAACCGCACAAATTAGAACAGAACTACTGACAGTAAATAAACCAAAATTACTACTAGCATACGCGGATGACATTGACATTGTAGAAAATACCGTCACCAATGTAAAAGAAACCTTCAATAAATTAGAAGAGAGAGGCAAAAAATACCGGTCTAAGGGTCAATGAAGAGAAAACCAAATATATGTGCATTAACAGACAAAAGATACGAGATAGAATAGGACAAAATGTACCAATAGCCCCTATAACTTTGAAAGAGTGGAGAGTTTTAAATATCTTTTATAAATGAATCTGATATTCATCCTGATATAAAATATCAGGAGAATTCAGGCAGCAAACAGATGTATGTATAGCCTCCACAACACTATTAAATCCAAGAGCCTAACACGAACATCAAAAATCAGGATATATATAAAACAGTAATTAGACCGGTGCTCATGTATGGGTGTGAGACGTGGACGCTGACGTGGACGCAATGGAAAGTAAACTCAGACGCTTTGAGAGAAAAATCCTCAGAAAGTCTTCGGTCCCTATCACGATCCGAATACTAACCAATAGCAATGAGAACAAATGCGAGGTCAAACAAATGTATAGTGCTAGCGACGTAGTCCAAGAGATTAATCCCAACGTCTAAGATGGGCTGGCCATGTTCATAGGCTCCCTAATAACCGCCTTACAAGTTAATCTGGGAAGAAGTCCCGACAGGAAGAAGGCCTTAGGACGTCCATGAATGCGATGGGAGATAATATATGATCAGATTTGAGAACAATGGGGCTATCCCTGACTTAAACATCATGGACGACCGTTCGAGATGGAAGCAGTTGTGCAGTTAGCCAAGACCCACCCCGGGTTGTAGTGCTAAACAGAAGAATGAAGAGAAGATGCTTCAACTTGTATCAATCTGAAGAAATGAAGAAACTAGCATCAGAAATGAAAAACACTAAGAATGTGAACATTATGTTAAGCAAAATCAAAGATTCATTTTTAAAAACACAGAAAGAAACTCTACAAAAGAAAACAGAAAGCCGACAAACCTTGGGTCACCTAAGAAATACTGGAAATTATGGAACAAAGAAGAAAATATGGAAACAAGAACCCAAATAAGTACAGAGAAAAACATAAATTAATAAGGAACAAAATAAAAGACGCTAAGGAAAAGTTAATGATGGAAACATGTATTGAAGTGGAAGAATTGCAGAAAAGCATGCACAAAGGCACACTCATAATAATTTACATAAAAAAGTAAAGAATTATCTGGAAAATCACGAACAAATACACCTAACCGATTAATTGACAAAAACAATAAACCTATTATTAACCAAATTGAAATAAAACAAATATGGACTAAATATATTGAAGATCTTTTCATGGACACAAGAACGGAATCAACACAAATTGATATGGGGGAAGCTCCAATAATATTAAAATCTGAAGTCCAACATGCTATTAACAACTCAAAATCTGGGCCCTGATGAAGCTCCATATGCCTGGGCCAGATAAAGTTCATATCGCTGATTAAACATATAGATGAAGACAATTTGAGTGCAATAACTATACTCTTTAACAACGTATACAAATCTGTTGAGATACCTACAGAATCGCTGCTATCGATCTTTGTTCCGCTAGCAAAAACCAAGGACCCCAAACACTGTAACGACTATAGATTAATCAGCTTAATGTCACACTTATTACAAACATTTTTAAAGATTATACATATTTAAAAAGTGCGAAACGGATATGAGTAATAAACAGTTTGGCTTTCGTAACGGCCTGGAACAGAGGAAGCTCTGTATAGTTTCACAACTCTTGCCAAAAAATGTCGAGAGCAACAAAAAAATCTGTTCGTTGCGTTAATAAACTATAAAAAGCTTTCGACAAAGTTAAACATAACATTCTCATGTAATGTCTAAAGAGAAAAGGACTCGACAAAAATTACATTAACATAGTGAGACATCTTGGTTTCACATGGATGATCATGGTTAACAGTAAGAGGGGCAAAAGTCATTGCAAGAATCCATATAAAAAGATATTGCGCAAGTGGACAAAATAAAATGCTTAGAGTCTGGATAATCGCTTAAGAATAGAGCTATCAAGAGCTTTTTTTTGAAGATGTGAAATTTTTGAGTAACCAAAGGCCAATCTGCAAATCCAATATCGGATGGTAAAATGGTTTTTCCACTCTATTCTTTCTTATGGTGTCAAAGCCTGGACTGTTAGTGTTGATTTAATGAAAAGACAAGCATTTGAGATGCTGCTTTTTAGGAGAATTTTAAAGATGTCATGGACCGATCATATTACGAACGAAATGGTGTTGCACAGAATGAACAGAGAACTTTTAAAAACCATTAAAAGACAAAAGACAACAAATCTGAAAAACATTCACGACTGGACCGGATTAAACACACAGACACTCTTAAGAAAAGCAGAAGATAGAGCCGAAATTGCAATGATTATAGCTAAACCTTTATTAGTGGAGACTGCACTAGAAGAAGAAGATAACTTGAGATGTTCCAACCCGATACTAAGAATTGAACAGAGAGACAGAGATTCTTCTATAGAGATTAATAAGTTTTATTGAAATGCACGAAAAGCATGAAATAACGATAATAAATGGGAGAATTCAATGCAAAAGTGGGAAAAAGGCAAAGTTGTAATATATATATATATATATATATATTAATATATATATATATATATATTATATATATATGTACTATATATATATATATATATATATATTATATTTATAATATATATAATATTATATATAGTACAGGTTGTTTACAACTGTCGTTGTTTTCCTGTCAATAGTTTCCATTGTTTCCTATCTCGGGTGTCGGCTTCATTTAGCTGTCTTCCTTCCATGGCTTCATTCACGTCATCTCGCCAGCTTCTTCTTGGGCGCCCTCTTTTCCTTCTTTCTGTTGGGATCCATTTTAATATTCTCTTTGGCCACCTCTCGTCTGCCATTCTGTTTACATGACCGAACCAAGTTAGTTGTTTTTTCTGGACTTCATCTATAATGTCTTTTTCTTGCTCCATTCTACGTTTTATTTCTTCATTGCGGATTCTGTCCATCCTTGTCAATCTACAGCTTCTTCTCATAAAATCCATCTCGGTAGCTTGTAATTTTTTTTGTTTCTTTTACTAGTGTCCCATATCTCTGCTCCGTATGTTACCACCGGCTCAACCATCGTCTTATATATTCGTTTTTTCGTCTTTCTTGTGATTTTTTTTTATCCCAGAGAATGGAATTTAGGCATTTGGTAATGTTTCTGCCTTTGTTTATTCTTGTATTTATTTCTTCATGGCTATTTCCGTCTTTTGTAAACACTCCTCCTAGGTATTTTACTCTATTTGTTCCTTTGATTTTTTCACTCTCCAATGTCAGGTCTTCGACTGTATTTTTCCCCACTGAGAGTGGGTAAAAATGTTGTAAAATATCATTGGTAAAAATGAATTGAGGCTACGTATTGAAAAAGCCACACAGTACTTCAGTTCCGTTATGAACAGAATATGATTGTTATGAATACTTGGTTGAAACTACTATCACACAAATTATCTAGACAAAAAAGGTAAATTACACCAGAAATTAAATTAGACTACATAATTATTAATCACGTACTATTCTGAAGCTATTTTCTTACGGCATCATAATGCAATTATTATTTACCATCTGAGTTTTTTATTTATACTCTCCCTGCCTCTCTCTTCTCGCTCCTGTCGTTTCCCCATTACTGAAGAGCGTGATTTCTTTTAATATTTCTAACAAGTTTTCTCCATTGGCCTCTATCTTTAGCTGCTCTGAGAGCTTCGTAGAATGAATGGCCAGCTGAATTCTTAATTTAGTCGGACCATCTAGTTGGTGATCGTTCTCTTGATCTTCTCTCTGGAATGTTTCCAGAAACAATTGATCTCTCCAAACGATCGTCACCTCTGTAAACCACGAGACCAAAAAATTACAGAATATGTTACAGACATATTGTGGACAGCCTTTTTTAATTTTGAGTTGGCTTAGAATGACAACGTATGTTCTGGCATTAGGTTTTACTTTTATTATTCACTCGCATTATTATTTTCCATTTGTTTTAAACGTTTCAACGTTTGGCATTCCTTTTTCCAGGTAGCTGTAGCTTCCTACGTGGTTATTGTTAGTTGTTGCCCTGGAAACCATTAGGGTTCTCTAACTCTAATGTGACAAATTGGTCGCATTGCTCCTGTATTGATCCTTTCCCAAGTTAACATGCTCCTTTCTTAACTTGGCTGTACCGTACTGAAGGCGACCAATAGTCAGAAATACGTATATTCGGTTGCCTTCCATCGATATACCTTTTTTGGTTTTCTGCTTTGCGAGACATACCATTATATTTAACCTTATACTGTTTTATATATATATATATATATATATATATATATATATATATATATATATATATATATATATATATATATATATATATATATGTATAATTTTTATTATAAACATACTACTATGTTAAACTAAGTAACTAATAAACTAAGATATTTATTAAACCAAAATACTTGTACTTCAAAGATAAGCAGTAATAATACAATACTTACATCGTTAATAACAACAATTAAATTAGCTTTCTTTAAATATTGAATTTGATGGGTTACTAGGATCCTCGTTTTTCCTCTTAAGTGATTTACAATACAGCTTTCAAATAAATGTTTTCCGACATGAGTGTCCACAGCCGACAAAGGATCATCCAATAAATAAATATCAGCATTCCTGTAGATTGCTCTTGCCAAATTAATTCTTGCCCTTTGGCCTCCACTAAGAGAGACACCCTTTTCTCCAACGATTGTTCTATCTTTGTGGGGAAATTGTTCAAAATCTCTTTCGAGTGCACAAACCTTGACGACCTTGTCGTACCAGGTTTTTTCGTATGGTTTTCCGAAGAGAATGTTTTTTCGAACTGAGGATTGGAACAACCAAGGTTCTTGGGAACTGTATGATATTTCTCCTCCTATCATAACTTTGCCAGATTTGGCAGGAAGTTCTCCAAGAAGAAGCTAAAATATATATTCATTAATAGTATTTTTGTAGATTTTAAATTTTTTTTTAAATTATTAACTTTATTATAGTGAACAAGTGAAGACAAAACAAGCATATAAAATACATACAGCTAAATTCTCACAAAAAATATAGTATTTTACAAAAAGGCAAGATTTTATTTTCTTTACCTGTAACAACGAACTTTTGCCAGCTCCAACAGGTCCTACAACAGCACATAACGTACCTGTAGGGATCTGAAGTGAAATTTCCTGTAAGGTATTTGTACTAGGTGTCCACGAAGCGTTTACATTGGAAAGGATAACCCCAGGTTTTCCTAAATCATCTATCTTTGATTCTTCTTTTTCTTCCATAACAAGAAATTCCTGAACTCTTTTTACTGAAACCAAAGCTTCTGCACCGGTGCTAATGGCCATTGGCCAATATATAGCCATAGCCATTTGTAAGATGTTATATGTTTGAGCCAAAGAGAAAACTACGTCAGCGGTTAGGAAGTTACCTACAAACATAAATAAACTCAATTTACTTAAAACATGTATACAGTAGATAATCTAAGAGCTGTAGGAAACAAAATTTATCAAAAACATCGTAATGTACTCTCCTGTTATTTTTAATTGATGTTTAGATTCAATTTATTCTACGGTGAAGAAAACTTAATTTTGCATTGCTATTCAAAATCCGATATCCATTCGCCATATTACTAATTAACCCGGGAACACTAACCATTCGTAAAATTTACGAAAACTGCATTACACAAGGACAAACACTTGAAAATTTTAAAATATGCGAAGCTACATTATGTTCAGAAACAGGAGACTGAATGGCACCCGGTCTTAACGGAAATGTTGAGAAACTTTATGAGAAACATCAGTTATCTAAAATTTTTTGAAATAATAGTGGCCAAGCACAAAAAACATTGGAAAAATTCAATATATTTGATGATTTTAATCCATGAGTGTATATTAATAAAATCTCAACTACGTACTATTAGAAACTTGTATAAAATGTATTTGACAGCGTCTTAATAGACTTATATATATTATAAACTATAAAAAAAGAATAAATTTTAAATATTATGTACTAAAATAATAAATTTTATGTAGATAATTATAAAACCTAACACTTACCTAACAATATATAACAAATAATGGTAAAAAACAAAGCCATTCTATCCAAGAACACCATGCAACTGGAATATACCCCTCTCAGATAGGAAGCAGCTGTAATGTCTTTGATTTCGGTAGCTCTAGCCAGTTTAATCACAGCCTCGAATGGCTTCTCCCAAGCATACATTTTTATAACCTGTATTCCCGATACCACTTCGTTCATAACCTTTACCCTTTTGTCTGTTTTCTTGGAGATACTTTCTCGATATTTACCTTGAAGTTTTGCCAAGTATCCTAGAAATTGATAACATATTTATGACACTTTTAATTAAGAAACTTTTTTTAAAATGAAAAAGACAGCAAATATTTGATTTCACTCAAACAATCCCTATGTATCTGTTGATACGTATTTCGACCTAATAGGTCTCATCAGAACAGCTATTCATAGGAGTTCTCAACTTGAAAAATCAATATTTTCTGCCTTTTAAGAAGCAACAATAAAATGGCTTCAATACGGACGCGATAGCGACATCTAATTACAAAATCCGTAAAATAGTTTCGAAACACAATTCAGATTTCTGCTTATAATCTGAGCCTTCTAAAAATTGCAAGGCAAACAGGCGTTGATAAAAGATGTTAAAAGGGACATGGGGAATCTAAAATTTGCATTCCACGACATGTCTTTTACAACTAAGCAGAAATCCTTAGCGAATTGTGCTTCTAGTACTCACACAGAGTATTAGGTCGAAATACGTATCAACAGATACATAGGGATTGTTTGCGTGCAATCAAATATTTGCTGTCTTTTTCATTTTATTTCGGATCTACTCTGTGTGAGTACTAGAAGCACAATTCGCTAAGGATTTCTGCTTAGTTGTAAAAGACATGTCGTGGAATGCAAATTTTAGATTCCCCATGTCCCTTTTAACATCTTTTATCAACGTTTGTTTGCCTTGCAATTTTTAGAAGGCTCAGATTATAAGCAGAAATCTGAATTGTGTTTCGAAACTATTTTACGGATTTTGTAATTAGATGTCGCTATCGCGTCCGTATTGAAGCCATTTTATTGTTGCTTCTTAAAAGGCAGAAAATATTGATTTTTCACGTTGAGAACTCCTATGAATAGCTGTTCTGATGAGACCTATTAGGTCGAAATACGTATCAACAGATACATAGGATTTGTTTGCGTGAAATCAAATATTTGCTGTCTTTTTCATTTTATTTCGGATCTACTCTGTGTGAGTACTAGAAGCACAATTCGCTAAGAATTTCTGCTTAGTTGTAAAAGACATGTCGTGGAATGCAAATTTCAGATTCTCCATGTCCCTTTTAACATCTTTTATCAGCGTCTGTTTGCCTTGCAATTTTTAGAAGGCTCAGATTATAAGCAGAAATCTGAATTGTGTTTCGAAACTATTTTACAAACTTTTTTTAGTTAGTATGTGTGATGCTAAAACTAAGTGTAAAGCTAAGAAATACATAAGAAATTGATAATTGCTTAATAAGATTGATATTTGTTTTAATGCACAGTTAATTAATCAAATACAGGAGAGTTAAAAAACATGATAAAGTTTAATCACTTGAATCGTTTGTAATTATCGTTACTGAAAATATAAAGAGAAATTGTAAAATAACATCTTAAATACTATTTTGATTTTCAAATCTGAAGCCCATTTCTCTCTAACGTGCATTTTTCTCATTGCTTCCCATAGTTGTTTCCTGGGCACGCTATCTTATGCTTTCTCCAAGCCTATAAAGGTCATATGTGTTTCAATATTTTCTCTTTTTTCTTTTCTATTACCTGTTTTATGGCGAATATATTATCTAGACACGATCTGGCTTTTCGGAATCCGACTTGTTCTTCGCCTTAATGGTCCATGTGTTGCTCTATTTTTTTACACTGTTACACTCAGTTACACTGATCCTTTATAGTTATTTGGTGACCTTTTGTCACCTTTTTGCAAGTGGAGGACATATAATGATAGATTCACTCCTCTGAATTCTCCTCTCCTGCTTAGATTTTATTTAACACTCGTATGAATGACACGATCATGGCTCGTCCATATATATCAGTTCTAGATTATATCTTGAACATTGTTTATTTGATCTACTCTTCGAATAAAATCAATTTCTCAAAACACTCAATCTCACAATTCAGCCCTACGTAACACACTAAGCTCAAAATGACACGTCCTAAAGTAACAAGTTACTCACCTTGCGCTGGCAAACTAACCACTGCCATAGAAACGACTCCTGCTAAAGATGAGATTCCTACTTGCTGCCACATAATAAACAAGAGCACTGCTACTTGAATTGGCATAACCCATAGGGCATGTAGTGGTACTACGACTAAATCAAAACGCATAACATCGTTTGAAAGCAAATTTGCTATTTGTCCTGCAGCGGTTTCTCCCAAAGCCTTCTGATTCAGCTTAGTAATCTACAGAATGTAAACATTACATTTAATGTATATCTATAGACTTCTTACAAAAATATTTTAACTGTAATATACATGATTATCTAAAAGGGTTGGTAGATCCCATAAATCCAAGAAAATGTATTCCTTTTTTTCTTGATCAAAGGCCTTTTGATATATAATAAAACATATAGCGGATGTACCGGAAAAGGTATATATATCCAAAAATGCAAGTGCTAGGTATGTGCTAAGTACACCATACCTTCCAAGAATGGATATTACACTTCAAACAAAAGGGATATAAGTCATTCTACACAAACTTTACGCGCTATTAAATATATATAAAATGAAATAACTGATTAAAAATGACATTTTTTTAAAGTAATACCGGCTTGTGTATGTATACTTATTGGTCAAAATAAATAAAATATTTTGTGAATAAAGGTATATGTCCAAAAAATGATCAAAAGCGTTCAAATATTTTTCTGACTTGCGTTTTAATTTCCAGATATAAGTCAAACAAATCTTCATATAATTTTGAACAATATTTTAATGACTACAATATATCAACTTGTACCCCTTTTCACAAGATTTGCGTAGGCACAGAATAGCAATAAGAAATTAACGAAAGAAGAGACGAAACCAAGGGCTTGAATGTACAACTAAAAATGGATTGGTGGTAAGGACTTGATCTGCAAACTCCATCAAATGTAAACAGTATTGCAAAAACAGGATGAACAATGAAAAGAGTCAAATTTTGTTAACGAATATTGGAAAATGTAAAGTTTTAATAAAAGAGTTGCATATATTGCAACTTTAATAACCACGGAACCCAAGAAATGTTCAATATGCAAAATAGTCGAAGAATTTTCGCCCAAAAATCGCCGATCAAATGAAAATTTCGCCGAAACTAGTCAATCTATTATACATGTCATCAAGAACAAAGTAACCTCCACGATCTGAAATTTGTCTTGACGATAGAAGATGCTTGGCAACATAGAAACAAAATTTGAGATATGGATAGGAATTTGATATAGCAACATATTAAATCAATACCTTCTTTGAAAGTCACTATTGTAGAAAGATACAGATACGAGGTATCTTCCTTTAACTTATACGCTCTCTGAGATATGGAATGTAAAAAATGGAATCCTGTTAAACGGCCTGTTTCACGATTTATTTACGAACACATCTTTCAATCGTTAAACTTGCCAAATATTGTAAAATACCTAAGAAAAAAACACATGCGCCAGATTTATTCGATGTTATTGTAAATTAGTGCTGCCTTAACTTAAAAAAACCTAAAAAAATAATTAGTTGAAAACTAGCAACAAGCTGAAATGGCTTATAATGCAAAAAAAGCAGACAAAGGAAGCTCTCGTCAAGACCCATCAAAGTAAGTATATAGATTTGACCTTCAGCAGTACATTTCATCTTCGAATCTATAGACATTGGTTGCTTTTTACAAAAGACAATTGTGGACATATAACCTAACCCTCCGCAGATGCAAAGATCAACAAGTTTGCGTTATATGTGGCACAAAGCTATTGGCGCAAATCAAACAGCAGCGTGTTTAAGCAAATACATTAAACAGCTTCCATCCATGACAAAAACAAATACATTTTATTCCGATACATGTTCTGGACAAAACAAGAATTGTTATGTATCCATCATGTTTATGCTTGTTATAAAAGAACATTCAAGTCTTGAACAAATTGATCATAAATTCTCTCGATTATTGAAAAAAAGAGAAACCAATATCCTTATATCATTGAGCATCCAAGAAATTGTATGAATCTCGAAGGCTTTGTGGTTCTAGAAAACCTTTTGACGTTCTTGAAATGGACATTTCCAATTTTTTCGAATACTCTGCTCCTTTTAAATCAGATTTCGAGCAAAAAAAAATCGAATAGACCTTTCAGAAAGTTTTCTTAAATAGCTACGATATACCAATGTTCCCAGCCAAATTTTGTAATAAAACATCCCTAAGCGAAGAAAAGCCGTTTCAAATGTAAAACTATTTGAGAAAAGAAAACGAGTGGCCACGGCATGTTAACATACCGATGTCTTATAAAAATGCCAATTCGATAAGCAAAGAAAAAAACCTAATGGAGTTATTGCCATACATAAACCAAACGTTTCATGAATTCTTATGAATTTGCCTTCTACAGATGGTGCAAGAAATATTTTTCCAGATGCATCTGATCGTGGCGGGTCTCAACTTGTGTGGAAGATGGGCTTTGAATTGAGTAGGGGCCCTTCAGTACTTCGCGTAAGACAGACTAGGCGGAGAAGTCCTCAACCTCGACACGGCGCGTCCCAATGGCTGATAGGGAAAATTTCTGCAGATATGCAGGACAGGTACGAATAAGGCAAAGTCAAATAAGTACCCGAGGACCAACTGAAGACATGGTATTAGGCAGCAGTAATATCATTACTGGATTAAGGCTGTGGGAAAGTACTCACAGAAGCCACTTGCATTATGAATCAAACGGCTGTAACACTCCGATGGGGAAGGCAACAGGAAACCACCCCATAAATAGTTCCTAGTTCATTCATCATGGTTAATGTAAACCAATTTGGAGAAGGTACTGATCAAGAGCTTGGGATACCAAGATCCGGCAGGTGAGGAAGAACACGAAAATGTAAGGCTTCCCAGGTTGTCAACCCAGGAAATCCTTGGAATATTCGAAGTATGTTTAAAGGGGGAAAGATACACAACACCATTCAAGAAATGGAAAGACTAAATATCGACGTGATGGTAATCAGCGACATAAGATCTCTGAAAAGTAGACCTGTTAAGACGAACATCATTTAAATTTACGCTCCAACATCAGAAAACCCAGAAGAGAATAACAAGGAGTTCTATGTACTTGTACAAAAAGCATTAAAATATACCAAGAAGAACGAGCTTACCATCATCATGGCTGATTTCAATGCCAAAGTTGACAAAAACAGAATAGAAGAGAATTTTGTCGGGAAGAAGATTTTACCATTGCTAACACCTGGTATAGACTTCCCAGAGACGACTTTATACTTGGAAGTTAACTGCAGATACAGCCAACAAAATCATCAAAAACCGACATCGGCAAAGATCTTCCCAGGAGCAGACGTCTCATCGGACCACAAGCCATTAGTGGGCCAGATAGAACTCTAACTAAAGAAAGTTTTCCACAGTAAACCTAAACAGAACCTGGATTATGACATTCTAAAAGACCCGTAGTTCGTCAGAGATATGTAATGAGAGAAAAACTAGAAACCGCTAAACAACAAGAACAGTGTGTAGAACAAAAATGGAGTTATATCAAAGACGTCTGACCAGAGAATAACAATAATTAGTTACTAGTAATAATTAGATATGTTTATAATCACATTTAAATTATCGCATTATTATTTCATCGTTTATAATTTTCGACACGCTAATGACAAGTGCATAATATTTTATACGATGCACAAAAAATAAATACTTAGGGAATATTATCAACATTTATTTTTAACGAAAAAGGTCAAAGACATACATACTTCAGGTTAAATTAACTATATATTAAAGACCATATGACTTATTCATAAGTTTTATCTAAATAATACGAGAAACAAGTATATATTTTTAGTAGAAAGTGATTACGATAACCCCCAATAAAATCACCGTCGCATAATGGTGTAGTGTAAATCCCTTTCGGCTATAAAATGGATAACATATTGGTAGTATCGTTAGAAAGACCTTTCCAACAATTAAACTGATAAAACACAATTAAATTGATAAATTACAAATATACGTGGGTATGGGAAAATATTTTATATAAGAATAACTTTTATTTAAATATCGATTTTTGGATATCGTCGTTGTGCGGGTAAAATCTGCTGTGTACATTTTTTGGTGAAATTTAGTTATGAGCACAGAAAATCTCAAAATTAATTCTTATCACATTGGTATAATCTGCTATAGGCTATAAATAGAATTAACCAAGTTATAAACATTTGGTTAAAATCTGCTATGTGTTCTGGTCAGGTAAAATCTGCTGTTTTAAAATTGCATATAACCGAAATTGCTCTTTGTAAAAGTTGAGCGACTAAGTGCACTTAACAGATTTTAATTTTGCACACAATGCAGTATTATAAGGGCGATTTATAAACTTTTCATTTATAAACTTTTCGCTGCCGTTCGTCGTTGCTGTTCCCTTTCGCTGTTGGGTAAACCTCTGCTGAAATGAAACAAATTTTGAATGAAAGTACTACCGACAACGAAGATTTTAGCTCGGATGATGACTATAATGATCCAAATTGGACGCCAATCATAACCACTTCTGCCCAAGTACACTCGCGTCCAAATTCTGCTTCTATATACATGGGGGAATCAACTTTGGTCAATCAGCCCCCAGACACGCCAGCTGTCGACAAGCCTGAGAATACAACTGCGGTCTATTAGCCCCAGAACAAGACTGTTGTCAATCAACCTAAACACACGCTTACGGTATACTTCAAACTTCGACAGCCTGAGGACTATGCTTTGCTGCCACAAAGACACCCTAACACACTCTTCAACATTATACCTAAACTTTATGATAGTCCACGACCTATTGACAAACAAAAATATGATTAAACTACAAAATGTTTCAGTAAATTTAATGTTTCGTTTAGAAATTAGTAATTTTGTTTTTGTTTTTTTTTAATTCACAATTTGTTTTATTTTTAAATCAATAATAGAAGAACAAAATTATTTTAACGAAGAAGAACAAAATTTATTGTTGAAAGAAAACTACGATAAGTAAATAAGTTCAGGGCTAATGCATTTTTTGAGTTTTTTAAAGAGTCAAAAGATGATTTGATAACGCTATCTGTCGATTGTCAAAAAAATCTAGTACTTCTCAAGGTCCCCGACCAAAGTGCCTAGTACTCTAGGCAACTGTATTTGTATGTTACCATAGTCCAGTGAACCTCTCAGTCAAAGTTTACTCAAAAAAATGTATTTTCGTATTATTGGACAGAGGACGAATTTGGAAAAGGTTCCAACGAAATTTCTTGAATCGTTTTTGAGAGGCTTAACAAAATTGATTTTAGCTCTGAAGTAACCACTATTAGGCTAATGGCAGATGGCCGCAGTGACCAAAATTAGGACACTACGGGAATTGGAATGTATTGCAAATGGCTTTTATCAAGAACACCAAAACATACAAAGTATCGTACTCGTACAAAATATCGAGGTAATTTTTCCGGTGGTGGGCCATTCTTTCTTGCCAGCTGATAGTGTATTTGCTAATATTGAGAAAGGTATTAAAAAACTGGAAGTTATATCGCATCAAAAACCGTATGTTTTAAAAGTAGCTACGGTTACTCACTTAGGGCAAAATTCTAAAGTGTTTAATTAAAAGAAACAATCTCAAGTGTTTTTAGATCTACTGCTACATGGCATTTTTCTTTTAAAAATACAAAGCCCTTTTTCCCAAGATAATGGAAAACTGGATATATTACCATTAGAGGAAAAATTAAGTACAGAAATGACTTGCAAACATTTAAAAGTGTTTTAAAGAAGGGTTGTTTGATATATATGATTTGCCTCGTTATTATAGAAAGTGGTTTGTAAAAAATAAATTCACTTAAGCTTAGAGGTATTGATAAACTTCTTACCAAGCACTTTGGAAATACTTGGAGAACCATGGAAGAGTTCAAGTTTTTGAAAGATATTATCTTCAATGATAATCCACTGGTTAGATGGTTAGATGGTTCTACCAGTCCTCACATACGGAGCAGAAACCTTAACTCTCACAAAAACATCAGCCGAAGAATTGAGAAGGACACAACGAAAGATGGAGAGATCAATACTTGGAATAAGCTTAAGAAATAGAATAAGAAACGAGGAAGTTCGTAGACGAACCGGAGTGGAAGACATTATCGAACATATTACAAGGCAAAAATGGAGATGAGCAGGGCATGTTGCAAGAATGAAAGACGAGAGAAAAAATTGCTTGAGTGGAGACCATGGGCTGACAAGCGAAGCCGAGGAAGACCCCCAACATGTACAACAATGGACAACTCAGGCTGATTGATGATGATGATGATAAATAATTCACTAGAGCAGCTAACAGTTCAGGAAGGAAGTGCTAATACAGTTGCAGATACTGAAGAAATATTGAGGAAGCGAGGAATCAACTTATAAGGTTTTTAAAGAACTTCCTTCTGTTTTAGTATATTATATAATATTTTGTTTCTTAAATTACATACTTTTGAGAACAAAACATTGCTAAAAAAATTTTGTTAAAATCATTTATAAAAGGTATATAAAAATGCCTCAAACGGGCTATCACAAACACATTGCAAAACGTTTTTCGGATTAAACAATCCATCATCAGTGCAAACGGTTGTACATGCTAGTAGCCACCAAAATATATGGGTAAAAACCCTTTAAATGTTATAAATTTGAAGTTGTTTTACATTATTAGTATTTCTAATTTGTGATGGTTAAGTTACCGTTGGATAGGTAACATGGCGGCGTATGACTCTACATGAGTAAAATGGTCCTGAGACGAAGTGTCTACGAGGACCTGTTGATAACAACTCTGTTACAACTCTGTAAACATTGCTGTTTTATTTTTATGAGCTTAATTATAATTATCTGTAAAACTCTCCAAAGTAAGATAAAAAAAATCCTTGTAATATTTTCTTGCCCAATTTTAGTATTAAAACTGGTAATATACACCTTGCAGTATCAAAACTGGAATCTCCATTATTTGTATCAATAAAAAAATTGGTAACAATATAGGTAAAATTTCTTCACTATTTGCTGTCATTTGTCATTTTCTTATAAATTCAACTATATTTGTTTCGATATTATCTAAAATAAAAGCAAATAATGCAGGTTGCCGGTGTTACTTGGACCCATTTCTGTTTTTTTTTTGAGATTTACATCATCATTTAAAAACATTGGTGCCATTATTTTATTTTTTTGAAGAGTTATTATCTTCCTTAATTTTCTTGCTTTGATGTTTAGTATCTTTTCTTTCTTACGTTTCCCACCTCTAAGAACGATCTCGCCCATATGTTCTAATATGATCCTATTAGAACATATCTCACTGCTTTAAAAAAATTAGGAGAGAAAAATATAGAACATATTGGGAACATATAAATATCAAATACTGACTTAGTTCATGCTGTGGAATTTACCTTTCGATATACTAGTGATGATATGGCTACTCTTATTTTCATTCCCATTACTTGAAGACCAAAAACAGTGTGGTGATTAAAAAATACAATTAAAGCAGATAGTCCTATAAAACCAGCACTATAAATGTAAATATCTGTTACCGTATCCTCGGAGTAATTAACAAACAGTGCAACCAACTGGCCAATTAGAATTGGTTTCAAAGACCTGGAATATAAAAAATATGTTAGACTATATTTACAAGTTAAAAAATTTCATTTTTATTAGTATTATTATGATTATCATCTCATTTTAATCTTTTATCTTTGATTGTTTTTATCATATTTGGCTCTCAGTATAGGTGCTATAGCTTAAAATTAAAACATTTTCTTCATAATCCACTGCACATCCAATCCATAATCCATTATCAGAGTTTTACACATTTTAGTTTTGTACTTCTTTACCTGTTAACAAGAAAAATTAGTTTCTTATAATTAAGTTCTGCATCTGTCTTTATGGAGTTGCTGGTACTACAATATATTTGTTTTGTGGGTGATTATGAGAAGTATCACAGTTTTTGAAGATTCCTCTTGCTGTAAGAATCATTCTTTAACTGCAGAGTTACTTCTGTGTATAATGTCTACGTCATCTGCATATGCAAGAGGTAGCAAGAATTGGAGTGTCCTATCGAGAAATATTGACGATGAGACCCCATTTTGCTGAATTAAAGGCATTTTTGATGTCAAAAAACCGACACCTCCTTCTGCTTGTTTGCATCACGTATCTTATCCAGATAGTTAGGTCGACTGCTGATCGACCTTTTATGAATTCATATTGTTGGCAGGATAGAGTTTTTTATCTGCCAACACGTCTTCCAACCTCTTCTTGACAAGATTCTCATACATCTTTTCATAGAACGCAGTCCAGAAGGCGCATTGACCTATGAGGCGATGCTGACTCGAAGGGTTTCTCAGGTTTTAGAAGGAAAATCAGATTTGCTTCTTTTAGTTCACTGGGAAGCTCTTGCTTCCGCAGGAGATAGTTATATATTCTTTTAATTAAACCTGGATTCTTTGTTGTTGCTATCTTAAGTACCTCCGGTAGCAGTTCTTGGGGCCGGAGGCTTTCTCCTTTTTTATTTCATGACCGGCGCTCTATTTTTTCTTCTGTGAACTTCTTCGCCACTACAAGGAAGACCTTTAAGAAGGTTGGTTCCATCTTGTTAGTAGTTCGTCTAATTTGTATGGGCGATCATCTTTAGTGACTTTATTGATATTGTATATGCGTCGTCCTTTATGTTGTCTTCTTAAGCATTTATCAGGTTCTGCCACCTTTTCTTTTTTTATTGTGTTATTTAGTTTCTTTTTTGCTGTTTTATATGCTTCTTTGAACTAGCAAGATCGCTGGATTTGCTGGATTCTCGTAAAATTCCTGCTATCTCGGAAACACTCATTCGTCCACCAGTAGGGTGTTCTTTTTTTGTTTCTTTTCTTTACGGTGGCCAACTTAACAGCGTTCTCTAGTTCCTTTCTCACTTGGCCAAATATGTATGGACCCTTTATATATAATGTAACGGTGGGAAGTGAATAATTGTCGAGAACATCTCAGTTCTGTATTCGCCTGGATAGTCCTTCACTTGCAAAAGTTACATCAATGTGTGTTTGATGGGCTTGTCTTATAAAAGTTGTTTTATTATTGTTAAGTACCTGGAGGCCAGCCTGGGCTATCCATTCGTTCCATATCTCCCCTTTTTCGTCATTTGCGGGAGTTTCATTGTTGAGATTTAGCATGTCTCTCCCCGGCGAGCATAATTAGTTTTTCTCTGATGGTGGTGTTCATTATTTCGTCTACTATATTCTTGTATTCTCTGATCCCAATATTTAGAGATATGTAGCATGCCAGTAGGCTGAAATCACTAATTTTCATGTCATTCATACCCCTGAAAATACCACGCACTCCAAGATCTTTGTTTCGGACTAATACTGCCAGATTTTTTATTGGTGTCTTGCACCCAGACACCGTCCGATGTAAACGTTGCGTATAACTAGAACTGTTTAGAAAAAAGATATAGATCGATGATTGCGAAAATTCCGTTTTTTCATATTTGGGGGTCTATTAACCATATGAAATAGTAAAACTCCTTTATTGTTGTAGTTCCTTGTTAAAGTACATAATCAATTGCCTATTAACTGGATTTTTTTAACGCCTTTTTCTTATATTAATGTAGTGAAGCTTGTTTCCCACTCTTGAAGTACTTTCTTTTCCTGACTTATTTTAATGACATTTTTTGTTTTTCCTTTGTATATTTTATGTAATCGTTTTTAATTGTATCACCTGTCGCTTTTGATTTTTTAGTTCTGCCATTTTTAGGAAAATTTTTGAGAAATTTTGATGCCTATTTGTAAAAAAATTTAAACACTAAAATGAACTTGCAATCCGTATTTATTTAATAACGGTGAAAAAGAAAATTATAATTATAGATCATTCCATAGTAATTATGTAAATATGTATAAACGGAATTTACAAAATGTAAAACTGACTTATTTTTTACAAAATGAAATGTGTAATAAGTAGGTCGTAGGTATAAACGCTGTTGCAATGTTGCAAAAATGTGGGGAATAAAGCAAATTGTTTAAACGTGTCAGCGTTTTACACATTATCACTGGTTTATTGCGTAAAAATTGGTTACTACCATAGTGGTTAATTTTATAACCTAATGACGTCTCGCAAGATTTTAGGGTGAACGAAACGTGAATTTGTTTTTTAAAATTTTGTTGTACATTTAAAAAAAACGTTGTTCCAGTTTAGGCTTTTAAAGATGTCTTTAAAATGCTTGGTTAAACAATTTTGGTGATAAGGTATCTCCCTTTCAAGCTCTTAGGTATTTTTTTTAATATATTCGTAATTAGATCTATAAATCGATATTTCATTCCTCTCCGCCCCCAAATTTAATGTTAATTAGCCCCCTTTCTTCCATTTCATCGTCGATACCCTCTCACCAACTTGTTCTTGGATTACCTTTTCTACGTCTTCTCTGTGGTGTCCAGTCTAGTATCTAGTTTGGTAATCGATCTTTTCCCATTCTGATACCACTACCTGCGACATGACGTAGTGTTTTCAACGTTGTTAAATCTGCGGATATCCTCATTGATAACCCATTCTCAACGTGATCTTCTATCTGTTCTCCTCCAGAAGTTCATGTTCGTGGTTAAAAGTGTTTTTTCTGTCTTGATTTTTAGTAGTCAAACTTCGGAAATAAATGTGACAATACTTGTATAATGGTCTGATCCCTCTTTTGGTTTCTTTGTGCATATTTTCTCTCACAGAACCCCGTTCACCATTTTTATGGCTTTTATTCCTTGCATATTAATGTTCTTTTAGCAGTCAAATTTATGTCCAGATATTTGTACGTTTAATTTTATTTTATACGTCCTCCATCATTAAGTATCAGATCATCTCTTCTTCCTCCTACACACATTTATTTAGTTTTGTTCATATTTACCGTCAGGTTCCATTTTTTGTATTTTTTGACTAGGTTGCAGGTCATTATATTCTAGGATTATGTTCACCTCATGGTCTTGGGTTAATACCACATGATCATTAGCATAACATAATGTATACAGTATGTTGTTTTCTGTTAACGGAAATAATAAACCATAAGTCGTTGTTTTGTATTTTCATGTTTTTTTCTGTGTAACTCTTTCACTAAATTAATTAACGTAACAAAAATGTTCGTACTTTCTAGGACTTTCTAGACTAGAAAAATTCCTTCCTTCCTATTAAAATACTGTCATAGGATTTTTTCACATCTACAGATAACATTTGGTTTTCGTAAATAAATGCCCTTGTCTTTTCCACTGATTGGGTAATAGTAAAATGGTGATCATCAAAAGATTTTCAAAACCTGATTGATCTTCTGTTTCCATGTTCCTATATTGTGATATTTAATTCTTTCGTTCTATATCTTCTATTTATTTTTTGTCTTTTTCTACAGCACTACAGTACTACAACCCAAATTAAGCCTTGCCTCCTTTATTTTTTGCCTTCACCCTTGCTTGTCTGTGGCTGATCTTCTCTATACATGCATTCGTGTATACAATGAATGTTACATACATACAATCTCCCATTCTTATCACACGCCAAGCCCATTGCAATATTGGTCGAATTAAAGTTTTATAGATTCTTATCTTTATATTTCGGTGGATTCTTTTAGACCGAAATATATGGGAGAGGAAAAAATAAGCTCTGTTTGCCTGCGTTATTCTCTTCCGTATTTCTTCATCTTTCTGATCCGTCGGCATATATTTTTTACTCCCAGGAATGTAAACTTTCCAACCGTTTCAATGTTATCTTTATGTATAACATTTTGTGATACCATATTTCTTCTCGTCTGTGTCATTATATTTGTTTATTTCTGTGTTAATTTCCAGACCTAGCCTTTTTGTTTCTACTTTTAACTCTGAGTATGTTTCCTGTGCTCCTGTTGTAGTTCTGCTCATAATATTATTATCATCGACATAAGCGGCCAGTTGAAACGTTCGGTTGGTCAGTAGGTTTCCTAGTCCAGTTTGCATTTGTCTAACCGCATAATCCAGTGCCAGGTTAAACAAAGCTGGGTCCAGCCCATCTCCCTGCAATAGTCTCAAAGAAATTTTGAAAATGTCTGTTCGGTGTTTTTGTATTCGTACACATGCCTGAGTTTCATCCATTGTGGCTTTAATGAGTCTAATTAGCTTGTGTGGTATGGCCAATTCAGCCAATATATTATAGAGTTTATTCCTTTTGACTGAGTTTTATGCCTGTTTCAAGTCTACAAACACTTTGTGAACATCAATGTCATGTTCCCTTGATTTACTCAAGGTCTGTTTGACTGTAAATATTTGATCCAGTGTCGATCTTGCCCCCATCGGAAGCCTGTCTGATACTCCCCAATAATATTTTCTGCTAGTGGTTTGAGCCTCTGGTTTATAATACATGTGAAGACTTTATATGCTGTACATAGTAGAGAAATTCTACGGTAGTTTTTGCAATGGAGTTTATCTCTTTTTTTATAGATCTAGCATACCATACTTGCCTTCCAGTCGTCGGGTATTTTCTCTTCTAATCATATGTCTTTGATTAGTGCGTGGATGTGACTTGCTAGGTGGTCGCTACCTACCTCGTCAACTGGTATTTCGTCAACTCCGGGCTTTATTGTTTTTCTGGGCCTTAATAGCTTCGAGAACTTCCTTTATGGTTGGAGCTTCTACTTCATTCTCTACTTCATTCTGTTTTTTCGTAGTTCGTACCCATTTCATCTTCCATGTCTACTTGTGTATCAAGCAGGCTTTGAAAAGAATGCTTCTAGGTTTCTGTGGCTTGTTGTTGGTCACTGATTATTTGCCCACTTTCATCTTTACATAAACTTGTTTGAGATTTCTCCCACTTTTTCCTTTTTTGGGTATTCGTAAACACCTTTAATTTCGTGGTTTTTAAAAAATTTTTCCATTTTTTATTTTTATTCATTACTTACGAGTACCATAACTTATGAATGTCATATACAGGAAAATAAGAATTGTTTTTATGCTTTTTCCATTATTTATAATTCTCCTCTTCATTTTCAACTGTAGTGGTTATAATGATGTCGTGTATAGTCCATCTCCAAAGATCTATTTTTCTTTTTTTTTTGCTTGTCGTAGAGTCCAGGATTCACATCGGTATGTCAGTATTACGAATATTAAGCAGTTGATCAACATCAACATTTTTAGAGTTCTTAAAATTTGAGAGTCTTTTCATATTTTGGCCATTCTTCCTACAGCGACTTCGCTAGATCACATCTACGCTTTATTTCTTCCAGTAGTGACCTTTTGTTTATGATCAATGATCTCAGATATAAGTATGGGCTCACAATCTTCATGGGTCAATCGTGGTTATGCGTAAATGATTATTGTGTAGTATATCAATTATCATGATCTTTGTCTTTGATATATTTAACTGCAGACCAAAATTTTGGACTTTCATTTTCAACCAGTCGTATGGTTAATAATTGGTTATTAAATATATACAAACATATAATAATATGGTTAATAATTTAATCTTCTTGACTATTTGCTATATTGTTTGCAAAACGTAGATCGTTTATTTTTTAGCCTTTAATTGAGATGTCGTTTTCCTATTTTTTAAGCGCTCCCAAGTATGCTCCCCATATATATATATATATATATATATATATATATATATATATATATATATATATATATTTAATAACTTTGAATAAAGTATACATCTTTGTCTGACACCTTGTTCTGTATGGAATTCGAGTATTATGTTTATATAGTTCAGTTATCAGCGAAATTAAGTGTTATGATGCACCTACTTCTTTTAGTCTTTGCCATAACTATTTAACCCTGTGAAAACCTTGGCTATAATCTATAAAAACAATTTAAAGTGAGATAATAAAGTCCCACTTTGTCCCACACTTGAGTTTGTTGATCGCCAGTCTTATTTTATTGTTGAGTATGTTAAGTTCTCTTTCGATTTCTTCAGGGGTTTGGTGAGCAAGTTCCAGGCATTGATCATCTTTATATAAAACTCACCAATATAGTTATGCCATAAAAAATACTTGTTCTGAATCTTCTTGTCCATCTAGCTTGTTCCTTTATCTGGTAGTTATCTTGTTTAAATAATGTTAATCTATTTATTATAATGTAGATAGTAACTAATACATAACATTTAAGAATATTATGGTTGTGTAGTCCATTAGATCTATTATATCTTCTTAGTAATACTAACAGTCTTATTGCTTAGTTCCAGTTGTTTGGTATCTTTTTTTTACTAAGAATTTTGATTGCTAAGGTAAGATTAAATTTCGATTGCTATTTTTTCCATACTTAAACGTCTCCACGCTTATGCCATCTTAAAGTTAATTATGAAAATTACAAAATTCTTACTGTACTATAAGGAAAAATATAAACTACAATATACTTACACAAGTACTACATTTTGAAAACACCAAATAATTCCATATACCATCAGCTCAAAACGAAATGTTTTCCATAAAGCCCACATTAAACTTGGTTGTCGATGTTTCTCTTTAGCCACCAGCATCTGTTTATCCCAGTGCTTTTCCAGGGCATCTCCAAGTCGTTTTGATTTGTCGGCATCTAAAGCTTCGTACAGATCTGCAACTTCCAGAGTTTGTTTATTTCCTTTTTTAATTATGGGTAGGAGCCATCTATAAAAATAATGAATTTAGTATACTGCCATACAGTCTTTCAAATGAACATAATCTAGTATATTATCATAACATAAATCTTATTATCAACATAAATAATGTTGATATCAACAATGGTGTGCGGAATCCCATAGATATAATCGTAATTACTATTTAAATCGGAATAAGCGACAATTAAAGTTTAAAGTACATGCTTTATTATCGTAACAGTATCAAGTAACAAAAAAAAAAACAAAATTTGTTTAATTTACTAATGTTTGTATTTTGATCATTATGTATTTTGATTATTGGTAGTGGTTTATAATCAATGAAAATATGAAGCATGCAAAGCTTTTATCAAGCAGTTATAGAAGCTTGTGGAGAATACACAAGCTGATATAAAAGTTCTTCTTTAATGTATTTAATTGCGTCGAATGTTACAATGAAAGTTTGAGACTTTTTTATTTTTTAACAAAACTATTGAATTGGTAGATTTTTGTACAAACCACATAAAATAATGTTAATTTATTTTAAACAAAGAACTATTTATGTGTGAAAACTGATTTTGTTTTAACACGTTTTAAAAATATCCTCAATTTTCGCCGATGGTAAAAATTTGTAATTTTACATTTTAAACAACCAAATATGCATTTACATTGTACGCTTGTACAAATTGAATATTCTTAATCTACTTAATTTCGCATATTATGATAAGAAGCGATATAATGTGTACAGTTTGTCCCAAACCCTTTTTTCAGTGCGTCACTAATTTTGACGTCATATAGGATTTTAAGAATGTCGAGAATTATTGCATGACATTTTAGTTAAATCGGACAGTTGCAGGATCGTAATCGGCTAAACGTGAAAAGGTTATTTTTTTTAATGCATAGCAGTTTGTCATAATTCTATTCTATTCTGTTCTATTTTATACATTCCATGGAAAGTGCTTAATTAGCTAAGATTTGTTTATGGATTTATTATTATTTATTACAAACACTAGGGAATTGGAAGGTTTGTTTATTTAAAATAACGCTTCCTCCTAGAATCTTTTAAGAGTTGACTGCAAGGTAAAAAAAATTACTGACAATTGCAAGGCATCAAAGTAAACATTCCTGCGATAAAATAGTATCGATTTAAATCAGTCAAATTTGGATAAGGAATTTTCTGATAAGTTTGTGTGGCAGCCAATAGTTTAATTTTGTGAAGAGTTGTCATTAAATAGTGGAAATAGTTTAAATAGTGAAGCAGTTGATTTTTGAGTTATTCTACCAGATTTGGTGTGCAAATGAAAGAAGGTTATAAAGTTTAGTTAAGAAAAACAATATAAATAGTTTAAATAGTGAAGCAGTTGATTCTTGAGTTAATCTACCAGTTCCGATATCCAGATGAAATCGTGTTAATGGAGTTTAGTTAAAAAACAAGATACAGAATGTAAGTTTACCTTCTTTTTTATGAATAACAAAAATGAATATTATATTTCAAACAATCTATAATCCCATTCAGAATCTGATTCTTGAAAATCAATGATTACACTAGATATGTGGCTGGTATCAATTATATCCTACATTTCAAGAAAATGTCGTGGTTCTAAAAAGAAACGTTTTAATACATATAAATATCCATAAAGGTATTAGTTTAAGATATTTCCTCAATATCATTCCGGAATTCACAATCTGATTCGCGAGCGACAGAAACTGAAATAAAGATAACTCAGCCTCATTTTCTAATTGAAACTAATTTAATAATTTTAATATTAGTCTTTTTTCATTCTCGGTATATCTCGGAATATTTAAAATATTTTTATGACAATAAATACAGAATTTAATTTTCACTGTAGTTAAAATGTCTGAAAATACTAACCTGGAATGGCAATTATCATTTTATCAGTTGTTGTGAAAGTACTGTCACTGTCATTATCAAGATCATCTGTGTCAAATTATATTTATATGCATAATTGATTGGATATCTATTTAGCATATTCTAAACTCCAACCAATTATACGTTCGTAAGTAGAATTCGCTTTAATATGCGAATACCCTATAAACGATACCTAATTTTCTAATTTCTATGTATAATAATAAGCGACTCACGTTTTTTTCTGTCACTTCTAGCTTAATGCGTTAGAGAGAATTCGAACAACTATGACGCACTGAAAAAAGGGTTTGGGACGGACCGTAATAATATATTTATAGTAAAGGTAATAAAAAGATATAGAGTTTTATCATAAGCTTAATGTAGTGTTAGTTGTCATGAATAAACTATATCAATGTCTCTCAATATGATAGATAAATACCTAAAAGTCAGGGGAAACTCTATAAATTGTTTTAATTTTCCAGAGGTTTTATAGTTTTTCACCTCTTTAGTTTTAAACAGTTGAGAAATGTATGTTATAAATACATATTCATATCATATAATTTGAAATAATTTTACTTGTGAGTTTTGTTTTTGTGAAGACGCCAGAACTCGTGGCTTAAATACCTGAAGAGATCGTTTGACCGCTCATCTACAGAAATCTTTCGTGCAGCAGTTTACAAAGCTACAATTGCCATTTACACTTAGTAAACTTAACGTGCATCCTCTCTCTCTCTCTTTCTCTTTCTCCTTCTCTCTCTCTCACCACTTTCACTCTTACCACCATCCTTACCCTTACCACCACCTACACCAACTACATCTACTTTCACACACTCCACTCCTAAACACACACACACACACACAACTAACACCATCACCCATACATATACCCCCACAAATACCCACCACACCTCAACAAACAACACTCTCCCAACCTCAAACCGCAAACACACAACAACCACAACCTTTTCATACTTACAGAATCGAGCATATTTCCTCAGATATCTGTCAGCATCGACCCTTCTACCGCCTCATCCAAGACCACAACCTCCCCCCATCTGAAATCAATCAAAGTCCTCTCATCCCAAAAGGCAGCCTTCGAGCGAACTACTAAACTCCTACACATCCACTACATCACGGCAAAACTCCGTAAAATCACTCGAGATGACACCTTGTTATCAGCATTCAGATCTAGCAAACCCCATAATCCGCATCCCGCTCCAAATGATCCACAAACCTTTCACTTTGTCATAGCCGTAGTCGGAAAAACCTTTCACTAAAAACCATCGATGATAACATATCCGAAATCAGATAGTAGTTCGCGTAATTGCCCGCTCCACCAACCAACCCACATCATATATCACAGAATTCACGAACTCTGAATCTAAATTCGCCGACGCACTGTCAAACGGTATCAAGATCGAGGAAGAACGGCTGAATTGTGAGATTCCAAGATCTAGTAATTCCGTTCCGTTTTGACTGAAATACTGTTCGAAATGTTGCAAAAGCTGATATCTCAGCAACGAATGCTCACAAAATCAATCACTTGTCCATTCTGTGGACTAGAGCACAGGTCTACTACATGCCCCTCGATGTCTGTCCTCAAATGCCCTTCATGGGGTCTTCATCCCGCCTTCTCACCAAGGTGTTTACACCGCAAGACACAACCCAAAAGCTGCAAACAAACAGAACCCGTATACATATAAAGAAAAAATCCTTCATATGACCTTTCCTTCGATATGAAATCCCTAATACACTTCATATACAATTTTTTTTAACGTCTTCCCTAAAAAGAGAAGCGATACCATCCGATACCTCAACCAGATGTCCAACACACTATATGGGTATACCATAACCACCTCCTGCTTTAATAACCTAATAAGTAAAACCTTCACCCAACTCTGCACATAATCACACAACACTACACCTAAATGCACACCGAAATACACATACCAAAACCCACACAAATCATTCAAACACACACTTCATTTATCATTTATCCACATACACACTTTACCTCCACCAAGCTCACAATCATAACCATATAGAAAAAGCCAACAGCACACAACCAATAAATATACATAAACACCTAATTACAACACCAAAATAATAAACAGTGAGCACCACACACTCCTTAAGAGTCGAATTCAAATCACAAGGACAGGGGGAGATTGGTTTTCTGTGGTTTCCCAATCTCATTGCACAACGATACCTGATTCTAGGTGAGGACATAGCCACAGGTATCCTCTACGCGTTCACACAAACAAACAGACCAACAATCTGAAAGGAACCGTTTTCCCATGGAACTTGTACTTAGTAGTACAACACCACACACACACCACATCACACCACACCACACCGCTCCTACAAGGCGGAAATAACTCTTCTGACACTCCTACTTTACAGCGGTCACGCCCTGTCTCGGAGGACGGCAGCTGCAACCCACACCAAATTAAAAATACCATCATTGAAGAAGCAGAAAGCTTAACAAGGTAAAAACGCTAGGCGGAACCTTCCATAAGGGTATTAATCCGCCAATGAACAAGCAGAATTGCTTATAAAGAGGAAGAAGAAGATATGAATATATAAAAGTTTGTATGTACCACTGGTGTTATCAGATGATTATGCCCATCGAGCAACATCCATCCCTCTGGTCAGAGGCCCTCTGGCTGGATTATATTGCTCCCTGTGGATGATCATCCTAATAACACCCTTGGTGCATAGATAACTTTTGAACCATTGTTTTTTAATTGATAATGACGCGCGTATGGCAAAACGGGCGCTCATTTGTACAATAAAAATTTAAACCAGCAAACATTTGTGCCCTAGATCTTGTTTGTCTCTCTCTTATACATGCCGCTCATTGAACGCCCGTCCAGCCATAAGCGCTTCACTAAAGATTCAAAACAATGTTTTAAAATTAAATAGACCAAAAATACTTGTAATTTTGATTCGTGGCGAATTCAAAAATACTGTTTTTTACTTGTCTTTTTAAGCATTGGAAATCGTAGTTTTAAGTTTTTATCAGTTTTAAATTAATTATAACTCGAGAACGATTGAGGTTGCAGAAAAAACTATAAGGGACTTATTTTGTTCAGAATGTTCTAAAAAATTCAGAATCAAATTATCCGTGCCAAAAATTGATTGTTAAATTTTGTTTAAAAAAAATT